TTATATTATGGTATCACTACTTATGAAAGAATAACTGGATAAAAGATAAACATTAAATCCAGCTTATTAGATCCTTAAGTAAGTATAATTATTTATATGCAATAAGGAAAACATTTAGGATTCATAATCTGAGGAATCTAAAGTAGAGCCATCTATATAAAATTGTTTTAATTAATGTTTTAGAAATAAGAAACAATTTAAAAAATACACATAAAGTTGATTAAATTACTAATATTTTGTCATATTTTCACATTTCTTTTTATTTTAAATGCTCTTTGTACTTTTTATTATTATTAAACTTATTATTATTTAGTTTCAGATCTAGCCCTTGTCTTGCCTTAACTTTAAGTTCTCATTTATCTTGCATCTAAATCTACTTCAGAGAATGGATATTATTTAACAGGAACTTATTCATATTATGACCTTCTAAATTATTATTTTTATGATTATTATTACTATTATTATTATTATTATTATTATTATTATTTTTATTATTATTATTATTATAATAATTATTATTATTATTATTATTATTATTACTATTACTATTATTATTATTTTTAAGATTATTGTTATTGTTATTATTTTTATTTTTCTTATTTCTCTTATTTTTCTTTCTTAATTTCCTAAGCTTTTTAATATCTTGTTTATGGTTTTTATATAACAACTTCCTAATTACCTTCTAAATTATCTTTAATCTATCCATTACATATATAATCATAAAAAGCTTTCAATACTCTATTCAATTATTCTTTATTATTAATGAACCTTTATAATTTATCATTATATACTTTAAAACCTTCCTTAAATAAGGTTCATATCTATAATGCATTGTTCTCATAATATTATATGCTAAAAATGTTCTTAAATTAGCTAAGGTCTTAAAGGGAGAGGCTGACAATCTACTCATAGGATTAATAAGATTAAAATCTAAAAATGCATTTACAATTCCAACTCCTACTTATTCATAATCTTAAATTGAAAAAAAATATGATTTGGGATTCGAAGTGTAAACAGATCCCAAAATAATATTATCATCCAATTATTCATCTTTATATGAACTATCTTAAATTTAATATTAAATTTACTTCCACTCTATTCATACATAATATTCGTAATCCTTCCTGTATTATAATTACATTCTAAAGTATAACTATGAAGAATTCCACAAATCTTATAAAATGCCACTCTTCCAGAACCTTCCTTACTTAATCCATCTCCTTTATCAGCAGCATACATATTTTTTTCAGTAAAGTTGCATGCATCATAATCAAAGATTTCTGAATATAAACTAATTAATCTTGGAATTATGCAATTTGTTGTATGTTAACTTAAAGATGGTAATTAATTTCCATAAATAAATACTCCTTTATGACCAGCATGAGCATGTAAATCAATATATCCATAAAGTCTATCTGTATTTTAAAGTCTCATTATATATTCTTTAATTGCATAAATAGTTGGATGATCCTCCTTTGATGGTGATAGATAATATCGATTTAGATTTTAACATAAAGAATCAGTTCTATAATGTCCTCTATATACTCCATCAGGATTAATTATTGGAACAATACTCCAAACAAACTTCTCCCTTGCTACTTATGCTACTGGATCATGTGCATTGAGTAGATACTTCATCAATCCATTATTAACAAAAGATCCTGGTACTTCTCCAGGATGAACTCTAGCAGAAATAAAAATGTGTGGTTTCTTGAAATGTTAAGGTCTACTTTATGGGAATAAACCAAGTATAGGTTCTTCTTTGATTTAAGATGAACCATGTGTTATTGTTATTAGATTAATAGGTCTACCCTCTTTTGAGTAAGCCAATATTGAATTATCATAATAAATGTCAGTTACTTAAAGAGACATAGCTTAACATAGTTATAGAAAATTCTAAAACTATTTATTTTAAATACATCATTGTCTTCACAACTCCATGGATAAAAAAAAGCAAAATAAACTGTTGAATCATTAAGAAATAGATGTTTAAAAGTGATTTCAAAATGACCCTCAGGTACTAAGCGATAATAACATGGCTATTTTAATCTCTCCCATTAAGATGAATGACAATTTCTAAAGACAGGTTACATTCCATCTTTGAAAAGTCCCATCTAAAAAGCTGATCTTATTATTTACTTGGTTTTAGAGATTGGCAATAACAAATGTAAGTTCTCCTTCATTTACTCCAGACACTGAGAAATAAAACCATGTTCTATAATTAGTTGTTCTACCATTTATACCCCAATCACTTGATATATTAAGGATGTACTTAATTATGTTAAAATTTACTTACTCTTCCACTATTTTCTCTGCGAACACTCTTCAGATTACCAGAATCAAATGCACTCGAAAAAGTAATTCCTTAAATAGTTTCAGTTATTTGAGATGGGTATTCGGTAGTATTATTCATCATTCGAATTATTATTTATAACAAGTGACAGTTTATAAAGTTTAATATTACATAACAATTTATTACAAATAAAAAAACACTATGAATAACAATATCAATTCTAAATTATTGATAGAATCTAATATTTTAAGATACTCAACTACCCATTAAAAATTAAGTATCTTATTTTTATATTAAGATTTTTTATTCTAAAAGAAATACACATCAAATATATCACTAAAATTAATTAACAATTAAATTTATGTATATACAAATTAACTTTATTATAAGATAATATCAATAACAAAGTTTTTTTTTATAAAATAATCTTTTATTTTTATTTCTATATTTTCTTTTTACATTTTATATGCTTAAAATGATAATTCAAATAAATATAATTTAAACTTTGAAACTCAATAGATGAATATAATTATCATAATGATTGAAAATTTATCATTTTAATAATTATATTTACAAATAAATAATTTTAAACAATGTTCTCAAATTTCATAAATTATCATTATTAAAACAAAGATAAAGTAAATACTTATATATATTTCTTTTATTTTATACTTCTTTATTTAAATAAGAAAATTAAGAAACATATAAAGATTTCTTTTGTAGAATTATAAATTTATATTATTTTTGGCCTTGATGAATAAAAAAATACCATTAATTACTAAATGATGTTGAAATTTATATGAAAATTATTCTAAGAGATATTAAATTATAATAATTTATATAAATGACCAAAAGAGTAGGGGATTATGAACTTGGAGCCATTCTGGGTTAAGGTGCATTTGGAATGTAATGATCTTTTATATAATATTTTCAGTGTTAGGAGTGCTATTAATGTTACAACGAAATAAGAATTTGCTATAAAGATTATTGATAAAGAAAAAATCAAGAGAGAAGAACTAATTGAAAGTCTCAAAAAGGAAATTCATATACTTATGATCATAAATCATCCAAACATCGTAAAATTAATAGAAGTATAAACATTATTCTAAGTTAGGTATTGGCAAGCAAAACGAAGATTTACCTGGTGTTGGAATGGATTAAAGGAGGAGAATTATTTGATATGATTAGAAATAACAAATTTATACCAGAACCATAAATGCGCAAATACTTTAGGTAAATAATAAGAGCCATTCGATATTGCCAGTCCAAATCAATAGCCCATAGAGATCTCAAACCAGAAAATATTCTCATTTGCAACTAAACAGATTAAATAAAAGTCAATGACTTTGGTCTTAGTTCTCTCTTTCAAGATCCAAGTAATCTTAATAATGAATTATACACTACATGTGGTACAGTTCATTATCTAGCACCAGAAGTGATTTAATCTTCTGGATATGATGGACATAAAGCAGATATCTGGTCACTTGGTGTAATTCTCTATTTTTCATGTGCTGGATGTAAAATTCCCATATTATTTAATTAGATTTGCCATTTGAAGATGATAATGTAGCAATTCTTTTGGATAATATTATCACAGCATAATATTTTCCATTTCCTAAATATTTTTCAACAGAATTAAAGGATTTGCTCTCAAAATTATTAGTAACACATCCAAATAAGCGAATAACTATTGAAAATATTATTTAACATTAATGGTTTCAAACAGATATAACAAAAGAAGAATAATAATGGTTTTTATAAGATGATTTTCCTACTTAACCATAAGAATTTGCTCATCATATATTAAAAGTATCTACAACTCTTTTAAAGAACAATTTCATAGATAACCCATCATTTATACGATAAATGAAAGGATTTGAATTGATATCATTTTTAACTGGTAAAGTTGTCAGTTAATTGCCAAATGTTAAAAATCAATCTAATTCAGAATCATGTTTGACTATAAAAGGATAACCTGAATTAATTATTAAGAATGTTATAGAATACTTCTTAATGAAAAAACCAGTTTCTATAAAGCAAGTACAAAATAAGGATACATTTAAAATTCAAATAATGTATAAATTCAAAACTGAAATCAAAATTTGTGTAGAAATCTTGTGGTTGATAAGTAATAAATATCTTGTAAATTTTCAATTATTAGAAGTAATTAAAATATTATTTACAATAGGGTTTTTCTGATATTTACAATGTATTTCTCAAATAAACTGTTTTTGAATTAAGTAACCTTAAATGTTGATTATATAGCAATATACTTTTATTAAGACATAATAAATATTATAAATTAATCCTTTTAATTCTATAATCCATTTGATATAGTGATAAATTATAAGGTTATAATAAATTGCTATTTCAATTACTAAAAAAATTAATAACAAAAAATAAATCTTATATAAATTCATCGCTAAATAATAAATTATAATTCAATAAACTCTATTAAAAATTCTTTTTATTATTAATATTATAAATTAACTTATATCATAATTAAATATTATATTAAATAAGAAATATTATTGTAGAATATAGCAATTGATATTTTTACTAAAGTAAATAAACTAATTAAAAAGCATACATTTACTAAAATAATTTTATTAAAATTTTTAGGTTTAATTCCAAGATTAATAAGGGAAAAATAATCTTTTAAAATATAATCTAAAAATTTTTGAATAATAATCAATCATTATTATCTTCATTCTATTCTAATGGCTCTAATCTATTCCCATTCATAGTATTTTAAGTATGATTTATTATACTAAAATAAGAAAAAAATAATACTGCTATGTTATATGACCTTAAACCTACCAGTTTCTAATTATTTTTCTTATTTATATTTTAAGCTTGAGTTAATTAATCTATTTGATTTTCTTGATTGTTTATAGGAGAATTATCATTTTTGGGTTCTTTAAATTCTGTCTACAATTTGAGATATTTTCCTTCATAAATTTAAGGATGCTGACTTATTTAATATTATGTGAATTTTTGATCATCCTTTAATTATTCCATTTTTAGAACTAGAATAAATTTAATTAATATTACATTATAAAAATGGTCTTTATTCTTATTCATCTAATCCAAGTAGATTATTTTTATTAATTTCCTAATTACAACAAGCAAAACATTTAGAAAACAATCCTATTATTGGTTTATAACAAAAGAAGAATATAATTATTATTAGTACAATCAAAGCAAGGATTGTTAACAAAATGACATTCGGTATTTAACTCCAAGATCTATCCCACCATTCCACTGCAACATTTTATTAACCATAAACATCTGATAATTAATCTATTACAATTTTAGCCTCAGTAGTTTCATAAAATAAATTAGAACTTCCAAAAATATAAATTGCAAAGCTTAAATGTATAATAACAGCTATCCATAAATATTTTCTCACAGATTCACTAATTATTTAATCTAATCTGATTGGTTTTCGATATGTGGAAAAAACTATTTTTTTATTTTATTTTAATACTAGAAATTTTATCTACAAAATAAAGGAACCAAATTGTAAGCATTGTAATGAAGTATAAGAATGGAAGTGCAGGACTATACATAACACAAATATAAAGGGCAGTCAAAATTTATGCATATCTCAATTCAACTCGAAATTCTTCTCCTTTATATAAATCTTTGAAATCTTAATAGTTTTTTTATCTAGTTTTCTTTTCATTTAAACAACATGAACATTAATCATAAGCCTTTCTTATATATCTAATAATTATTTCAATAAAAAGCATAATAGGTTATGTTAAAATATTAATCAATAAAGTTAATAACTATATTTATTAAATTTAATTAGATACCAAAACAATTCCTATATTTTGACACCATTTAGAATCAATATCTCCATATTTTCCTCCAAAAAGAAATCTAATAGTCTCTGGAGCATCATTTCTAGTAGAATTACCAAAATCTATATTTGTAATTAGAAGAATCAATCCTGTATTTAAGAATTAAGCAAGAAATACTTTAAAAATTCTGCTTGAATATTCTTAGGAAATCATTAGATGTTTTTCCCATTTTGATAGAACTAAATAATAATGTTAATTAATACTAATTAAAATGTATTAAATTAAAATATTTATTAATATTAGTCCTGCTACAATAATCCAAGGTAATGATTATTAGAATGTATACTATTTACTCCAATCTTAACATATTTCATGATCTCCTTATAGAATTTCACTAAATTTAGGTTTACAATAGCACTCTACATAACCTTTAATAGTAGAATTATTTTTATTATCAATTTCTTATTAAACTTATTCTATTGTTATATTATTATAGATTTTATTATTGCAATTTATTGATGGATATTATTCTTGAAATTCTGATTTTTATAGATTTACCCAGCTTATTAAAATCCATGAACAAGCTAATAGAATTAAAGTACAAAAAAAACTACAAAATTATCTAAGAAATCTATGTTTCATAGTATAATGAAGACTTCGCCAATTTATATTCTCAGGAATAGGTGCATCTTTAATTTATAATTTAAATTTTTTAAGTAAACTAAATAATTTAAAATATTTTACAATTTTTTTTATTCTTCATCATTTTTATAACATTTATAACAAGTATAATAATAAAGCCAATCTTTGGGAAGACTTTAAAGTCTTTTTTACACTTTTTCTTTTTAGCTTATTGTATCAAAAGTAACCCAAATATATTTGAAATGCTCATTTTATTGAATTTGATTAATTTTATTAGCTATTTCATCTATTTCTAACCAATATTTCTCAATATCCTTATTAATTTTTGTCATATTATACTAATTAGAAGGAGCACCTGCATCGTTATTAAAGTTAGAATAAAATTATTAATATATTTCTTTTGTGAAATTTATTACCTTTAGATTTTCTATCTTGTTGTTAAATATAGCTGGATTTAAGTTTTTTAATTTATTTAAGAGCTCTTAAATTTTGATTTTTCTTTTATTTAGTTAATTTTATAATTCTATTATTGTTTCGTTTTCTGAACATTAAATATCATAAATCTATATATCTTAACCTTCTAGAACTGATTTTAATTGTTCATTAATGAATTATTTCACTTAATTAAGCAATAAATCTTTTATTATAATATTTTCATTTCTTTATAAAGCTTTTTTTAATTGTTCATAATTTGGTAAATTTGATATTTAAAAGGAAAAATGTTATAATGTAGGAGACTCATTTTGTGATATTTTATTGTACTTATTTTCACTAACAGTTAAGCTAATTAAAAAATATATGAATAACAAAACTATTGCTGCATCACAAGATGCAAAGATGATAGGTACTATTTTTGATTATAATTCTAATGATCCAATAGTTATTATGGCTTCTTTACAAAATGCTCCTGCATAGATTCTTTTTCCTTTAGGATCTTCATTAACAAAATCTGATTAATTTAAAGTAAATGTAAATTCTTCTTAAGAATCAATTTATTATCTTAATTAATTTAATCGATCTTAATTAGTTGTATTTAAGTTTAATTCAGAGTAACTTAAATAAATACAATCTTATTCATTTGTATTGATTATGCCATAAGAAAATGATGATCCAGCAAGATTTCCAGAATCACACTATAAATTAAATTCAATAAATTTATCATCAATATTAGAATCTTCATTAATCTGAAATACTTAAATTTAACAATCTTTATTATTCAAACTAGTTGCACCAATAGTAGTAGCCATTAAAAACTCAAATGAATTAGAAGTATCACGAGATTTACTTCCAGTATATGCTATATTAATTCATTATTAATACCTAATATGCTAAAGAATAATTATGGAATAGATAATATTGTAAAAATAATAAAAAATTACCCTAATTTTTTCAAGAATCGAAAATATAGATTAATACCAAGACCAAACTATTTAAAATCTTATTTTGTATTTTCTGTTCCAAAGCAAAATGTATGAGAACCTATTGGAAGACAACAGGCTTAACAGCATTTTTTATTTAAATTTTCTTTTTAATGAAACTATAAATAGTTAGTTATAATACTTTTTCGAAAAATTACTCTGGTGATTATATTTCCTAAGAAACAAAATGAATGCTTTTATAAAAATCAATTTTTTGGTTTGCTATTTATGCTTAACCAACATTGTCTATTTAAGCATTTTAATTTCCTATAAGATTGTTGTTTTCCCTTTCAATATGAATAAAACAAACTTACTATTATTAATTTTCTTCAGCTTAAGCATTATTAACAGGAATCTCTTATTCTAGAATCTGATTATTAATTTGTTACTCAACTTATTGTATATTAGATTTCTGATGAGAATTGCTAACATTTAAATTTATTTGTCCTTCGCTTTCACTCATGATAATTTTGTTATTAGAAATTTATCAGATAGAAAATATTATTAATAAGTTAATTTAATTTGAGGTCTGCATAAATAGAATATAAATTATTCATCTATTATGAGAATCTGTTATTTTTTGATTAACTAATTATGATGATATAGAACATTCTGCAATTTATTTCTATGTAATACCATTTTCTATGTCTTAATAAAATAAAAATAAATGTCAAAAGTTAGAGAAAATATTGTTTACATATTCAATATATAACTAATTAATAATTTCAGAATTGTATAAAAATAATATAATCATTATGAATTAATTTTTCTTATAATAATTCTTTAAATAATAATGTCTATTTAAGTAAATCTAAAACTACCTATTTCCAAAAATAAATGATTCAACAAAGAATATTTTCAAAAATCTAAGAATTTACAATTTCATCATTTTTTATCGCTTATTCTAAAGAATAACTTTAAAGTAAACTATCCTAAATTCTTTTAGATGAATCTCTCAATTTATAAATCAATAATATATATATCAAATTTTATAATGCAACTTTTTAATATAATTACATTAATATTAAAAAATATAATTAATATAAATTATCAATTCATAGTTTTTTATTAATTATATTCTAAATTTTTGATTTTAACATAGCACATAATTTTATGTTATAAATATATATTTAATATTATGATAATTATTACAAACTTCTTATTCAAGAAAATTCCTTCTAAAAATTGATTAATAAGACTTATTATTTTCAAAGCTACCACCTATCAATCATAAATGTATTTTAAAAAGATTTATAATAACTTACAAAAATATCAAATCAGATTTATATATCAAATTCAAATAATTACATCAATAATCTAATATTTAAACATTTATATAGGTTTTTTAAATTTTCTCTATTCAAATATATTGAGAGAATTTATAAGAGTATTTAATTATATTTGAGCAATTTATGAAATAGAAAATAGAAGCTAAAGTCTAGAAGTTTCTAAATAATAATATTAAAAATTTAATAGATATAAGATAGATTGATTATCATAGAAACTAGTAATTATTTTGATATTCTATTATTATAAGATTATATTAGATTTTGAATATAAAAAGAGATATTATATTAGTAATTGTTATAATAATAATCTTATTATTGTTATATTTATATTTATTTATATAAATCACACTAAACTTAAGTTGCTAACTGATGCTGTATCCCAACTAGTGTGTTTATCTGTTCTTTTAAGGCTTATTAATTTTCTCAAACAAGCCTTATAGACAAACCTTTCTTCTTCACATTCCCATAAATAATGCTTGATTTTTTTAGTTAATGGACGCATACTAGTAATATAATACTTATTAATACTAAGTATAATGAGTAGAACTATCTTAATGCATAGGAGTATGACCAAAATCCTAAAAATATTATGATTTTTAATTACAATTGACTTTCCATCAGTTAACATTCTTGGCCACATTGAAGGCCAACTGGGATGAATGATTTCCATTTATTTAGTATTTGATCTATTTGAATGATTAATATTTAATTTACTCAAAGGCACAGTCTTCATAATCATGCATTTATTTCAAACATGGTGTAGTGTCTATATTAAAAATATGATATACCAAACACAGGAGGTACTGAAGAAGGCAATGTACCAAAAAATAGATAACTCATAAAATAAATATAAAAATAATAATAATATCTAATTGTGATTTTTTTGTATATAATAATTTCTTTTTGATTTTCCTTTTGAATAGAATAATAATAGGTATAATATGAAATGAATAAATTAATTAATAATTAAAACTTAGAAGTATTTTACAATAAATAATTTAATATAAATATATAACTTATGTAAATTCCTAATTAACATGGTACAAATCCTGAAGATCTTAAAATTACAAGAGATGTATTTGTTTTAATGAATTTAGGAATTCAAAAAAATAGAAAAGGCAATGAAGAAGCCAGAATTTGCTGAATTGATGGGTGATTACATGAAAGAAATATCAGATCCAAAAAATAGAGAAGAATATGATTAATATTTAAAATAATTGGAAAGAGAATCAGAATTGCCAAAAGGTATGAAGTTGATTAAACCTGAACCTCATTTTTGTGTTAAAACAACAATTTGGAATAAATAAAATAGAAAACATGAATAAAAAGTAATGAAATCATATATTATTTAAGTTTTTTATTAATATATGTTCAACAGGTGTTATTGATAAACCATAATCAGAAACAATTACTTAAAATGGATAAACAGGATAAAATTGGAAAATCCCCTATTCTATTGGTAAAATCAGATATGATTAAGACAAAAGTAATATTATAAATTTAATTTAGAGCAAAGTATATGCAATACTGTTGATGTAGCCTTTCATCCAAATACTATAGGATTATGTTACAAGATGCCCAATTTTAAAAATTTAGTATGTTCAACAGCACTAGAAGCATCAGGTAAATAACTTGGAGAAAGAAATGAAGAAATAAGTAAAGATTTTAAGGTTCTTAAACATACAAAATGTAAAGGAGGTGAACCAGCTCTTCTTCCTGTTAGAATAGATAAAAAGGGAAAAGTTACAAATGAATTAGATAGTAGATAAGGAGGTTAAGCTAATGCATAAACAAAATTACAAAAAGATATAAATTAGATGAGGGAAGAAAATGAAAAGACTAAAGAAGAAGAGAAATTAAAATAATAATAATAGAAAGATGAATTAGCAGAAGAAGATGAAGAGATTAAAAAAGAATCTGATGAAATAGAATCTACAGCTGTTTCAAGACCTAAATATAGATTTATATATTCATATCCTGTTGAATATAGTGATTTTTTAGATTCTAGAGCCAATATGTTAGTTAAATTACCAAATTAATTAGCATGTGAATTGAAAATGTAGAAAGTAGAAACAATGAAAGAAATTTAATTAGATCTTAGTAATTAAGGACTTGTTTTAGATGTGCCAAATAAATATTTTTTGGATATTAAATTACCATATCCAATTGAATAAAGTGAAGCATAAGCAAAATTTGATGCAAAATCAAAAATATTAAAGATTAGAGCTCCTATATCTAAAGATTATTTAAAAATTAAATATTAAGAGGAAATTGATAGAATTAGGCAAGAATAATTAACAACTTAAAATGATGAAAATGAAGAACCTGAAATTAAATAAGAAATTTAGATAAAATTTATTCCATAAGAATCTGAAGATTAATAAATTTAAGATTAAAAGGTTCTTGTAGAGGAACTTGCTTCTTCTGAAAATAAGGATCAATAAAATTAAGAAATTGAAATATAAGAATAAAAACAGTAATTTATAATATAATTTTTAGAGAGAGCTTTTAATCATTAACATTCAATTAAAGATAAGATGGAAAATTATTATTTTTAATAATTCGTATTAAAGGATACAAAAGAGAAGATTTAAACATAGAATATGATGAAAATGATCTTTGCATATTGTAAAAATATGTAGTAGATTAATTTGTTACAAATCAATTTTTACATTTGAAATTTTAAAATAATTCTGATTATTAAATTACTATTGATTATGTAACAGATTTTGTTATCATAAAATTTGAAAGTAGAAATGAAGATAATATAATATAAGTTTAAGAATAATGTAAAAATAAATAAATATTAATTATTAGAGTATGCAAATATACCTTATTCATAATTCTAAGATAAGTTAATAGAATTAAGAGATAAAAGATTAATAAAATAATAATAATAATAATAAAATAACAATTAAGAATTAGAGATTCCTTATTCAAAAGAATAGTAATAATAACCTGATAATTAAAAAAAAATAGAATATGTAGAATAACACAATGATGAAGATGATTAACCAGAACTTAAAGTAGAAAGTCAATAAACATTAATAAATAATTATTAATAAAGAAAAAACATTCAGTTTTTAAAATTTTAAGAAATTATGCCAGAAATATTTGAGATTGATTGATTATTCTGTGAATATGTGTTATTTAATTTAATAATTGATTATAATACATTATAATTAAAGATATATTATGATATTATTTAGATTAATTATAATGTTAACATCTGTTTTGTATTCTTATGATTATTAAATTTAGTTACATATAAATCATAAATAAATTCATTTTTTTTTTTCTATTATGGGCAGAAAACACAAGAAAAAAGGAGGAAAAAACAAGCGTCATCAACCCCCTCTACCACCTTTAGGAGAAGACTTTAAGTAAAATCTATATCTAGAAGGTATCAATTTTTTAATAAAAATAGCTTTGGAGGGCATCAATAAATTAAAACTTTCAAAAGATCTCTTTCTTTAGAAATAAGTGAAGGAGGCTTATTTATTATCAAAAATATGGTTAGAAACTTGGAAGACTCATGTTGGATATGATGCTGTATTGAAAGGTGATTAACCAGGAGGTAAGAAATATGGAAGACAATAAATTGGAGAAATTAATAAGGATATAATAGCAAATGAGGAATTATTTCATTCTGCACCTGAATTATATTTTTATTTTGATCCTCCATTGAATGATGTCCAACCTGTAAAAGATTTTATTCTGATCACATAAGATGTTTGGGAATTCTTTTATGAGAAATATAAGGGAAAGGCAGTAAGAAGGATAGCAAATGAGTAAGGAGAATTTAATTTGATGACAATAAGTGTAATTTTTAGTTGATATCAAAGCCCTATGCAATATTTATGACTCAAGAGAAATTGAATCAAATTGGATCACTTAATTAAAATTAATTAGCAAATTCTGTTGATTTATTAAGAATGAGAAAAATATAATTGTATAGTGATTGGAAATTCAAAGAGTTAGAAATATATTGTTAATAAATAATGGAAAGTCAAGATATTCAAATATGGTTAATGAATCCAATATATGAATAAAATCAAATAAAATTATAATTGATAAAGACAATTAATCAAAATAAAAATATATTATTAGGTGAATAATTATTAGAAGCAGAATATTAGTAATTATAATTATCATAGTTTTTAAAAAATCATTTTATATTAGTAGTATTTTAAAATGAAGTTGAATTATCTTAATTAGATGTAAAATTTGAATTAAATTAAAATGGTTGCTGTTTTAATTGTGGATCAAAGGCTTTATTAAATTATTCATGTGCTTGCAAAAAAGTATTTTATTGTAGTGATACTTGCAGATATAAGGATTAAGAATTTCATTCAAGATAATGCACAAAAGCTTATGATTCATAAGATGATGATGATTTTGATGCAATTACATATGAAACAATATAAAATGGATAAGGAGTAGGATTAGTCAATTTAGGTAATACTTGTTATATGAATTCATCCTTATAAAGTCTCTTTAGTTCAACTCATTTTTAGGAATTCCTATCAAATAAATAATATTGGACTTAAAATACTATTAAAAGGAGTGTTTAATTAAATTATAAATTAGAAAAGCTATTAAAAAATCTCTTGACATAAAATAAAGCATTCTCTCCATATAGTTTCAGATAATAATTGGCTAGAAAATATCCATTTGTAAAAATTCATATCCATATATTAGTTTGGAAATAATTATTAATAAGATGCTGCAGAATTTATATTGTATCTATTTGATGCATTAAATGAAGAATTGATATAAAAGGATGATAAATAAAAACCTTAAATTTAATTATAATAGTAATTAGATTTAGGAGATGGTGATAAACCAGAACCTGAATAAGCAAATAGTGATAGTGAAGATGATAGTAGTGAAGAACAAGAAAATACTGAAAATTAATCAACATAATAGTAATAGATATAATTCCATAAAAAAGTACAATAAAATGTAAATTAAATTATAAAATTTTAGTAAATCAATAATGATAATTATGAATAAGCTTTGGAATTGATTCATAAATTAAATAGTTCAATTATTGTTAAGAATTATTTAGGAATAACTAGATCAGAAATAGAATGTCCAATTTGTTATTAGAAAACATAAAGTTATGAATAATTTTTGATTTTGCCACTTTCATTAAATGCTGTATCTTAATCAAAACATTTAGTTGATGTATTTGTTATATCAAATGATTGGTATAAACCATATGAAAAAATTGTTTATGAATATTAACCAAATTAAACTATGTTATTAGATGTTAAAAGAGATATAGGAGAAAAATTGGGAATAGAAGCTATTTATTTATTAGGTGCATTTTGTTCAAATAATTAAATAGATATGTATTTATTTCATGATGAAGATCAACTATCAAAAGTTCTTAATGATAATTAAAATTGTTATTTTTGCTTATTTTAATTGGATTAAAGCATTTATTCTATAACTGATGAAGATTAATATTTTGATGTTATGATTTATTCATATGAAAAAAAGAATGCCTTTTCTTATTAATGTGAATATATATGTGCAGCTATTCCTAAAATTCTTATTATTAAGAAATAATTTACAGCAGTTTAAATTTATCAATAAATTTGGAATAAACTTGGAGAACATTCTAAATCTGATTAACTTATGAATATTTAAATTGATGAACCTTAATAAGATAGCTTATTAAATTCATAATAACTCTTAGAAGTCTTAAATTATTAGATTATCATTTAAACTAGATTACCATCCAAAACTCCATGTCCATTTACATGTGGTAAATAATTTAAGAAAGATCAAAAGCCTCATTGTTGTGAATTACCCTTCAATAATTCAAATACATTACAATAATATTTAGAGAAAGCTAATTATGCTAATGCCCATACTTCATTATCTATAGAATTTGTAGAAAATGCAATTCCCAAATCTTTAAGAATTGAATTTGAACCTAAGACAAATTACCATAAACATGATAAATGTAATATTATATAATATATCTTATAGCATTAAATCTATTAAATCTTATTGACAATTTCCAATCTAAAGAACCTTTATTAGATGAAAATGCTTATCATTGTACAATTTGCAATGATTTAACTTTCGCTATCAAAACAATGAGTTTGTAAAAATTACCTGATTAATTAATCATATAACTCAAAAGATTTTAATATGATGAACATAAGGGATTCTAGAAAAACAATATTCTAGTCACATATCCAGAAGCTATTACAATTAATTAAATAGATTATGAATTATATGGTGTAGTATAACATTTTGGAGGATTAGACAATGGTCATTACACAGCTTATGGAAGAAGATAAAAGAAATGGATTGAATTCAATGATGATTCAACTAAAGAAGTTAAAGAGAATGATGTAATAAATGACAAGAATGCATACATTCTATTTTATTAGCAGAAATGATATATATCTGATGTATTTTAAGATAAATCATTTTTATTTAATAAGTAATAGATATGTTAAATAAAGTACTTTATCTATAGAAGCAATTAAGTTTCTTTTGCATAAAAAGATAAATCCATAATTATTCTTTACCTTTCTAATTTTATCATAAAACTAATTGTTTTTTTCTAAGTCATTTCAATGAATGGAATACATTTATCAATTCTTTAACAATTAAATATCCATCTAAAGGTTCCTCATAATATACATCTCATGTTCTAAAATGATAATGATTGAACTTTAATGAATTTTAAAATCTTTAAAATGTCTTTGAGAATGGCATCTAATTGATACTACATCTTTGTTTTCTCTTATGACAGCCTTTTTTAATAAGTTTTGAGGGAGTCAACTATGCCTCTTGGTAACCATCAATCTTGATTAAAATTTTACAAAATAATGAGATATCTATTTAAAAATTGTATGATATAGTATAAGAAGAGGAGAATTTAAGGATAATATGAATGATTTACTAAGATGTGAGGATTTTAAAGACTTTATATATTGTTTAATAATATATTATATTATATTTTATTAGATTTAAATGAAAAAAATGAATATCATGATTAATCAGTACATTAATAATATTACGCAACATAATTTATTAATAATTTATTTTGAGGGTATTTAAATCTTTTGCAAAATGTCTAGATTAATTATATATTTTATTCAATAAAAATTCAAACACTTTTTTAAATCAACAAAGAGTCGAAGTTTATGTCCTTATCCTTGAAGTGCTTCTAGAGATTTGGTTCTTATCCTTTACCAAGGAAGATCGGTGTATTAGGTTATGGTGCTATTGGGAGTGCATTTGTTGAAGTTCTTTTGAAAAACCACCCAAGTATAAAATTGTTCTTTATTCCTAGATGCCTAAATAGTTGCTCTTGATAAATATGATGCCTTTAGACCTAATGAGAATCGTTTTGAATGCATAATAGAAGAAAGAACCAAAGAAAATATAGGTGACACTCTCTCAAGGATGGGGTAATATATTCATTAATATCTAGATTGCAAAGCGGAGATATTTTAGTGGATTTGTCAACAAACATTGAATTCTTATCAATGTGGCCATTATGTGTAGAGAATAAGATTCGATATATGAATACAGCCTTGGAATAATGGGAAGACAGTGAAGATGCCAATTCTTGTCCTAAGAATAGTGAAGAAGCATACAAGCTATCATTAGGATACATAAAAGACAAGGCTAAACAATCAAAGTATTGGAATTCAAAGAGTGGAGCTACAAGTATACTAGAGATGGGATTCAATCCTGGAGTTATTTCACATTGTGTAAAGAGAGGTTTGGAAGATTGTGCAAAGTATTACTTAAAGCACGATGATCAGTTCAAAGATGTGAACAAATAATTGTTGAAAAAATATTTGGAGGCTAGAAATCATTCTAAACTAGCCCAGGTGTTAGGTGTTCACACAATACATTGTTCAGAATATGATAATCAAATGATGAAGGATATTCCAAAAGATATTAATACCAAATTTTATAATACATGGTCCTGTAGAGGATTCTTAACTGAAGGACTTGTACCAATCTAAGTGGCTAGAGGAAGTCATGAAGACCCTGAAATAGAATCCATGTATACTATTAGAAATGGAAAAACCATTGTATCAACTAAACCTTCAGTACAGACTTTTGCTAAGAGTTGGCTTCCCAATTAAGATATTACTGGGGTATTGATACCTCATGGAGAGGCTTACAGTATTTAAGACTATTTGGCTGACCCTGAAACTGGTTATGCCCCATCTTAATACTATGTTTACGATTATAATCCTTTGGCCAAGAAATTTATATCTGGTCTTCCAAAGAATGCTGACATCAACAATACACACCCTGAAATGGAAGTCATACACCCAATCAATCATCCTACATTAAGAGGTGTTGATAAGGTTGGTGCCATGATTATCATGAACAACAACCGAGGCTGGTGGACTGGCAGTATCATGGATGAGGTTGATAGTTCGATGTTATTTAATGGAAGATTTGGACCCACTGTTTTATAAGTTGTGGGAGGAGTTTATGCAGGATTTTTATGGAGTTGTATCAATCCAAATATTGGATCACATTTCCCAGAAAGTATTGACACTGATTTTCTTTTGAATATTGTAAGTTATTAATCATAACAATTAGGGGTAAGCAACAATGGGCAGATTTGTTTCAGTTAATGTGGACTTGACTAAGACATCCATTAAAGATTGTTATAAGTTGCAGAGCTTCATTTGTGACAAGCAGTGATTATTTAATAATTATTATTCAATTATAAATTAATTTCATATAATAATTGAATTAAGTAATTAAATATATAATTACTATAATTAATTGAATTAATAATTATTAAATAAATATATATATATTCAATAGACAGTATTTTCCATTCTTGATTATAAGTGAGATGACTATTTCTTAAGTTAATGTTCAAGATTCATTCCAAAAGATTCTACTCTTTTTTACTTCTCTGCCTTATAATTAATAATGCAAAATATTATAAAACTACAACTTATTAACAATGGTAAACCAATTAGAAATATAAATAATAACCATTCCATTGTTATATAATGATGATATCCTGTATTTGAAATAATGATATCCATACATAAACCTTGAATTTCATTTAAATTACTAGGACACAATTAAACATTCAATATAGTTTTAGGAGTATTATTCTAATCAGCCTATAATTTATTAATGATTCAAATTACTATTAATGTAAATTGATCATTGAGATGAAACCATCTTAATTAAAAATCTTATTAATTATTATCTTATTCTAATATTAACATTCTAACATGTTCATTTAAATATCCTTTTTGTATGTCTAATAACATTAAATTTCCTTATATCTAAGCAGCTTGGATAACAGACTTCACTGAATGATTTATTTAATATTGTCCCCTTATAAATAATTTAACAAATTAAGTTTATTCAGAATAGTTTCTAGATGCATTTCTACAACTAATAGCAAAATATTCATTGTAGGATGCTTTTAATGATCCTGGTGGACTTTAACATTAAGTGTATTATCTATTTTAAATTAATTATTACTTGAAAATCTATTCAATCTCAATTCTACCTTAAATTTAAACTAAATCAAAACTAAGAGAATCTGTTGTAACATTAATTGTATAAGTAGATTCATTCTAAAATTGAACTTCAGTATCAATATATGTAAATTCAATATAATTCTGAACAAAATTACTCACTAAATAAATATAATTATAAATTTACTTAATTCTTTTATATTTATAATTTCCACATTTATCAATTTATATTATGGTTACTTATTTGTTATGTATATGAAACTTATCTTTAATTTATATAAATTAAATGAATATTGATCATTGAATATTAGTTCTATTATTGTTTCAATCTATGTATTATTAACATTTTTTATGGTGCAACCCTTAATACAATACATCTAAAAATTATTAACAATTAATGTATTTTTATTAAAATTAGAAGCACCAATTACATCCAAAAGTGATCCATTCATTAATGAACTCTAATTCTAATCTAAGTATCCATAAAAGATACAAATTAAATTATCTCTTGATTTATCTTCTAAGTCATATCTTTTATTTCTTTTGACTATTGCAGTTACAGTAATGAATTTATATTTTGGTTTGAATTATATTGGGAAATTGATCATCTTTACATCATCTAAAATAAATGAACTTTAATTTTAGTATAAAAAATCTTTAAAATTTATATTTAAAAAGAAGAAATTCTCTAAAAACTATTTTTCTATTGGTTAATTATCAGATAATATTGTAAAACTCAATTAACTTATTTAATTAGTAACATTGACTCTCACCATCATAGATTAACAAAATAATGCTATTATATGAATAGCTGATAATTCTGCAATTGATAATGGATTAATAAAGGATTTAGTACAATTATTCACAGTTGGTTAATCTTAATCAAAAAATACATTTTTAATCTCTTCATAATCTATTGTACTCTAAATTACTTATTTATGATCTATTTTATAAGATAATATTACATTAAGTTTGGGGAATATCTATAATACCTATATTTTCATCTCCTAAAATAATTAAATATTCCTTAGAAACACTAGTTCCTAAGATTGTTTAATTAATCTTAAATCTAACTAAATTATCATCTTATTCTAAAATAAATGGGATCATTTTTATATTGAAATCTTTACTATTTTACAATTAATAATTAAAAATAGGACCAGAATAATAATCCATAATTTTTAATTCTGTTGTAAAATTTGTCTTGTAGATTTCAATTTCTTCTAATCTTTTTACACTCTTTTCTATCATTGTATCTTAATATCTAAAACTACCATTTATTGTAAGGGTTTCTAAATATATTGTATTAATTATAAAATTACTTTATACACTATAACTTAATGCAGATTAGGCATTAATTGCTACTGAGAATTAATTATCAATATTAGTTGGATCAGAAGCAATTAATTCAAATTCAAGCATTTTATTAAAATAACAATTTATATCAGCATTTGCAAATTACAAACAATATAAAAAAGTTTGCATTTTTGGATAACATATAGTTATTGGTTCAGATATAATTGGATATTTGTGAATTGCATGTAATCTATCTGATCCAGTCTTTGACAAATCATATACATACAATTCATTAGGTTTATTGGTTGGTACTATTAACATATAATAATTTATTTATGTTTCATTTGCATTGATAATGCTATTGAATTATGGTAATAAAGAATCAAATTTAATATCTTATAAATTATCTATTGTATATAATGTTATTCTATCATCTACAATAACTAATGTTAATATAGGTTTTTTAAGTTATAATACAAAGAATTTAAAATTATGAGTCATTTAACCTAATTCAATTTCTGCAATAGATGTTTTAAAATGATTTTCTTTTAAAGGAGTTGTTAATTAGATATAATATAATTTATTTTAATGACTTCCTAAAATGATATCATTCTTTAAAAATTGAAAATTTAATTATCTAAATTTACGATCAATTTCTATTGTAATTACATTATTAAAATAGATATCAGTATAATAGATTGTATTATTTGTAGTAAAAAATAAATTAATATAATCTAAATCTACAAAAACTTCATGTTCTAAATCATAGAGTGGATATTCAACATTTTTACATTCATACTCAAAAACATCTTCTTCTACTTTATTTATCTTCAATACAGTATAATAGGTTGTTTTTTAATAAAATATTATATAATATGGTGATATACTTACAATATTTTTTACAATATTAATTGATGAACAATCTAAAGAATATATTTTTTGAGTAAAATATATTGTATTAGTAATTTCTTATTAAATTATTATTTTCACTTAATCTATTTATAAAAATATAGTTCTAAATTCTTTGTCTAAAAATGATTTAATAGGGATACGAGAATGCTAAATAAAATTTTAATATAAATCCTCCCACATTTCATATCCAAAGCCAGAAAGGCTTATGACTTCAACATCTAATCTATAATAATAATAAATTCTTACTTTTATTATCACTCTTAGGTTACAGTACAGTGGCAGGTCCTCTTATTAATGTAGAATATAACACAGTTGAATCAGTATTTGGAAAATTATAATTTTATAGATGATCTATTTTGTATAAATTAGTGCTTTCAAATTTTTGATTATAAATCATAAGTGTAATATTTTAATTATTCATACTATTGTACATAGAGTTATTTTGAGTAGTTAATATAATTGAACAAAGAAATTCTTCATTAGATGTGGATACTATAGTTAATCTTTCTATTTCATTTTTTATTAAAGTTAAAACTGCCTTTGTTTCATTCATCTATTGAGTTATTAATATGTTAGTTTATCCAGTTAGAGTGGAATAGGAAACAGGATATGTTAATAACATTGGATGCTGATATTTATTTCGAAGTAATAATTTTTCAGTGTAAGATTAATGTCTATTAATTCTATAACATTCTATAGAATTTTAGATATAAGTAAAGCATACATAATAAAATTATTCATCATATTGAATTTATCCCTTTTTGATTTACTTATCTTTAAGAATATTCCTTATATTTATTTTATCATTAATTGGTAATGTAGTAAAGAAGAAATCTTTAGATTATTAAGGTAAAGCTAACTCATATATAAAATGATCACTCAGTATAACAATACTATATTAGATATCATTCTCTATGATTCCTATAGGTGGGAATCTGATAGCATATTGTTCATGAGAGTAGCTGAGTGCATAAAATAATTCATTTGGTAAAAATAATTACCATAGTAATTATTCATAAGTAATTTCACCATCATCTGTAAACACAAATCTATATACATGTAAAGCTGATCTATGATCTAATATAATAAGAGTATTGTCATCAAAAAAGGATATTTTTTCAATTTCATTAATTGGACTAATAATTCTAGCCATTTATATAGAATTAGCTTGATTCTTAAATTTACCTATTAATAATGGTGTTGTTAGTTGAAAATTCTCTTAAGATGAACAATAAATACTAAAATACTCAGGTTCTTTGATTCTCCAAGAACTCTCAGTAATTATATTTAAATTATCACAATTATTTAGTTAATCTGAATCTAAGTAGAGTTATGAAGAACAACCAGATAAATATTTATCATCTTCAGCTATACATTAAATTTTAGAGATGTAAATATCATTATCTGATTTACATACAGCCATGAAAATATTAAGAGAGTATTGAGTCATATCACTACAAGTAAAATCAGGTAAACCTTTAGTATTTAAATGGAGTGTTCCCAATTCTTTAAAGGGAGAATTGAATTATTGATTATCCTTAAAGAGTATTGTAATTTAACCTATTTTTTCTAAAATGAGTATGGTATTCTAATCATTTGGGTAATAGATAATCTAAATTATATAATAAGATAATACTTGTTCTATTTAGTTTTTCTCTAACAATTAAATTTACTCATTAACTTTATGTTCCTAAATTTAAATACGTTATTCATCACAATCTGTGAAAAATTCATATTTGTTAATATCAAAAATCTCATGATAATGATCTCCATTTGTAAGTAATATTAATTCACCAAAAATTGAATATATTATCAAAGAGCTTATTATAAAAAGATAATTCATATATTTTAATTATATTTATGTATTTTATGCAAAAATAATCAATCGAACAATTTCTCCAAGAATGATTTTTCTTTATTTTATTTCTAAGCAGTGCCACTCTATTGAGGTTGGGATGGTTATTGAGGTAATTAACCTTATTGATATGGTCTAGTTCTTCCCATATCTTATGGAATTGATTGTTATTATTATTATTATTATTATTAGGGTACTGATTAAGCAAACTAATGTATAATTTATAATAGATACTTATGCAGGTGCAACAGTCTATTACAATTAAGGATTATATTGTGTAGTTTGAGTTAAAGTCTATTATGCTTTAGGCTATTGAGGACCAAGGGATTATTGTCCATAAACTGAATATTAAGGAGCTTATGTTTAGGTAACAGGAATAGAATATCCTTGATTAATTTGGGTTGTTGCTTGGGCAGCTGGTGTGACGATAGGTTATTATTGAGTTTAAATAGTTTAGATTTATTAACCATAATTCAAAGGAACAGTCTATTAATAATATTAGAATAAAATTACTTAAGCTATTTATAATTAGGGTTATTGTGTTGTTTAAATAGTTTGATATTATTATTATGGTAAATATTGAGTAGTTGGGATAGTTGGTTATAATGCTACTGATTATTGGACTTAAACTTATTATTATGGTAAGATTTCTCTTTATTGTAAATAAGATTATTAAACAATTGGTTGTTGAATGACTTCTCTTGTTTGATATTACTATTAAATTGGAAGTGGCTATTAGTATGCAATAGTTTATTGTTAAGGTTATACATATTATGTATATTATTGAGTTACTTATTGAGTTTGTACTGGTGCATAGGTAGCTGATGTTTGGACTTATGCTGATTAATATCCAATTGGCTAAATATAATTATTGATTTATACTTATTATACAACGTTCTATCTTTCAACTGTGTAATATTCAGTTCTTTCTGCTACTCTTTCAACTGGTACATATTCTATCTATTTCTCTTGAATGACTTAAGGTATATATTCAATGTCATATTGCACTGCATAATAATCAGTGACTTATTTGGTTATTGGTACTTGCACTTGTCTTCTCACTTCTTCATATTCAGTTATTGTTCTCTCATATGGAATGTATTCAATTCTTGACTATCCTTTTACTAATTGACCTTATTAAGTTTCAACTGTTTGTTAGGGTAGTTGTTAAATTTATGATTGGCCAAATATTGGTTGTTAAGTGAATTATTATCCTATTAATCCTACTTGTGGTTGTCCATATAATTGTTATGTTTATACATTTTATGGTAAGATACCTGTTTGTTGAGGCAAGTATTGTATTCCTTTCTCACCAGATAGTTGAGGTTGATAAATACTCTATGGAACTTATTATTATCCTAATGTAGGTTATTAATAAGTGGATTGATCTCTATTTTATGAAGGTAAATTTGATGGTGTTGAATATTATTGCTATGGTATGTTAGCCATAAAAAGATTTTTAATTATTAATTATTAAATTTTATTTGTTTATTCCTATATAAATCTAAATTATATTAAATAACAATAAGCACGAATTAAATTTCATTTTTTTAGCATTTTCTATATATTTCTTAATTATTCTTTATATATGGTCTCTAACTATTCTTCATTTTACATTGATTATGCTTTAATTGATAATTATTACAAATCCTATTCATCTAAAGTGTTCTTATCAGCATAATATCCACAAATGTCAACATCACCTCCTTCACTTTATAATGTAAATTCTCCATTAATTTTATAATCAATCAAAACTTAAGGCTTTTAATATATTATTTATATCAAACCTATTTCGATGTCAATGTAGCAATAATGATATTATTGAGTCTAACTGTACCAATACCACATAAGTTAGTGAGTATAAGATTAGCCTTAATGGTTTTAGTTTATCCATTTTATAATTTTACACCCCAAAACATAATTAATTAAATTAAATGTCTTTTAAATATCAAGAAAAAATAAGACACACTTCCTGAATGATGAAAGATGATTTAGATCTAAAGGATATAAAAGATCCTGAAAAATTAGGCTTAGATTAAAAAGTGGATTGGTTATTGACCAAATAACATTTTAAGCTTGAAATTTTTTACAAAAAAAAAGCATATTCTAAATCTTATCATTGAATAATAATTATCATCTACAAAATCTACTCAACCATATTAATGATAATCTTTTATTTCTAATAATTTGTTCATCCTCATTATAAGATGCTATACTCAAAATACTATTAAATAAGGAAATGCTATAAATGAATTACATCAAAGTCAACAATAAGATTCTAATAATCGTTTCTTAAAAACAAGAATCAAAATTAGTGATCAATACTGTAATAAATCAATATCATTATCAATACTTATTAAGAAAATAAAAAAAATAATATCAATAATAAGATTAAAAAAAATAATCCTTGATCCTCTTTGTTTACCATATGATAATTATGAATTGAACTTATTTTCAAAATATGAAATTTTAAATAAGATTTTTTTATTGGTTTTTTCTTTAATCTATTATGGATATATCAAAAATAAATAAAGATAAATATTTTTTTATGGTGCTTTTTTAAATTTAACTTTTTTTTGAATTTCATTCTTATCTGTAATAAAAATAGAATGAATATTGATTAAACTAGGTTATTAATTTTTCATTTGATTTAATAAAAATAATTATAATTTCTAAAAATTGCACCATCCATCTTATTAAAAGACTGATATTGAAAAATAATTATATATATATCTAATAAAAAGTGGATAATCAAAAAATAAATATGGAAAATAGTAATTTCCAATTTTTATCAATAATCTAAAAAAAGAACTCCTATTTTTTGATAATGTAAAATCACAAATTTTATCTTAACAATCACCCTCTAAAAGAAGCAAAGTAAAATTCTGTTAAACAAAAAAATAAACAAGAAGAGAAAATATTTCATTTTGAAATATTAATAATTATAACTCATTTCATTGTTTCAAATTTTAACTTATTTACTTTGTTTTATTAAATATGTTTCTCATTTTCTGATGTTTCTTAATCAATTAAGAACAATACAATGTAATTATCTCTTTCTTATCAATCACAGTAAATGGACTAGAATCAATATCATTCCATAATTCCAATTCTACATTACTCAGAATATTTTTGGTCTCAGTAATTGTTGATATTAAAATATTATAAATGTAATGATTTTACATCTCTTCTTTACAAATTTATTTCCAATTATTTTCCATTTCCTATTTAGATATATCCACTGACTTTTGTTTCTATAACATAGCCAATTTTGTTATTGATTTTAAAGATATCTATTTGTTTATTTATTATTATTATTGATTATTTCCTGTTTAAGATTGCATCATTGAACCAAAATCATCTTTCATTACACTACGATTCATAATAGTTGTTTGTTTCATCTTCTAAGACAAATACATTTAATACTAATAATTATTACTCAAATCCAATTAATTCATTAATTCCTTTTCTTGAAATATTAAATCCTTACGAATTTCTAATTACTCTTTTATCAAAGCTACCATAATATTATGTACTGCAAATAAGAACAATAAAATATATGTAACTATGTAAATCAATGATAATTCTAAGCTAACTCCTCTTGAACTATCTCTAGCTACATCTGATATTGAATCTCCATAAATTAATGAGAATAGAGCATTTATTGATGAAGATAAACTCACAAATTAATGAGAATCACTAAATAAACACATACCTAACAATGCATATCCTAAAAAAACTGGTAAAAAATTTAATATAGCCATACAAACTGGTATTATAGATGATTCTAACACAGATGCTATTAAATGTAATTCTTCATAATAATCCAAATATTTCACTATAGAAAACCAAGCAAAAAAGCAACCTAATCCAGCCATCAATTCATCATATTATGATAAACCATCTACTCTTATGAAAGTTTCAGATATAAGTATACCAGCTGATATTAGTTATATAATATTTCCTAAAATTCTTATAGGTAAAAATAAATCAAAAAATAATAGTTTTTCTTTTATTGTTAATTATTCCCAAGGCTTTTATTCAGTTAAGATAATCTTTAATGTTGTTAGATTCTGATTTTTATATAATTTGTATTCTGGAACTTTTAATTTTCTTTATTTCTTTAATTTTGATATATTATTTGTATACATTTCAATAACTTCATAAATATATTTGACTCCCAAACAAACATCAATAAATGCCAATAAAATAATACTTAATTACAATAATAGATTATCTATTCTAACAGCTGTACTATTAAAAGCAGATCCATGTCCTTCTTCATCTTCACGGTTCTCTTTACAGATTCCACCAATAGAAGTTATAGTTGCATCTATATAACCATAATTAATGAACTAATATGTAATCTATATATCCCAACAAGCAGATCTTTATTATGATTCCACTTTGATTTAGTTTACTGTTAATGTTAATTCATAAGCATTAGTCCAAAATTCTCTAATTTAATCATCATCTTCTAAGTCAAATGGGTCAAGTAATGGTTCACCCAAAGTAACATTTCGCACAAAAGGATAATCAATTCTATATGCTTCAAAAGGATAGTTATAATTAATCTAAAAAAATGTATTACCTTAAACTGTAGTGTTCTAAACTGTAATATCATCAATGTTAGCTAGATTATTAAGAGTATTATTTAATGAATCTTAAAAATCATCAATTGTAAGTAAAGTAATTTTATTATTCATTGGTTCATCTGCATTCAACAATAATGCAACTATTAATCAATTTAGATATAATACCAAATTGAATTATTTGACCTGAATTATTATATGTATAATGTTCAGATATCAATAATACTTATAAAGTTGTAAGGAAAACTAATGCACATGAGATTAAAAATTTATAGGGAAATCTGCCATACTTATGATATTTTTCAAATGGAGAAAGAGTAAACTTATCCTTTAAAGTTTCTGTATAAATGCCTTCTGACATTATATTCTATATTGTAATTATTTTATAATTTCTATTTCATGGGAAATACTTCTTGATGAAATTGTCAACTGTCTCAAACTTTGGCATTGATGGCATAGCACCATGTTTAGTAATGCACAAAAATGCAGATGAACTTCCAAAATGCATAGCTTTATAGAACAATTTCTTTTATGTCTCAACATCTATTTTTCTTAATGCTAAAAGATAATTAAATAATCATTACTTGAAATTCTGGCTGGACCAAATTCAATTAAAGATCTATAAAATGATACAGTAAATGCAGAAGTGAAACAATCACCAGCTCCTACAGTATCAACTATTTTATATTCTTCTAAAATATTTGGATCTAATATATATATATATAATATATACTTAATTGTGTTACAGTTTGACATCTTACACTATATTCTTTAGTTACAAGCATACTTCCATTAGAACCTAATTTCAATAGAACAATTAAATCTGGATAACGAGTAAATACCTTTTCATGTATAGTTTTTGTAAGAAATCTTAAATAATATAAAAATGATTATTACTCTTCTGCATTTTAATCTGCATCCATATTTAGATCTTCTCCTAAAATACGTTCCAATTCTGTTTCATTAGGACTCACAATAGTTAAATTTTCAAGGAAATCACCTTTTAATTTCTCTGCTTTACCTCCACAATCTAAAACTGTAATCTTATCATGTTAAGCCATCTATGAATTAATATAATCTTTACATATTTAGCAGCTAAGATGTTGATAGATTGTGGTACTTCCATTTATAATTACAATAAATCTGATTATTCAATAGCTTATTAATATTCTTATGGTAAGACATCTAATGTCTCATAATAGCCATTTGCTCCTGCTACTATGATAATTAGATTTTCTCCTTTCTTATTTAACAGAATTATTGCCTATCCTGTTTATTCATCTACTTTTCTTAAAGCAGTTAAATCAACTCCTGCCAATGTCATTTCTTTTACTAATAATTAACCAAGCTCATCCTTTCCAATTTGACCTGCAAAGATAATCTTAGATTTGAGTAAAGCTGATGCTACTGCTTGATTAGCTCCCTTGCCTCCATTTTTTAAATAGGATTTCTAATAAGATTGTATTATAGAATACCTTAGAAGCGATAGTCTCTCCTTCTTTAGGAAAATCTTCAACTTCAAGGAAATGATCAGAATTAGCACTTCCTAACACACATATCTAGTATTGAGATTATTGCATATATAAAATAAATCACTTTTATTATCTTAATTACGCATTTTCATCATGTTAATTACATACTTTTTATATTTTTTTTAATTGCTCCACTGGTTCTAAGTTCTTAATTGGTTAATTGATTATTTATTTAACTTTTTATCCATATTATAATGAGCTCATTGATTCATCTAAGTTAATAAAGGAAGGTGAAATATTGATGATCATGATTGTTTTTGACTTATAATTATAAATTAATAATACATTTCCTCCTAAGGAATCCCTCATTAAATATGTAAGTTTACTATTTCTGTATGGAATGAAATTACTTTTTGTTGATAAAGCTATCATAACATCATTAAGAGCAGAGAGACTTTTATTAATATATTTAGCTTCCTCTAATTGATTTTATTTTAATCTTGATTTATTACATCTTTCTGAACCTGCCAAATCAATTAAATTTACTCTACTGATGAATTTCTATGAATCTATATTCTATCATACCTATTAAATACTTTTATTAAAGGTTTCAATTACAAGTTGAGTGCACATATGAGATCTTGAACTACAATCATTCATTTCAGTTAAACTTTATCTTCTTTTAGAAGATGCAAACTCAATCAAATTCATTAATTCATACATACTTTGTACTTTTATATTAGTCAAATTTTAAACAAACACTTACCCATTAACATTCTCCTTAAGTTCCAAAGTTTAAGAACTTTATTAATCATTTAATAAATCTATGATATTCTCTTTGTATATCTCTAAAGAACTAACTATAATTGAACAATCTAAATTGTTTTTTTTAATATAGGTATAGATATCTTCTATTAAATTTGGAATAACTCCAGGTTGTTATTAAGTGCCAAACATAGTATATGTCTTACCACTGCCAGTTTAACCATAGGCAAAAATGCATAAATTATAACCATGAAATATTGCTTAAAGAGATTACTGTATTTCCTCATATACATCTTTTTATGTAGATTATTGATTAAAACAAATATCAAAATTGAAGATTTTCTATTTTAATGAGATATGTTACTCATCTATAAATTAGAGTTCACAATCTTATTTATAAATTAAATTTATACCTTTTAATTTATCTAAATTATTTGAAGGTCTAACTCTACAATATACTTTTACTTTCCCCTTTAAATCTTCTAATTAAAAACTCATTCTTTTTAAATCATTAGTTTTTTATTTAATTTGTTCTTACAATTACAATATCTATGATGCATCTATCAAATTGCATTGAATACCAATGTTCTTACAATCTGTACTATCTTAAATTACAGTACTTCGATCATTCAATTATTTCTTCAATATAGTATAATGATAAAATTTAGTACTAATGGATTATTTATCATTAATAGAAGGTGGTCGACCTTCTTTCTTTAAAAATTCATCTTACCATTAAGTAATTTCCCTTTTTATTAAATCTTTCTGTTTCTTTAAGTTACTTATTGGATCTTAAATTATTTTCAACATCTTTTACTATCCTTTATTCTTATTTGACATTATACTATATTCCCCTTCTGTTTAACCAACACTTTCTAATGTATGACTATCCTAAATTTATTCAACTACTCATACTTTAAATAAACTATCCTATTTCTAATTAAAAGATGTTTATAAAAATGAAGTAGCCACAGTAGTTGAATAACCTTGTTAAGTACTTTTTAATTTATCACTTAAATCTACTATCTCTTATTTCTATTGACTCAATTCAATCTAAAAAATCATTTAATTCATTTTCAACTCTACTTCTAAACGATTAATTTGTTCTTCATAATTCGATCTGCATGACTCTAACTACAATAACCTATAAAAATACTACTTATAATTCACATTCTTAGATTATCATTTCTTATTGTTATAATTACTCACATTTTCTTTATAATTGACTTTACAGTTCTTAAATCAAGAATTTGTACTCTTCTTTTTCTCGAATCAATTGTTTGATTTAAGAAATAAATTGTTTATTCATCAATTTCAATTACTTTACAAATTCAAGTACTTCTTCTTAATCTATCAATATTTATGTATCATCTATATTCTCTTTATTGGAATAACTCATCACTTAATTTAAAAAACAAAAAATGTTATAGTTAATTAATTATTTATGTTAAAAGCATTCTCTACATTCTATCTAAATCGATAGACACCAATAGCCTAATTTGCTAAATAAATCACATTTGATAAATGGAATGTGATCAAAGGTGATAAAGTTGTTATTGTCTCTGGAAAGGATTCTGGTAAAACAGGAACAGTTTTAAGAGTTTATCGTAAATCAAATGAAGTACTTGTTTAAGGAATCAATTAAAAATTTAAAAGAAAGTCTTTATTAGATGATCCATCAGGATCTGGTATTCAATAAATTACAAGACCTATCCATTTATGTAAAGTAGCACTTATTGATCCTGAAAAAGGCAAACCAACTAAAGTAATCATAAATTATAGAAATAAGGTTTAAAGAGGATTTTTAGAAGATGGTACACCAGTGAGAGTATCAAAATTAAGTGGAGCTATTATTCCAAAATCTTTGGATCCAGCTAAATCACCAGCACATAGACATAGAAATAAGGTAGATGGAATAAAAGATACATCTCCTGCTCTTGCTTTATAGGTCACTTATAAAGGAGAAGATTTTTCTGCAATTAAAGCTGAATTTGATTCATTTATTGCTGAGAAAGAGAGAAAGGAGTAATTGTTATGGTTTGATAAGTGAATAATAAATATATAATGAATAATGATAAAAAAAATGATAAAAAACCTGTTAAACCAGTTGAGAAGAGTTCTACAACTAATAATTAATAAATATAAAGTAAACTCTTAGGAACAAATGTTAATGAAATAAATATTGAAAAACTTCGTGATCTCAAATAAACTTAGAATTTCAATTTACAAGGAAAACTTACATCATGTATTATATATATATATGTTAATTTATTTAGAAATTGTTAAAACTGTATCTAATAAATTTGGTCTCGATATTGTATTTGTTTTGGATCTAAGTAATTAAAAAATTGGCAATATTGAATGTTTAACAGAATGCATTCATTTAGTTTAATTGAATCTATAAAATAATTCAATTAGGTAATATATATCTTTTATATTTCTAAGTGATATTTCTCCATTGAAGGTTATGAAAGATTTAGCATTTTTGAATATTTCTAATAATCAAATTACACAATTAGATTTAGGTGAATTATCATCACTTTAAAATTTATAAGCTAAAGGCAATTTTATTAAGAGTGTTAAATCAATAGAATATTTAGATCGCATTAGAGTACTTAGAACACTTTATTTATAATGTCCATCTGGTGATCAAAAAAATCCTATTTGTGATCTTAATAATTATAGGAATGTTATATTCAATACAATTAAAGCACTTTAAAGACTTGATGGTTATACTAGAGAATAAGAATATAATACAGGATAGGAATTGTAAAAAGAATAAGTATAAATTAAAATTGAAATTCCAAATACTGGTCCATGGTATGTTTAATAATTCCCAAAAGTTGATAATCCTTCATCAGTTTAATTAGATGATAAAGGAGTTAAATAATCAATAGATGAAACAAAAAAGTTGATAAGTAATATTGAAATGAAATTGGCTTTATTAAATTGAATTAATTATTATATTTATATATATAATGTGGCTTAGATTGTCATATTTATCATTTAGATCATGTTTTAATAAGAAAATGATCAATGGGAGATTTTTTGGTCCAGATATTTCAGGAAGATATAAGGGTCTTTTAAGGAAATAATTTTATTTTCATGGACTCCCATGGATTTATGATTAACCTAAAAATAGAGAATTGAGTCCTTACCATAGAAAACCTAAAGGACATAAGCGTGAAAGAACACGAGAATAAAGGTATGATAGTTAAATAAAATTTAGAATTGAAAAAATAAAAAAGAATCTTATGAATTATGCTGAAGAAGAATTTAAATTTAGACAAGAAAGATTAAATAAAAGACCTCCAGGTGGTTTGGATATGTAATGGATATTGTTTACAATAGGATTGTATAGAAAATGATTCCATCTTGGATTCATCCAAAAACAGCTGCCTAATTATAGAGTACTAAGTAATTGCTGTTGATGAAAAGAGGTAGATAACCCAAATAAGAAGAGGAATACAAAACTGATCAATATGAATTTTGATATATATATGAACAAAAATAAATATATTAAATAATAATTATGGATATTGAGATAATCAAAAATAAATATTATGGCAATCCTAATTTCATATAAGAGTAATTCTTATTCGAAGTATCCAATTTAAAATATTAATTTGAAAGCTGTTCTCAATAGAATTGTTAAATTATGCAACTCAAAATAAAACTTAGAATTTAGAAATTGTATTAAAGAATAAAAATAATTCAGAAAGGATTTTGTAAATAAGTTGAATGACTATTTTAATAGTTAACAATAGGTATTCAATAATAATCAATATATTAGTAACTTTATGAAAAGATTAAACAGAAATGCATAAACAAAAATGATGAAGAATTAATTGAATGTTTATTGGATTAAAATATTAATTAAAATGAAATACAAAACAAAATGTAAGAATTCAAAGAATGGAGAAGAAATATCATTAAAACTTTGATCTGATCATATATTAAATATCATAAGTAAACTTAATATTATTATATACTTTTTATCTTACATAAATAATTAAGAAAGGACTTTTAATAATTTTTAATAAGAATATTTTAATATTAAAATGTACTAAACTACCATTTAGATGGTGTTTATTTTTGAATTTATTTATTCAATAAATTTGCTTAAATATTTACATTATTTTTGAAAAGACACATTTTGTAATAATCATAAAAAATACTAATTTCATTATTATTTTTAAATTGAAATTCCAAATATATAAATAATTCTTATGCTAACTAATTATTTATTATTCATTCTCTGAATACAATATGTAATTAATATATATTATTTCTAATCATAATTAATCAATAATATTTATTTGTGTCATAAATCAATAAAGTATAATACAGATCCTACAGTAACTATTTATAAATCATTATTTTATTTAATAAATTAAATGTTTTCTTAAAATGATGTAGATGATAAAATTAAAAAAGAAATATTTAACTTTGTGCCTATAACTTAATTTGGTAATATTAATATATGGATTTCTAGATGTATTTTCATATATATGAGTACTAATTTCTATAGGTTTAGTTTCGAAATTCTAAAAGTAAATTATTCTCCAGTATTAGTTGCATCAATAAAATAATTGGTAATTACAATTCAATTAATAATAACCATTTTTATTAATACAAATCAAAGTCATATAGTAATTAGATTATTTTTATATAAAAATCTTAAAAAAATGTCATTGTTATAAAGTATTTTTAACTCCTTAATTTTATTTTGATTAAGATGATGTTTTTAACTTTCATTTTAATGTAATATTATACACATATTTAAATCTTGGGACTTGAAGGGGGGGAAATTTAAAAAGAAAAAAAGCATTTTTAATTATAGATATGGACTTCCATTAGTAGGACAGCGATTTATTAACATCAAAACCTACCAATCATATGACATAAGAATTGGTTTCTTAAGGTTTAGGTGTTTAAGAACAAAGTGATTGTAGCTATTCATCTCAACATTTGTGTTCTGTAATTAATTCAGACTTAATTTTGATAGAGTGAACCCAATTGTAACAGGAACATCAATGGCAATATGAGTTCATTTAAGAAAGTTAGTAAAAGCAATTTAGATCTATAGAACTTAACAAACAAACATTCATATATTTGTGCTCATTATAATTTCTTAGGCAATTGCTTCTAAGAACATTGCAAGTATTCTTTAAAAAATAAATTAAAAGGAAGAGACATGTTTTGATTTAAGAAGAAGATGAGTTAAATGAATTCATAGCAGATAATATTGATCTAATAGATAACCTTATAAGTAGTGGAAAGAAACTAAAATTGTCTTAATCTACATATAGAACCTAATTAGCCAAATATAGGAAATGCAAATCTAATAATAAAGAAATTTCAGAGAATTTAGAATCTAAGTTCTCAAATTTAGATTAAATCACTTTTGGTGATTTTTCAATAGGAAACTTGTGGAATCTGAATGCTTTATCTTTTTCGACAAATCAAACCCATTCTTAAACAGATCTCAATACTAATTTGATCAACAAATCAATCAGTCATTTGATAAAACCAAAACCAATGGTTGATTATAAATAGGTATCTGAAATATTAGAGAATTCTACATCTCCTCTATCAATTTCCTGTGAAATTAAAAAAAATCTCATGTCTAAACTAAAATCAGACATTGACAAAATGCAAGAAAAAATTAAAATAATAGCAATGTTAAAAAAATGGATAAATAATCAATAAGTTGACTTCAATGAATACATAACTTTGCACTCTTCCCTCTCTTAAATACAATAAATACATTATACTAATTTTCTTAAGATAACAAATATGACAATACCAAGTAAAATTTTCTATTTATCCTTTAGATTAAGTAAATATCCATTAGTAGTTTCAAAATATCTAAAGTGTTTAATAATGAGTTTTTTTCATTGTTTGAGTTATGTGAATATATCAATATTATATAAATATTTAGATGATTCTGAAATTCTTTGTTCAAATTTGAATTATTTTTATAAATATTCATCTTGTGAACTGATTAGATTGATTTGATTTACATCACATAACATTTTAAACTTAACAATTTTTTTAAGTTTTTAAGCCTCTTTTAACATAATATTATTGAATTTTTATATAAAAATATTATTTGTAGTTTAAAAATCAAATGATAAAAGAAATACTATATGTCTACTTAAATATTGTATTTATTTTGTGTATATACTATTTTAATAAATTGTAAGACCTTGACGATGATATCCTATTAATTTTAATTAAATGATCCATGAGATAAATTAGAATAAAAATCTAAAATCCCATCTTGATTATATAATTTGATGAATATGTTTAAATGATCATATCTTCTCTTAAAATGTGCTATCTGATTTAGTTACTTTTTTATAGTCTGCTTATTGATAGATATTATATGAAGTTCCTTTAGGATACCAATTTTCATCTAAATAATTATTTAACTTTTTTATACCTTCCATTTCTAATTATTCTTGTATATCATCTTAAGACTTCCATAGTTCTCTTCTACAATTTGGATTTTTTGGAGATGGGAATACTCTATCACTTTCTGGGATATTGAATTAATCTTCAATTCCAACCATTTCACCTCCCCCTATAAAAGATATAAAAAGGATATAATTACATTCACATTCATATTCAAACCAAGTATTAGGAACACCAAGATCCAAATCACCTGTAGGTTTGATCATTGGATCTGACCAAAGGAAAATTTCCCAATGATAATCAATCAATTCCCTCACAGGAGCAAAACCAACAGGTAATTTAGCTAAATCTTCAAGTACTTAGACATTCCATAGGATTTCAACTTTTTCTCCTTTAGAATTTGTAACAACCTATCTTGCAACATAAACACTATTTGGGACATAATCAACATCAAATCCACAATTATAAACCAAATATGCAAAATCAACTTATTCTTATGGTGTTAATCCCATATTTAAGATCTTTTCAACTTCTCTTCTAGTTATTCCTATAAAAATAGAATGAGTAAGAAACCTGGGACTCTTCTCATGATTTCATCAGGATCCATTTAACAACTCCATGTTCCTTATCTACCAATAGAAGTGTTCTACCAAACAGCTCTTACATCTTCCATTCTAATTTACAATATGAAGTATAAAATTACGTATAGGGACCATCATAAGGAGGAAGAGGACCAGATTATCTGACTGGATTGACATGTCTTACATTACGAACTGAAGTAGTAATTAATTTAAAATACCTGGTAGAGGGACTTACTATGATTTGGCAATGTCAGCAATTTCCTTATTGGATTAGAAAAAGTTTGGGTTAAGGTAGTGTCTATATCTGTTTGGATTATATGGGCCATCTAGTTGATTTAAGTTAAGTTGTTTACTTCTTGATGAGAATGTGTATTATGGTAATGCTTTCCGGAATCCTATGTTAATAACACGATTAAGCATATCTATATATAAATTATTTATAAAATGTATATATATATATTAAAAATGAATTATATATTTGGATGAGTTGTTTTAAGTATGAGAACAGAAATACAATTATTATCCTTATTCTTGCATAAATTAATCAAATCGAAATTATTATATATTATTTTTAATGAATTAGAAGAGCAAAAATTGTCATTATACTTCAAGAGATAACAATATAACAATTCCACCTACTCGTAGAGGAATTTCGAATTTTCTCTTAAAAACTTACTCAATGGTTATGGTATGTAAGACATCTTTCATTTTCTTATAATTCAGAGCTTTAATTTGTGAATCAAATATAATGATTTGAGAATTAAATTCTGGAAAATTACATTATGAACCAATATATTAATAATTTTAATATAAACTAAATAATTAGAATCCAGAATTTGAGAATATCATCTCCTTTAATAGTGCTGGAAATGCCTTTATAGTCAAGGATTAAAATGGATTTAGTGATTATGTGCTTCCAAAACAATTTAAGCATTAAAACTTTAGTTCTTTTATAAGATAATTGAACATGTATGGTTTTAAGAAGATAAGAAATGTCAATAATTAGAATCAGTTCAGTCATCATTATTTTTTAAAAGATAGAGAGTACTGAATTTGATTAGAATAGAGATCTACTATAAAAAATAATAAGAAAAAACAGTGTTATTTAGAGATTTCATTATATAAAATTATAGAATAAAGCAAAGAAAGAAGTTGATTAATTAAATTCCAATTATTTAGAATTGAAGACAGATATAGAATAAATATAAAAAGAACTCATTTATTTTTATTAATAATTTGACTAAGTTAAAATTTTTATTATTATTATTAGTTTTAATCTAGTCTATCAACTTTGATTGATTCCTCTAGACAATAAATTAAAGAATTAAGCATTATCAAGAATCAGAATTCCTTTTGTAATGATTTACTTTTTTAAGTATTGTCTAATGTATCAAAATCATAACCTGAATAAAATTATCATTGTAAATATTCAATTTATATATTATATTAGTCCAATATCCCTTTATTAATTCAACTCAATAAACTTAAACTACTAAAAGCAATAGAAGTGATAAAGATGAATTGAATAATGATAATGAAAATAATAATAATTCAAGTAAAGAGGGTAAAATCGATATTATTTTTATTATTTTAAGATACCAATCAAAGTTTTTAGAGTAATTCTTTTAGAGAACCTTAATAATAATAATTGAAATCAGATTGAATGGAATTTGAAATAATATTTATCAGATATTAAACTAAATTATATATTTTATAATTATTCCTTCAAAAAATAATTATTAAAATAAATCATATTTATTATAGATTAATATTTTGTTAAATGAAAACACTATAATATCTTAGTTTTAATTAAGAAATTGTGTTCAGTCTAATTATAATAATTATAGAAGAAATAATTAGAAATAAATAGTAAACTATAAATAATATATTAGAACTAAGTTCAATTGATTTTAAGTTCGAAATAATTCTATTCTTAAATTATGGAAAAAAAATCATTGTTTGACAATATAGATATAAATATAATAATTCAAAATAAGAAAAGGATATTTAATATTTATCAATCTAAAATATCTGGTGGTAAAATCTTAGCATAAGCATTAAATGAGGGTTAATAACGATTAAATGTAGTATCAACATAAGATCTCTAATGAGTATAATTATCAAATTTCCAGTAAGAAACATTTGAATATTCACCTAAAACATTTCTTGCTGATGATAACAAAGGTTTTGGTCTAGCTGGTTCAATTTTATATGGAGTATTTCTTAAAAAAGTATTCTTATAATCAAAATTCATTCTTATAAATATTAATAATGTAAAATACATTATTTGACTTTAATTAAGATGAACAGAATATCAAAAAAATTATAGATAAAGATATAAATGGTAAGACTTAATTAGTTTTTAATGTTGAGAAATATAATTCTCAATTTTAAGTTTTGACTTAAGATTGTTTATAATAATGTGAAAGAACCACTTCATAAAAAGGAGCTAAAGAGATGATTGAATGTATAATTTATTATATCACTTGAGTTAAGGCATAAGTAATTAGTCACGAAAAAGTAATTGAAGCTGTTAGATCTGCAAATTTTGTAGAAATTCAAAATGTGAATCAAAGATTTAAAAGACTATTTAAAGAAATCTTGGAACATATATCTGATCAATTAGGTAATGTATATAAATAAGAATATTTAAAATTATGGTTGGAATGTAAGAATTCTAAAACTATCTTATAAGATAAGGAATTAAGATTAAAGAGTTCTGAAAGTACTATATAAATTTAAGAATAAGAAATAATAAAACTAAGAACTCAATTTACATCATAAAATACATTTTTATAATTGAATAAAAAACTAGAAGAAACTATTAATAATTTAGAAAAGGAACTTAATCAGTTAAAAGAAAGTCTACATAATTAACTTAAAATAAATAATGATCTTAAATTTAATTTTGAAGAACTAAATAAAAAATATAGTAAATTGTAATAATCATTTGAAGAAGTTAAATCAAATTATGAAAAGGAAATAAATTAATTAAAATTATAAGAAATAAATATTATTAAAGCAAATAAAGATTTGATTGAATTAACTAATTAATTATCAAGTTAAATAGATAAATATAAGGATTTATATGAATAATAAAATTAAAAAAATCTTGATCTTAATGATCAAGTTAAGTATTGGAAATCAACTCATTTTTAAAGATTAGTTGATTTATAATAATCAGAATAAAGAATAGGATCATAAAAAGGTTATCTCTTTAAATATAGAAGAGAAGTTCAAGATTTAAAAAGATTTAAACTTTAAAATGAAGAAGTATAAAAAGAATTATCAAATGCAAGATAGACAGTTCATATATTAAATTAATAAACTGAATAATTGAGATTAAATTATGAAAGTGCAAAAACATAAAATTTAAAAATCTAAATTGAAAAACCAGATAATATAAATCAAATATTAATTAAGAATTCATAATCTACTAAAAAAACAAATAATGATTCAATACATGATTCTCCAAAAAAAGGTAAATTTGATTTTGGTTATATGAAAAAGTCTGTATAATAATAAACTCCAAAAGAAGAAATAACATAATTATTAATAAATAATTCAAAACTTCCTATTCAAATAAAATAAAAAAATAGAAGTGCAAGTGCTAAAAAGAACATTTAATTAGAAACAGATATATCTAAAAATAATATAGTATTAACTGAATTTGATTAAATTACACCATTTCTTGAGAATAATTTATAATAATTTACTTTTAGTCAAGCCTAAAGATTTCCTTAAAATTTGAAGAAAAGAATAAGAAGAATAAATACTGAAGGATGAATTTAACAAGTTAAATATATTTATTAATATATTATTATTTAAGTTCATTTCAATTTTCTTATGTTTATTAAATATAATATATTTTTTCAATTTAAATTACATAATATTTTATAAACACAAGAGATAAATCACAAATCAGTTTTTTCTTATTTATATGCAATACCATCTCCAATATAATAATCCAACCAAGCTTTAAGTTCTTAAATCACTAGATTTGAACTTTTCAAATATTCTTTAGGTGCTTTTTTATCTGCAGCTAAATACAACATTAATTTAGGAACTGAATCAACAGTTATTTTAGGATGTTCATTATTTGCAAGATCAATATGACCAATTTTAATTTTTTCTTTATTTTAAATTAATGAAAATTCATTAAGAAGTTTGAAATAATCATCAAATAATTCTTTATTTTTTGAATCCCAAAATAATATTAATACATTCTTTCCTTTATTGAGAACTTCTTATGAAAATGTTTATCCTACAATTTTATAAATGTCTTAATTTTCAATCTATTCAGGAATAGGTTCAGATTTATAAAATTCTGTTAGATTTTTATTTCTAAAATCATCAATAAATTATTATATAGTTTCTTAATTAAGAGTTTCAGATTGACAAATATATTTTTGTAATTGATATTTTCTAAAATTTGTTTCTGTAATAACAAGTTATGGTGTTTTTGTAGTTTAATCAAAATCAAATAAAGACCATAAATTTGGATTCTCATCAAATGTTGAATAAGTAAATATCAAACGATGATATTTTAAATCATTCATTTTATTATTTTAAGCAACCCAATAATAAGCATTAAATAAATCTTATTTAAAAATACCTTTAATCAATAAATGAACTTATGTTTAAATTGGTCCTCCAAATACTCTTGCATAATTATCTTCATCTAATCTATTAACTAAATCTAAGCTTTCTAAATAAAAGAAATCTAAAATTTAGTCAGTGTAAGTCAAATTATATTCATATTATTCAAATTTATCATTCCCCTTATGTAATATTAAGGTTGGAGCTGTATAATTCTTATAATTAGAATTGTATCCTTTTAATCCATCTATTCTTGCTTCTTTTAAATCTCCATTTCTAATTAATGTTTCAAGATCTTCTATAATTTAATCTCTAAATGTATAATTATCTGGTAAAAGAACTAATGAATTCAATTAGTTTTGACTGAAATATTTATTTACATCATCTTCTGTTTATAAGAATTCAATTTTTGGATTAATTATATCTATATTATAGAATAATATGATTACCAAATATTTGAGATTGAAGATTCTCAAAATTGTGAATCCTAAAGATTTTATCAAAATTCTTGACAATAATTCCTTTATTTAATTCAATTAATCCAATAGGACTTTTAACGAATATTACATCTATTTTTGTAAAATTAACATTTTCTATTATTGAGTTAAGCAATTTAACTTAAGATTCCTCTTCATTTCTATAATATAGAATTCAAGTATATTACTATTCAAATACAAGATGTACAACATTCTTAAATGATTTTTTCAAGTAATCATATGCTTCTTTATCAACCTCATACAATTTATTGAATATTTAATTTGGCTTGATATCATTACTTCCTTTAATTTCTAATTTCTCTTCTAAACTTAAATCAATCTTTATTTCTTCTTCAGTTTTAATTGGCTGATTATATATTCATATATATTTACTGCTAGTTATGCAGATGCAAACATAATCAGAAGACACACTAACATAAGATGCTATGCTTTCATTTAAATTTATTATTGATATTTAAGTATAAGACATTGACTTATTAGATTATGAAATTGACACGATTGATAAAATTTATAATTGAATAGTTTTCTAGAATATTTCTATTTTTATTTAATAATATAATTATAACATCTAATTGTTATATATAATATTCTTGCCATTTCTAATTCATAAAGATTACATAGTATTACTAACTTCTATTTATTTTATCATATGAGCACTGAAGACTACAAATATATTTTGACTTGATTATTAAGATAGAACAACAGATTATATTTAATATTATGAATCCTTGTTAATTAAAGATTTTGACAACAAACACTAAATAGATTTATATATATATGAAATAATTTATCATTCATAAATAAGCAAATAGCCAAATATTTCAATAAGATTATATCAACAATTTTTGCATTTATTTCATAAGTTGTGTGATTATCTCTATTTAATTATTGAATTAAGAATAATATAATGATTTTTGATAATTTGATATATGTGTTAATAAAATTTATAATATAATTTAAGTCTAATATATATAAATTTGGTAAATAAGAATACTATATAATTCAGCATTTACTGCACATTGGAGTTTCTATAAGTTTCAATTAAGTATTTTATTATTATTATTCTTATTGCGTTATTTATAAATTTCTCTTTAAATACATTTCTAAAGGTAATATTAAATTTTAGAATTACCTTCAATTAATTTTTCAAAACATTATACAATATTAGTTCCTCTATAGGCAGAAGTCTCTTCAAAGTATAATTAATTTTTAATAGCAAATTATTAACCTTCCTCTCTTGTGACTTTCCTAGAATTAGGTTGTCTTTCAACCAAATCAGTTTTATTACCAATAAGATACATAACAACATCTTTATTAGCTGCTGTTTTGAGTTCTTCCATCCATCTTGTTAAATTTTCAAATGTTTTTTCTTTAGTAATATCATAAACTAATAAAGCACCTCCTGCTCCTCTAAAATGATTAGTAGTAATAGCTCTATATCTTTCTTATCCAGCTGTATCCCAAATTTAAACTTAAATCTTTCCTCCATCTGATAATGTCACAGTTTTAGTTGCAAATTCAATTCCTACCTTATTTTAATATTATGTGTTACCAATTGTAGATGAATTATTTGTAGGTTACTAACCTTTCACATACTTATTTAAAATAAAAGTTTTTCCAACTCCTGCATCTCCCAATACAACAACTTAAGTTAAGATAGAGCTAATTACTTTTATAATTGATGTCTTCCATTTTGAAATTTGTTATAAATAGTAATATAAATTATATAATAGTCATAATTTTTTAATCAGCTAATCTAAACGTTTTTATACTTTCTCATCTATCTCCAAATTTTAAACTTGTCTCTTCTTTTTTCTTTTTTCATTATTTTCTTCTTCGTCATCAGTTGTAAGATCTAAATCATCATTCAATTAATTCTAAGTAAAAACAAGTATTTATTATGATGTCCTTTAAAGCCAAGGAGCTTCTGGTTTATTTTCTATAAGATCGGGCTAAAAGTTAAATAAGTATAAAATTACTTTAATCATAAACAAAAATTCTTTCTTAAATTCTGGACATATATTTGGAGGTTAGATATCTGGAAAGTTAAGAGATAGTTTGCATTCAAAAATTCCTGAATTATATAATGATATTTTTATTGTTGGAAATCCATTAAAAAGACTTTTCTCATTCATTAAAAAAGTTAAGATAGACTTACTAAAAACATTAGTAGATTTTTTATCTATTTAATTTTATATCAAAAGTTTTAAATAATCCAATTCATCTGAAACTACATTCCCTACTTATTCTCTTATATCTTCAACTTTGATTTTAGCATTTGTATATTATGATATCTATAAATAATAATAATAATAAATTATTACCAATAAATATATGATTGCCATATTATATTTTATACCTATTATATGTTACACTATTCTTTCTGATTTCAAAACCATCTCATTAGATAAATTTTCACTCTTTTCTGAATCAGCATCTTAATGGCTTGAAATACTATTTAATCTATCTTTTTGACAATTCAACCAATAACTTTCTAATTACTAAAGAATAATTATTGCTTCATTGTATTTTTGTTAAAAAATCATACTTGATGCTTTAAACAATAAAATATCTTATTTCTAAAATATTAAACCAGCTTCATTTTAATCTATATTGGGAAACTGTACTAAATCACAATTTTTTTTATTCTATGTAAAATCCAAAATTTATTTAATATATGTCAACAATTAAGAATCTATTTTATATTTAGATTCTCTAACATTTTATTATATTATTTAATTAGATATAATACAAGCTTTATCTATTTATTACAATTTAATCTCACACTTTAATTTTAATATAAGTATTTAATTTGTTTATTTTGCATCATTAAATGCTTTTAAAGCTTCTTCATAAGCATTATTATGAAATAATAAACTACCACTCCAATAATGAATCTCATCTGAATTATTATACTTAACATATTTATTCATATCACCAAAACTCTATGCTGTACTAAAAATGATATTTTTAATTACTCTCCTTTTATCTAATAACATTTAGCTCTTTCTAAATATGATTCTGAATGTTCCTTATTAAAATGAATTGCTGTTGTAAAATCCTTTATAGCTTCTTTCAATCTCATACTTTAAGCATGTAAGATACCTCTGATGTAAAAATGATCACTTATACTATCTTCACTTTTATCAATAGCCTTTTCTAAATCCTTCATTGCAGATGTATATCTTCTTTTATAAGATTTCATTAAAGCTCTAGCAAAAAAGATGTTAGGCTATTTTCCTTATTTAGAAAAGGCTAAATCTAGCAGCTATTCACATTCTTATACTCCATCATATAATTTATCAAGTAAACAAATCGAACATTTATAATAATAGGGTTCTAATTTATTTGGAAATATATCACTAGCTTTATTTAACAACCTAACCGATGCTTCATACTAACCTGATTATTTTCATATAATTTACATTTTTATATTAAAATAAGAGCTTCAGCTAAATATTTATTGTACACTTAACCTCTATCTATCTAATTGATCGATTCATAAGATTTCAAAGCCTATACATAATCAGATGTACAAAATTATGCATAAGCTAAAAATTTATAGTAAATTGGTTATAGGAATTTGCTTATAGGCTTTAAATCTTTAATTAATTAAAGTCCTTAAATAAACTATCTTTTCATTAATTTGACAGTTCCATTCACAAAGGGTTTCAATTTTTATATGCATTTAAAATTCTTTTTTAATTGATCTGCTCTAGATAGATGTAATTAAGCCTCATAAAAGTCCATTAGACATATTTTAGACTTCACAATATAGGAAATAGCTTTGGCACTTAATTAATGTGATGTTGACATCTGAATAGCTTATTCAATATAAATTTAGGACTCTATAAAATTTTCTAATAGATTTAATTTAAGACTTACTTTTTTTAAAGTATATTATTCCTTTTAATAACAAAGCTTCAGCATTTTCACAATCTTATTGTAAAATTGTGTCAATTTTAACAAGTGCTTAATCAAATTAATTACATTTAATTAATGATAGACAATGACGTGATCTACCTAAAAAGTCTGTATTATTTAATTTTTCATAAATTTCTAAAGCTTTTTGATGTTACTTTAAAGCTGAATGACATCTAGCCTTATATTAGAGTGCCTATTTATCATTTGGACTATGAAGTAAGGCTTATTCTATGAGTTTGAGAGATTCATAGTATTTTTAAGCTTTAAATTCTAAAACTGCTGATTGAATATAGCCATCCAAATAATTGGGATACTCAGATAAGCATTTATTGAACTTTATTAAGATCAAAAATTACCCAATTTCTTGCTTAATCAAATTGATTGAGTTGTTTGTATGCAATTCCTAAAATTAAATAAGATTTTTTAGTAAATGGACCTTATTCCAATTTAGTAATAACTTATAATGAGTTTCCTACTTAAATCTCTTTGATCATGGTTTGAAATTGATCTGTAGGTTATACTCTATTTTAAATAGGATCTTTGAAAAAGTTTCTATGAGTTTCTCTTGATATTGACAATGACAATCCTCTTGGTTCAACTGTATTTTGAGTTTGCTTTCTTCTATTAAATTTGCTTAAAATTAGTACGACTTAATTGTTAAAGATCTGGACATAGGAGATGGTTTTTCAATTTTCTCTGAGGATACTGGCATTTAAAGTTTATTCTTTTAGTGTTAATTATTGAATATGAATTTCTAAAACACAGGGGACTATATGTATATTTTCATCAATAAATTAATTATATTTTTTTAATGAGTAGTTAAGATCTTGAATTTGTGTAAGAGAATTTGTAAATTCTTATCAAGACCGTGTAAGAGTTGTAAAATTAATTTTAGGGGAAGGGTATGAAATGATATTCATATTTAGAGAACCAAGAACAAATTTAAATAGTAAATATATGATGCATATACAAAATATAGAATAAACAAAAATGCCAAAAGTTAATTGATGCATTAACAATTAAATTTAAATAAGGCAAATTCAATAAATCAGAAAACATGACAATTTAAATGCTCAAAAAAGAATATGCTAAGGTACATTAAAATAAAATATCAGCAATAAAATCTATTTATTGAAATCACAAAGTCAATCAGAAACCCTAAATAAATAAACTAAAATGAGGCAAGAGAACTTGAAATGTAAAATGCAAGTAAAATTTTTCCTTTAATAAAGAGAAAATAAATGGAAAATCCACATATGTTTATGATGAAAATACCAATTATGATGAGGAAGATTCAGGAGAAAAAGGACCTAATTTAGAATAATTATCTGAAATGGAAGTTCATCCTGATATTTAACATAAGGCCATGTTAATTTAAGAACAATAAGAAGAAATAGATTGTATATTATTATATAAAATACAATAAGAAATTTAAAAGGATGCCTTAGAGGTTCTTAAAATATAAACTGAAGTGGCTAAAGTAGTAGTAGATTAAGGTAAGATGTTAGATGTTGCTGAAAACAATATAAATAAATCAAACACAAATGTAAAAGAGGCAGTTGTTGAATTAGAAGGAGTAAACATTTATTATATAATTATAAATTAGGCAAAAGTAGAGCATAAATAATATATGAAAAAACTTGGTGGAGCTATATGCATTATCCTTATAGTCGTAGCTGTTATTGTAGTTTGTGTAAAGCTTATTTGAAAATTATTAAAAATAAATTAAATCAACTATTATTTAATATTTAAATAGTTATTAATTGTATATCATACATTAAGTCTAGTTGAATTGAATATTATATTTCAACTTTTAACTAATATAATGGTATTTTTAATACAAAATAAATAGTCTATAGAATGTTTTAAACTTTTTAATTAATTATAATAAATCAAATATCTTTTTATTAATAACAATTTGAGAATTTAAATTCTTTATAACTTCTTATTTTTATTGTTTTTACATATTATATGAACATAATATTTCTATTAATTTATTCAATTTAAAATGATTGGAAATTTTTAAATGTTTTTTTGGAAGTATAATAATATATTCAATACTTTATTTATTTTTTAATAATAATAAAAGTTTTAATTAATAGTAATTTATTTATCTATGAAATATTCATACATAATATTATTTTGCATCATTTATACTTGCTTATCATACTCAATTAAGGATAAATTTTGTGGAGATGATAATTGCTACTAATTGTTATTCTTAAAGAAAGGAGCTTAATAAAGTGAAATAAGGAAATAATTTAGAGAACTTTCAAGGACTTTTCATCCTGATAAAAATGAAGGGAATTAAACTTAATATGTTAAGATAGTTTAGGCTTATGAAGTTTTAAGTAATGAGGAAACAAAAACTGCTTATGATGAATATCTTGAAAATCCAAATAGAAGTGAATTTTATCATCATTATAGATATTATCAATAGGTTTATCATCCACAAACAAATCCTTATATTGTAATTTCTGTTTCAACTTTACTTTTATCAATCATTTAATATGTGGCAAGAATAGGAATGTATAAAAATGCAATTGGAAGAGTGATGGAATCAACACATTTTAAAAAGGTTGTAAATGAAAGATAAAAGGAATCTAATATGAGTAAGGAAGAAGTGATTTAAGAGACATTGAAAGAAGTTAAGATAACAGGAGCATGGTCTTATCCAAAATTTGAAGAAATTTGGGTTATAGCAATCTTAAATTTTATTTATTCAATTTTTTATAGATTGTATTTTACTATGAAATGGAAATATTATTATAAGGATGGGAATGGTAAAAGGGAAATAAGTGAAAAAGATCAAGAATATAAGACATAAATATTATTAGGTATAAGTAAAAGTAGATGGGAATCTGTAGATAAAGAATCATTGATTAGTCGTTAATTATGGATACCTGAAAATATGAAAGAATTTAATGAGGAATAACGTCTTAGATAAGAGGAATATATTTAGTAACATAGTAATAAGTACAAATAGTATAAGAGATTTCAAAAAAAGATGTAATGACTTGTTAAAACTTGTTATAATATCTCAAATAAATAAAATTATTATTTTTTATTCTTTTAATCAACCATCAGCATTATTAATATCTCTATTTAAATTTGTGTTTACATTTGCTCTTTCAGTATTAGAGAAAGGACTTGGTATAATAGGAGAATTTATAATCTATATAATTTAAGGTGTATTGAATTCTACAGCAACAGCTAATCCAGAAGATTTCTTACTTTTAATTGCAGTTATTTCTGTTTCTAATCTTTCAATTTCTTAATTTTTAGATATAAACCAAAAACATATTCCTATTAATAAAATAGATAATCCAATTGGAATTCCCAAATATAAAATTATTTATGAATAAGAATTATCATCTTCATCAAAAACCATAATAGTAATATTTGTCTATCTTTATAATATAACATTATTTTAAATATTAGTTTAAATAATAACAGATTCATTTTGAATGATTGAATAATTTTATTATTAATTTTTTTGATTTGATAGAGGATTGCAAATAATATAAGGATCTTAAAATTTAAATTTAGTAAAAAATAATCCAGATTTAGAAGTTCCAAAAAAGAAATTCTCAATAGAAAAATCATTTTAATCAATTAAATGACTCATCGCAAGATCTATATTAGTCAAATAAAAGAAATCAATATCAATTGCTCCTAATAATGTATATTAAGGAATATGACTAATTTATAGACCATCAAATTTAGTCACAAACATAATATGATGTTTATTTTATCCTTATAAAATAGCAAATTATTATGAAACATCAACATCTTTTATTTTACTAAATGTTTCAAATGAATTAAGTTCAATTAATTCTTTTTCTGTAAATAGATATTCTACACATGTATATTTATGATGGTATTAATATACAACAAATATATTGTTCTTATAATTATCAATTGCAATAAATTCCAGATTGATTGATTAAAATTTATTTTGAAATTTAAGTGATATCTTAATCTTAACTATATCCATCTAATAGACAGAAATACTCTATTGTTATTCATCTAATAAAATAAGATAAATTGTATTATCAATTTTTAAGATTGCTAAATCTTTAAATCTTGTATTTCCTATTTAATCAATAAAATGTAATTCATTTCCAATTATTTTATAAAGATCTAAACCATCTTATCCAACACATGAAAATATATAATTATCATATTCTTTTGTAACACCTCTTTCTTTTCTATGTTTTATTTCACTTAAATCTCTTATTTAAAGTTTTGCTGCCTTTTATTCCATTTATTAAACACTAAATAATATAGCTCCTCTTGTTTAAAATAGTATACCTAAATTACTTGTACTACAATATAGTAATTGAGGCATTTCAGCTAATGTATCTAAACCTAATTCTTTGAAATCTGCCTTCCATGTTATTTTAGCAAATTCACCACTAAAATTCTAATAATTGAATTTCATCAAATATAGTAAATAATCTGATGTGATAAATATCACACCATCTCTAACATGTACCATAGTTACAATATTCTCAAAATGTTATCTTTTTGTTTCAAAAATTAAGTTTATTTCTTTTAATTAACAAAATGGTATAGTTTCATTTGTAATTAGTTTTGCATCTTTTGCTTAAAAGAGAGTTAATAATATTGTCTCTTCTTCAGTAGGAATCTGAAATTCTAATGATTCATTTTGTATTTATCTGATTCTATAAGATTAAACATTAATGATTAAGTAAATAAAAATAAACATTTATCATAAACTTTAAATTTCAAAAGTCATCCTAATTTTCAAGATATCAATTATTTGAATTAAACCACTATTTAAACATTATCTTTATTATTTAAAATATTGATAATTAAATTCTTATACATTCTTTCTTAATAATTAATAAAAAAGTATTAATGTAATCAAAATATATAATTCATTATTAGAGACATTATAAATTTAAATATTATTTTGAGAATAGTTCTGTTAAATTTATTAATAATCAAATCAAAATAATATAAAATATTTAATATTTATCTATAATAAACGTTGTTTATATCAATACAATTTATAGTTCAATAATTGTTATAATTATAAACAAATTTGAACTTAAATTAATTCTATTTTTAAGAATTCAATATTCTATAATAATAATATTAATTATTATGACATAGATTTATTTTAAAATATTATAACTCAGGATTATATATTTTTGTCTATTTATAAAATCATAATATGTTATTGTTTATACAATGCTTAACTATTAAATTATTATCAATAATTTCTACTTTTTCTAATCTAAAAAGATGTTATAATAATTTAAAATATTTATATGCTTAAAATATTTTAGAATGCATTTTCAAAAAAAAAGAAATCTCATACATAATCATTTTAGATTGAACAAAAAGATCCTTCTCCTGTTCACTAAAATTCAACTTTAGGCTTTTAAGTAATAGATGAAAATACTATGAATGTAATTGAAGAAACATATAATAAAAAATAAAGAAGAAGTCAATCTTTTTAAGCAAGAGAAGAATCTCCTCCATAATAAGAAGAATTTATGGATTATGTTGTTCAAGAAGATGATTCATTTTTTGGAATTTCCCTCAAATTTAATATTAATGAGGGTTATTTATTGAAGATCAATAATCTATCTAGTGATATGATTTTTAAAGGTTAAATGTTAAAGGTTCCAATAACAAATTAACCTCGTTTCTCTATTATTAAGATTTCTGATTAAAGTAAAAAGAATGAAAATATATGGGAATAAAATAAATTTAGTTAGAAGTGTAATTATATAATTATATCTCATATTTAGTTGAAGTTATTTATTGCAATAATAAATAAAATACTAATGGAATCTTAACTCTAACTGGTGACATAGTACTATTTGATCCAATTTAATAAGAGCAAATACAAGATAAATAAAATAAAGTTCGAATGAATGCTTGCATTTCAATGATTGATATCAATGAAGCAGTAACTTATGTTTTAAAAAATTAAAATGGATGTTTAGATTACATTATTTAAATTCTATTGTCAGGAATTGGCAAACCTAAATTTGAAAAAAAGTATTTTAAATAATTAAGAAAATATAAGAAATAGAAAAGAAGTATAGCTACTGTATTCTTTAGAGTAATATAATTTATATTAATATCAAGCATGCTGAGAGAGATTTGGATGGAAAATTGTACTCTGAAGAAATTAAAAAGGCTAATTGTGCATTTATTGTAAATTTCATAAATGAAGCATGTACTGGATATTCTGAGCAATCTAAATTAACAAAACTACCATATATTGATTTAATAGAGACTAAAGAGAAAAAATAGTTAGAAATTGATGAAATTTAAGATGTAATTGGAGAAAGAATGGGAAGTATATAATATATTAAGTTATTATAGAACTTTGGGCTTCTTTAGAATATGTTCCAATTTTAAAAGAGCCATCTAATTGTTTTACTGATACTACTTACAAATAAATAATTGAATAAATTCCAGCTGTATATCGTTTAGCTGATTGGATTAATTTTTATAATATTGACTAAGATGGATCATCTTTTTAAAATATGCTCTATAAAATCAAAAATAAATATCCTATCATTATTATTATCAAAGATTTTGATAATTATGTTTTTGGTGCTTATATTTCAACAGAAATTCAATAATATAGTCAAGGATTCAAAGGGAATGGAGAAACCTTTTTATTTAATTATATTTAAGATGTATGAAATATTTATTATATTATTAGAAAAATGAAATTAAAAGTTATTTTTGGACAGAAAAAAATAGAAATTTTATTTATTGTGATGAAACAGGTATTAGTATAGGTTGTGGAGAAAAATTTGGATTATTTATTGATCATAGCTTAACATTTGGATATTCAAATCCATGTGAAACTTTTGATAATATAAGGTTTAGTAATACTGAAAAGTTTAGAATTAGACATCTTGAGGTTTGGGCCATTTTATAATAATGAATATAAAATTCTCTTAAATATATAAATAATTTTCAATGTCATCAGTAAGAATTAAGCTCTTTATTTTAATCTCGCTTTAATTTAAAAATATGGATTCTCTAAGATATTAACTCAAATATTGACTTAGATTTAATTAATTTGTTGATTACATAATTAAAGAAATGTACACAGTAAATATTTAATTAAATCAACTAAATAATATATAATTAATCTAGACAATACTATAATCATGTCTAAGATATTTACATTTTCTAATGTAAACTCTATAAAGGATACTAATTCCATTTGTTCAAAAAGGAATTTCTAAGTTTTTCAGAAGTACATTGAGAATAAGTTGAAGAAATCCACTAATTTAGATTAATCTAAATCAAGCTATCTAGATTAGAGATTGGATTCATGCAAATCTAATAAGGAATATCTTTAGAGGAAAAGTCAACCTAGCTTAAAAAGATTTGATTTGAGATCTCATCGGTTAACTTAATCTGAGAAATCTTTGACTTCTATTTTGATAAATAAATAAAGAGAAAAAAATAATATTAAGGGATCAAATAGTAGACCCTCATCAATTCATAAGAAGGTTAGCTTTTAGAATCTTGTACTTGTAATAGACACAGATGTAGGAATAAAAAAGAGAGAAAAATTAATTGAGAAAGAATCAAAATTAAGAAATGGATATTTTTTCAATTCAAATCAGATTAGAGTATAAATGATGCTTTGAATTTATGTAAATTTAATATTTCTTTTTTTCAATTCTACTCCATTCTACAGTTTTTTTATGGGGTTTTTATTGTATTTGGATTTTCAAAGCAATTTTAATTAATGCAGTATCATATAAAATATTAATTATGTTGTAATCTTTTAAAATTACGAGAAAACTCTAAATTAACATTGATTCACCTAATAAACTTGATTAATAAAGACCTATGTTTCAATCCGAAAGGAATATATTCATATCAACACCATCTCTATTCTAGAAACTTAAATTAAAACCTATTTAAGAATTCTAAATTGTTACTTAAGCAAATAACTATATTTAAATGAAATCATCTATTAAGAATAACACATTCTTCAAGTTAAATGATAATCAAGATTAGATGAAATAATTATATTAAAGGCAGAATTAAAAAAAAGTGAGTTTTTGTGATAAAGTCCTTATTATAGAACCTTAAAAAGGTGTTATTAAGAGAGAGAGAATATCCACAAAAGATGAATAATAAAATGTAACCAGAACACCTAAAAGAAAAAACTGCATTTTAATTCATCCTTAATCCAAAACCTTTAACACATGCTAATCTACTTTCATTGATTAGCTTTGAGTCAAAGAAATATTTGAATAAATATTGGTTTATAATTATTATTATTGAAACAATGGCTTAAGATTAGCGATCTCCTTTTGAATTAAGAATCTGGCACTTCTATACTAAAGAAGAGAAATCTATATCTCTTCTAAATGCTTATAATTAGAGAGTGATATTTTCAGAAGATATCAAATCTTTCCTTTTTAAGGATAGATTAAATACATTGACATATTTGGGATTTCCAGTTGCCTGTTATGCTCTCTTTCATATAGTGGAGCCTTGTAGCCATATATTGCTACAAAGTATTCAGTATCAGCATAAAGATTGATTCTTGCAGCTATATCAGGCGTTCTTTGGTTAGACTGGTTACATTTTAATCCATTTTACTATGCCTTATAAAAGTAATGAGAATTGTTGAAAGATTATCATAGTGAAAAATTAAATTTGTTAAATTTAATAGTAAGAAGAGTAGGATTAAATAGGAAGGCATTAAATGAATAAGTACCTCGTACTTGGACAACTTAAGATATACATAGATAAATTAGAGAGTCTTACAATAATAGACATGGTTTCTTTACTAATATCTTTTATCCATGTGAGGAATGAGCTTCCCCATTATAAGATATATCAAACTATCCTTTCAAATACAGAAGAGATAAGATTGTAAAATAATAATCCACGAATCCAACACATAATAATTATCATATAGCATAAAAACTTATTATGCCACAATCATGAGCAGCTATGATTTGGTCATTCTTATATCGAATACCACTGATAACTCCTGGTTTGTCATTCATTGACTGTATATGTTTCTGAGAGTATATTTGATTAACATCCCATACTCGTATTGTTCTATCTGTAGAGCAACTGACAAAAGACTGAATAATTTTGAATTTTCATACTTTCTCATTGATTTTACAGAAATCCATAACACCATATTTATGACCTCTAAATTATTAAATGATTTCAAATTTCTCTAAATCTATTAGTTTTATTAATCCATCTTCTGATCCTGTAAGAATTTTATTATTATCCATAAATAGTAAAGTCTTAATTGGTTTTGAATGAGGTTTGATTGACTTCTTTTAGAAGTTTTAATCAATCAAATATAGAAAACCACCTTCATTTCCAACTGCTAATAATTAATCATGATTCTAAAGTGAACATGAATAATAAATTGGATCTGTTTCTATTTTTTGAATTCTCTCTTTTGTATCAACATGATAAAGGTTAATGATTCCCATTTCCCCAGAAGTCACAACTATTGATGAATCATAAAATCTGACTTTCCAATTGGCAAAGGCATCACATTATATTTCAGAAATTAGCTTCTTATCATCGATATCCCAGATTCTAAGATAATTATCTAATGATGAGACCACAACTGATATTTTTATTATCGTAATTAAGTACTTTAGGTTTCATCAGCATTGATTGATAAGTCTATGACTCCAAAAAGATGATTTTGCAATATGGTTTCATTCGATTTGGATTGAAATGGTTGAGAGTAGAGAAATACATTTTCATCCAAAGTGCCAATCGCCAAAAACTCTTTAGAAATATCCATGCAACTTGGACTCTCTGGTATTGAGAAATTTGTAATCTCTTAGATCATTATAAATATAAATTTTTATTTATTTATCATGCATATTCATTTTTTAATTTTAATTTCTATTCAGTTTAGGATAGTAAATTAAACTCTTTTTAATTATTCCTTAAAGTTTACAATTTACGAGCTTTTTCTCTTTCTTAAATAATTAATTATTTTCGATTATGCTAGAATATATGAAAATATTCACATACTTCATTATATTGTGCCCACATCTTCTCATCTTCCTTCTCCTATTATCTTTTCTGTTCATTTCCTTATCTTTATATAGCTTAATCATTTCTAATTTATTATCTCTATTCTTCTGACATTCCCTTATAATGGTACGGTATGACTCTATGAGGAGCCAAAGCACTTTAACAGGTTGCAGTACTTTATGTTTAATAAAGGAGTATTGTACTTTTCAGTCCAAACATCATTATTCATTATTTCTTATTAATGTTACTTCTTTTCTTATTAAGCCAAAGCTTCCATATACTGTTCTCTGTCTTATTTTTCTTTAGCCATTTAGTTATTGATTTATTGATTAGCAATTTCCATTTCAACTCTTCTTCTTTGTTACTCTTAATCTAACTCTTTCAAATTTTGATTGATTTGTAATGTCTATTAATCATATTACTATTAAATCTGCTTATTCAATTGTTTTTTGGCTTAGTTATCTTATGTTTATTATTAAACCCAATCTTTCATTTACAATTACTACAATTTCCTTCTATCTCCAGCAGCTAAAATAGAGTATGAAATAGGATGACTTACTCAAGTCCTCCCCATCCATCATTTTCAAATTGGAAACTCCGACTTACTATTTCATTTGAGCATGATTATAAGTAGGGTTTTAATAATGACTCATTAAATATTTATATTTTTAATTTTCAAACATTATATACTCCAATAACAATAGCATGATCTCTTTCATATGGTTCTAAAGTCAATTATTCTTATGGGGTAAGACCTTCATCCTATTAAAATAATAAGAATTTTAATATACTTTTAATCTTTGCACTTCATGCTAAAAGACAACTTCAGCTCTATTAGTGGAATCAATGCAATTAGCTTTGATGGAGATCATAAAATGACCACCCTTCTTCAAGAAATATTGTGAGTTCAATCCCACAATTCTTGCTTAATCTGGTTATGCTACATCAGCAAATACAACATCAACCATTCCAACAAGCATCCTGTACTCTAGTGGCTTTCTAGCATCAGCAATAATAGGAACAATATTTGTTCGCTTCTTTGCCATATTAACAAGATCTCTACCTGATCTATGAGAGAACTCTACAGCATATACGACACCTACAATAAACTTTATTTGTTATACCTTCTGATCCTATAATATCTGACACATGAGAAACTGTGGTTCCTGATGCAGCTCCCAAATATAAAACTTTAGCTCCTGGCTTTATGAAAATATCACTCACTCCTCCTATTACTCCAGCTGCTATCTTTGATCTGAATGGATTCCAAACTCTATATTCTACTTTCTCCCCTGTTTGTTTGTCTTCAACAGATATCCTCTTTTCATTATAAACTGATTCTCCTGGCACCATGTTCTTAGTAACCAAAGCCTCTTATTATCCCTTAGCCACAAACACTCCAGCCAATCTTGGATGAGGAACTACGAACGCTTTTGGAGCTCCGCCCATACGACCTCCTCTTCCACCTCTTGGGGCTCCTCTGCCTCTGGGAGCTCCTCTTCCTCGATCTCCTCCTCTACCACCTCCTCGTGTATCTCCTCTACCTCCTCTGAAGTCTCTGCCCATAAATTATAATTTAAAATTAAATTTTTATTCAATCAAATATATTCACTTTATTATTCAACACTACATATCATCATCATTCCATCCACAAATACTAGCCATTCAATATCTTATATTATATTTTTCGTGCTACCTTAAACATCATAATCTCTCATTGATTATGGATCTTAAAAATTTAATTTTTAACCCTATTAGATTTGTAGTGAATTTGATTATCTATTAATATTTCTCTGTCTTCTAATTTTCTTGATATATATGTATAGCCACTAATAAATATGTTCACCTTTTGTGACATACTATAAGTTAATATATTAATTTTGAAGGTATACATATGCTATTAATTTCTATATTATTTTGATGAGTTATATATAAATATATAAATTGTAATTTTTACAGAAATTAATAACAATATTTTTTAGTTGTTTAATTAATACTAATTTAATCTATATATATATAATTCATCATTCTAAATAGAATATAGGCCTTCAGATTTTTGAGGTTCTCTCTTCTCAAATTTTGAGTTAGCATTAACAAAAATATTTGAAATTGATTTTTAATTTAAAATAAGTTGAATTATTTAGACTAAAATACATGTTAAGATTAATTGTATCATAAATATACTTCGATTTAGAGATTCAGATTTATTTTTCATATGTATCATATAATTTATAGACCTAATTAATATATATTGAATACTTATATTTGAATGATGAATTCCTTATAAATAATACTACTTATTTTTATAATATATATATATATACATAGAATTAAATAATATATTAGATTAGATTTGAAATATATATTTATAACAAATTAATAAATTTAAATCATTTCTTGATTGGATCTAATTTCTTTTTGTTTTTATTCTCTTCTTTATTTCGATTTTATTATGGCATTCTCTTATTATATGAATCTCTTAATCCTTCTTCCCATTATCCTTGAGACATTCTGACATCTGGACCAAATAAATGTTTAACACTTCCACAATTACCTTGCTTAAATTTCATGGTATATGGTGGTAGTTCTTGCATTCCTTCAAAACCAGAGTATGTAAATTTCATAGTATTAAACTTGCCAGTACTGAATGATTTTTTAAGTTCCATCTATTCTTTATAAGGTTTAGGAAATTCTGGAAAATCATGTCGATCCTTCTTTGGTATATACCACCATCCTTTTTCTCTTTTGCTAAGATTATCATCTTTATCTTGATATCTTCTCAATCCAGTTTCAAAATCTGCTAAACTTCCAGATGCACTCAATCCTAAACGATGATTAAGTAAATGCATAAAACTAGCAACATTGTCTTTATTTTTGATATCCTACACGTCATGCTTTTTTTCAGAGAATATGGTTTTTTTATCAGCAAGAGAATATGGTTGATTAGGTATTTTACTAAGTAACTCTTTCATTTTATTCTAGATATTTAATATAAAATAGACATACAGCATCCCAATGTCTAAGTTGTAAAACCCATTCAATATCATTTTCTGTGATTTCTGGATGTTATAGAAAGTGGAGATAAAAGTTCACATTCCTAGGTATTCTAACTTTATCTAGAGGTTAAAGGGTTTTATGGGATTTTTCGAATTTCTCTTGTTTATCTTGATCTCCTGGTTTTTCGAGACTTTTCTCTTTTTTTTGATGTGGAGGAGATTTTTTCATTTATAAAATTATTTCAATATTAAATATCAGATAAATTATTTTTGATAAAGTTTCTAATAGAGTATATTTTGAGTATTAGTCGTAGTGGGATCATTGTCAATAATAATCTTGTATTTGATATTTGTTTATTCAATTTCAAAAGGAATGGATACATAATTAAAAATTACATTATGAAAAGAACAACATTAAAAACAATAAATACTGCCAATTTCTAAGCTATATGATCACTTAAATCTTAACTAAATCCATCTATTATATGATCAATCAAATATTGAAAAGATGCTAAAAATAATAATATAAATAAATTTACATGTTAAATAATAAGATTAATAGGTTCTAGCCTCTTTGGTTTGATTGAAATTATTCAAATTTAATATGTTATTCTTTTCAGGATCATCAACTATCTTAGAATACACAGCATCCCCTCTTGCAACAGTTGTGAAATTGGGTGTAGATCCAAAACCTTTGAATTTGTCATAAATAGTTATAATATATCTTAAATTCTCTATATATCTAGCTACTCCTATTGAATTTCCTTATGCCAAAGCTCCTCTAGCAAAGGCTTGACAAGTAAGAGTATCTGGAGATCCATATGATGGTAACACATCACATGGATCAGACATCATAATATGATCATAAACAGATCTATAATTTGAGTTCTATACATCAATATTTAAAGCATGTTGTTATTGCATTTATGTATCATATGCATACATATCTTTTATATTTTATTTGATAACTTCATAAGGCTATTGATTTAATAATCGAATCTCTTAATTATAAAAGAGTTATCTTTCTGAATTATCACAAAATCTATAAAAACCTTCACATCTAGTTGTAATATTAAATTCAGCTATTTATTAATTTAAATTATTTAATTCATTTTAAGTTACAAAATAAGCAAATATAAAATATCCTTATAAGATCATAACAGAAAATACAAATAGTAAAATATGATCCTTATGATTTTAATTAGAATTAATAAACTTCTTCTTCTTCTTTCTTGATTTTAATGTTTTATTTAATTCTGCCTATTCTTCTAAATCTTCTTAAAATGAAACATTTTCATCTTCATCTCCTACTTATAAATTACTTATATAATTTTCACATTTACTATAGAAATACTTAACTGTCTTTTCTGGAATATCTAAAAATAATTATAGTATTGATAATCTCATCTATGCTAATAGAATAATTGATATAGAATAAATAATTAAACTCATAAATATCATAATAGCAGAAAGTGTAAGAACAATAACTTCAACTTTTTCTTGTTTAGTAGTTCTATCATCTAATGCTAAAATAAATTAATCTGACACTTCTTATAAAGCCATCCAATATTCATTTAAAAGATTGTATTCTACAAAAAAAACACTAGTTTAATATTCTGTAATTTCTTCTAAAGGGAGATTTGATACTTCAATTCCTTTACTTATAATTTATTGAGTGGCTTCCATAAAATCATACTATTAGCTTTAATTTGTGCTAAAATACATTTTAATAGCATCTGAAACTTTAAGATTGAAATAAAAGTCTGTTAATTTTAGATCACTCATTAATACTTCCTTATTTAAATCTTATATATAATTCAATTATTTAATAAGTGCTTCTTTTTAACTTATTTCATATGTAGATTTATTTGTATTCTACCATACACCTAAATTTAACATTTTCAAATTTTATACATTAGTTAATATAGATTATAATCCAGCATGCATTTGATTTTCTTTACCTATAAGATTGATATTTTCTTCAATTTCATTATATTATTGATTTAAATAAAAAAATTCAAAAAATGCTAAAGCTGTAATTATTAAATATAAAATGTTTGTAAACCAAAGCATTTTTTATATAATAGATATTCTACCTTAATTTTTTATTTATTCTTATAATGATGCTCTTGATTTAAATATATTATTATTAATATTCATTTCATTTTCTTATTATGATTCAATATTATTTTAAAATACACTTTATTAATGTTCTTCATCAAATTCTTCTATAATTTCCTCTTTATCAATTTCTTGAATACGATTTTAAAAAAGTTATAATGTTTTAATACCTTCACCATAATCAAATTTCTGATCTTCTGATGATTTTACTTATGTTATTGATTAATTTTTAATAGACATAGCACTGACATCAACAGTTTAATCATGTATTGAAGATAAATCATTTATAGCTGAAACTTGATCAGTAGAAAATTCACCTAAATATATCTTCTTACCAACATTATATTTAAATTAAAAATTAGATCTTTATTTTTTTAATGGAATTAATCTATTTTCATTTTCTTTTTATTCTAATTTCATCATATATCCTAATTGTTAATTATTTAATGTCACTGAATTTAAAGTACATACAAATTCTTATGAAAATTTAGCCTTCTCATCAATATATTCATTAGATTATATTAAACCACTAGCTATATCTTCTGGAATCTTATATTAAATTACTCCTCCACCTTTAATTAAGAATTCACTCTTATCTTATAATTATGGAAATATTTCACTAACCAATAATTTCTTATTCTAAATTAAACGTAAATCCAAACCAAGTAAACTTATACAATTAAATGATATTGAATCTATAATATCATCACTATCAAATAATATATGACAAGTTTATTTATATGGTTTGAATAATTTAAATTATGCTATTATCATAATTGATTAATCTAAAGATGTTAATGATTTCATTTCTATTATACATGGAATTATATAATTCTATTTATTCTTAACATAAATAGATCTTTCTTTACTCAATTTTTAATCAAATCCTAATTTCATTAATTAATCATGAGCTTTTTAAAATATATTCGGTATTAAAACATTCAATTTCCTATTAATTAATTCATTCTTCATATAACCAAATACATGACATGCAGTATTTAGATTAATAATTTAACCAAACTTATCAGGAGCTAATGATATTATCATTGTTGGTAGACTTTCCATACTAATTTCTTCCTTACTTGCCATCTATATACCTTTCCTTATATAAGATGCATCCATAACTCTAGATTTCTCATATAACAATTCACCATATTCTTAATCTTATACAACATCAATCATAAATTTACTATACATTTTTAAACTCTTTTATGTATTTTATTTAGTCTTTTACAATCTATTCCATGTCATTTCAATTTCATTCATTAAATTATGAATATTTAAACCTATCTAATTCAATTTTCCTAAATCTGGATAATCTTCTTACAATTATGACCAAAAATCCATATTTATTAAAGTAACTCTTTCTATTTTACTTTAAAAATTCTTAATAATATTTAAATAAATAGCTTCATTATGAGTATCTATCTATTCAACATTTTAATCATTCATTTCATCTTCTATTATTTTCTTGTATCTAAACAATACAAATTCATAATCCATTGTAGGATTTAAATTTTAAGCTTAATTGAATTCCTATAAAGCATATTACCGTTAACTAATATGAAGTAAAAAGAATCCATATCTAATTTTTAATTGATAATCATATGGAAATCTTTTACTTGCATCCAAATAATTTTGTTAAATGATCTTAATTAATTCTTTACCACAATCAGGTCTAATACATGTTTAATTATGAGTTTTTAAATATCCATCCAAAATTATATTAAATAATTGAGTATTCCAATTATGCAATCTCAATAAATGATGTTACTATAATAATATCTAATTTATTGTTCCTTTCATATTATCCAATAATAATAAATCCATTCTTTCTTCAGGATTTTATATTACAATTATAATTAATAAAGGTATTCCCAAAAGCCATGCATATATTGTACCTCTAAATATAACATCTTCCAGAATCTTACTAAAGGCTAACATAATGCAAGTCCAATTATTTATTGCTATTATCATTTACCATAATTTGTATATAATCAAATTGTTATGTGTATTATAATGATAATTATATATATAGAGAGTTATGTTTCCAAAGGCTATTAAAATCACTTAAACATATTATGAGTCAATAAATGAGTAATTCAATACTTGAATCACTATATATGTTTTTAAAATAAAATCATCAAATCCATTCTATTTTGATAATGGATTAGTATAAACAAATCGAGCTTCATAATAGAGAAATGAATGAATAGCACTCAAAGTGTAGAATATTATCAAAAAGATTATTGCTACAATTGAATGAACTGTATGACTGCCTGTCCAACATTCATAATTTTAAAATGAAAAGTGAAAAGAGTCTTGACATGTCCATACTGAAATAAATAAATCTACTATTGGCATATATAAAATTGAAAGCATCAAATTTATTATTGATTTTAACATAGCCATAGGTAAAGTTTTGCTCAATTTCTCTGTTCTGTTACTTAATACTAAATATAGTAAAATTTCTAATGCAATGATGCCAACAAATAAATATGTTAATATTACCATAGTTGAATATGACATCTTATCATATTATGGTGATAATAGAACATAGCCAGTTATCTAACTTACTTATTCAGCTATTTCATCATGCTTCCAAGCCTTATAAAGATTTCTATTAAAATAAATATGAGTCATCTAAAATAATTGGATTATAAGTGAAGCAATGCTTAAAAGTAATGATGGATCATCATCAATTAGCATTTACCTTGTCACTGAAAATAGAACATTCTTTATCTCAACAACAACTTTACCCAAAGAACTTTACCCTTCTTTCGATAGACCATATTCAGACTTAGTTTCCATAAAAATTTATAATAATTAGACTTTTTTAATATCTGATCCAAAATTTATTTTTAAAAGTATTAAAAAAATGATTTTTAATAACTAATAAATAATTCTTTATAAAATTTTTCTTTGTAAATTTTTAATAATAAAACTAATTCCTAAGTCTCAAAATTAAGAAATTATATAAAATGTGATTTTTCAAAATTATAGATCATAAATTTAACATTATTAATTAATGGCTAATTTCATTTATTCTTTTGCATTTACCTCGAAAAAATGGAATTTTAGATTTAATCTATATAAATTATACTCTTTCATGTATTATTTAGTGAGATCATCACTAATCTTTCTTGTTGATAATCTTCTTAATTTTATAGATCTACCTTAACTATTTATACAATCTTTTTTTATTTTTAATTCAAAAGACTCTTCAGTTTTTAAGTTGAACATCATTTTAATTAATATTAATGATTTATTATCAATTCAAAATATATTTAAATTCTCTCTTATTATCTATTGCAATCACAAATTAGTATTATATAAAAATGCAATTCAAGATATATGTATTATCTTATAATTAGTTCTATTTTAAAATTATTATAAAATATATATTTTTATTTATTTAGATTTTGAATATTATATTTTTAGATTACTAATAATAATCATGATTGATATTTTAATAATAAATCATTTGTAGATTCTCTATAACACTTAATTTCTTCTTCACTACTACTTTCACATTCCAAATTTTAATTACCTACTCCCCATGCTTCTATATATGTGATTGTAGGTGTCTAAATTGAAGGATCAATCAAATCTCCTATAATAAATTTATTTATTATAAAATACCTTTTATATATGGTTCTCCTTGTTTTGCTGCATAACTTGATTATTACATATTTTAGGCTGAGATCCATAATCTAAATTATTTCATATCTCCTCCAAAACCTAATCCTTTCTTATTATCTGTTTTATTTATATAACAATAATTTTAAGATCCAGGTCTTTTTGATTTAAATACATCATTTGCTACATTAAAAGGATTATAAGTGGGATATAATTAAAATAATATTGATTGACTAGTTCCTTAATATGAATTTGTTTCTATCCATTATGTTGAATTTAATGCTGCCACAATACAATGTTTATTACTCTTAGTTTTTATTTTTTTTTGTTTTGTATTTTCTTCTTCATCACTATCATTTTCAGTACTATCATCAAATTTAATTAAAATAAGTGTTGCTCCCTTAAATCCTATTAAAGCTGAATATAATTAATCAAAACTCCATCCTCTTACACTTGTCCATAACAATTCAAATGAATCTGCTTCTTAAATAATAGAACTACTAATGGCCATATATCCAAAAGTAGAATTATTAACTAAATAGGAGGGTTTTTGAAATTTAGATAATTAATTATAATTTCTTTAAGAAATAAATAATTAATTGAAATATTTTGTTAATAATATTGATAAACAAGGAAAGTTTTGTTCTAAAAATATTGTAAGTTCATAGAACATTATAGAACCAGCAGAAGATGTAAATAATCTACTTAGGATTGATCTTGTAGTGTATTCATCTTAGATTAAATAATCTGTAACAAAATATCCTTATTCCCATATGAAGTATTCGATTTCACTTAATAAATCAAATGCATCTAAATATGAGATTTTTTCCTAATCATAATCAATTTTAGCCATATTTATCTTTTAAATTGAAATTATTGAATATTATTCTGTTCTAGTCATTCTATTCAGAGTTTCTGGTTTAGTCAATTTACCAACTATGTTTATTAGATTAGTTTCTTACCCAAATCTTCAAAAGCCTCAAATGATGGTCGTTCATCAGAGTGATGAAAAACCATATATTTAAATAATTTCAAAGCAATGGTTGGTCTATTTTTCAGGAGATACTGAAAACATTCTTCATTCAAATAATCATTCTTGTAAGTTCAATAATCAAATTAATAACTTACTCATCATGTCTAGAAATGAGCTTCTTGTACAATCTTTTTACTTATTGTCTCTCATCGTCATTTAAAATTGTCCGTTTTGGTGATCTTTTGGATAGGCAAAATTCATTTCCCATTTTATAATTAATTTTTAGTAATATAATATAAATCAATCAATTAAATTAGATATTTCAAATAATAAAGAACTTCTATTCTATGAAGATTTGTATTATAAAATATTATTTAATACATTTTCAATCAGTTAATTATATATATAATTCAATTTTTAGATTTTCATAATACATAAAATTTTATAGAGTAAACCTTTATCATTTTTAGTAATATAAATTGCAATAAAAATAATTAAATTTTATCTATGATGCAGCAAAGAGATTTCTATGGGAATGATTACATATACAAACATATCAAATAAGTAAGTTTATAGGAGTTTACAGATTAATTATTCAATCCCATAAGGCATTAAAAATAAATGGTTTTATTTTCTTAGAATGAATAAAAAGAATAATAAGAGTTATATAAATATTATGTCTATTTGGGAGGAGGTGTATTTACAGTATCTGCTTTATCAGTTATTTTCTATAAAAAAATTCCCTTCCTTAATAGAATTGAGAAAAGATGGGCTAGAATATTAACAAAAGCATTATTACTATTTGGACCACTTCAAGTAATTTAGATATCTATATAATAAAGGTACAATCTATATTTGGTCAACGAGCTTAATATGAATTATTAGATAGATAATTTATATAATATCATAGATAATTATAAGATTATATGTTTTCTGGGGACATAAGAAAACTTAAATAAGATATTTAAATAAGTCCTGTATGATTTATATTTATATATAAAGAAGCGTTTGTTAATATTATATAACTTTGTTCATTAAATAATTGCATTTTCATCAATATCATCTTCTTAATGTTCAATATGTAATAATCTCTGTATTTCTAATTTTAATATTCTATGAGCTATTAAGATAGGTTTAATGTTTGATTATTAATTTGATTGACTCATTATTCTTTACTCAAGAGTTTTCAAAATAGTATTCCACTCTTAAAAGATTTCTGGAGTAACATATGGTTATAATTCTTTTAAAGTGCCTTCTATATCAATTTTATAATTTGGCCATTCCTATCTTATTTATTAAAATTATTTCTCTACATCATCATTTGTCTTAACATTGACTAACACATAATGAAGTAAATCTATTAAATGATAAATTTCGTTCTTCTCCTTAGATTATATCAGCTTATTCATAAAATAAATTCATAGAATCTTTAAAATTAAATTTTTGATGTTCTATATGTCTAAATAAAGTAATAAATTCATTATTATTAAATTTTTTATTTCCATCTAAATCTGCTGCTTAAAATGCATGAATTACAAATTCTTTAGTTCTGGTTGTAATAATTATATATTTATTCATTACTTTAACAAGAAAATTATCAACATCAATCAATCCTTATTTATTTAAATTCTTAGGATCTGATTCCTATAAATTTTCTAAATCAATTTTCAAATCTCAAAGTTCATCTTCCATCATTTTATTTTCTAAATATACTTTCATATAATCCAAAGCTCTTAAGTAAGGAACATGAAATTTTTATTCACTTTCACTTTGAACAACATTAACTCCTAAAGATGATTCAGAACACATGAAATCATACCCTTATAAAAAGAAAGATGATTCTTCTATTGAAAAATTCAAATGTTCATCTTAAAGTATAGCAATCATTCTTGCAAATACATTTACTCTAAAAATAGATGAGAAATGAATAACAGAAAGTAGAAATTATAAATATTTCTTTTCAGCAACATTTTTAAATCCATATCTATTTAAAAAATTATTAAAAACAAAGATTTACATTTCAAGATCCTTTTGTGACTCATTGTCTTTACTACTTCTAATCTTTTCATCATATAATTATGTAATTGTTCTTAATACATTTTTAAAAGGCCAATAATTTACAACTTTTTAAAATAAATATGATTATTCTTTAGCTTTAATTGCTAATATTACTCCTGGATGCATCAATCTATCAATTACATTTACTTTATTTTATTTTTATTAAAAATTAAATTGCAAAGCTTTAGTAATTCTATTTTTCTTTTTCTTAAAAAGTATTTATTTTTTCTTCTCTTTCTCTTCTTCTTCATCAAATTCAGTTATTAGATATTCTTCTTCTTAAATCTCTATATCTAATTCTACAGGCATTCTTTTACGTAAAGAATCATATTCTACTAAAAATTATTCAGCTATTTATTTATGAGATTATTATTATGTTCTTAATTTATGAATCATCAATTTTCTAGTAAATGAAAATAATTAATTTAATAATCCTGCAAAATCATTCATAGATTTAGTTAAATTTTATTATTTTTAAATTTATAAGTTATACAACATAATTAACATAGCAACTTAAGTTTTTAATTAAATTTATTCTTGTCTACTTAATCCAAATTTATTACTTATAGTATTATTTTATAAATTTTGACTACTTTAAATGTTAGAAGAATTCGTATTTATAGTATTAATATGTGTATTTGAATTAGTAAGAATTTATGTCTAAGTAAGTTCATTTGTTTAAAATTCTTTTACAATAGGTAATGCCAACTTATCTGAACTAAACATTTTTTCAAGTTATTTTTTATTAGATTTTTGATTTTGTTTTTAAGAATTTGTATTATTTTTAATTGTTTAAACTTCTATTTTCTCAAATGATAATTTTTTTAAACTAAAATTAATTCTTTATTAACCATTTGGCATTGGAGAAGCTTCATCCATTTCTGCAACTTCTGCAATCAATCTAGTATTATTTTTAGAATCCTTATTATTAATAGATCTTTTCTCAACACTATTTATTTCTGGAGGCTCTATATACATTGATTATCCAGAATCACTCTAAACCTATTTTTCTATTGGTTCTTCTTTATCAAATAATTCTCTCAATGTTTTCATATTATTGACAAATAAATCAAACATATCTTCCTTTTTCATATTTTTTATATGATCCATATTACCTGGTAATCCATCTAATATTCTAATTAAACTTGCTCTCTATTCTTTTGCTTAATACATTTATGGATAACATTAACAATTTTTATTATTGTTTATTTATTATTGATCATCTGAAAGAAAGAAACCCATTTATTCTTTAAGTTAGAATTCTTTTAAATATTAATCTAATTCTTATTGATTTATTATTCTATCATATTATGAACCAATTAAATTTAAATCAGTTTAAATTTCAAAAGTACTTAATTGTATTTCAGTTTAACAATAAACAGAGTAAGTTATCTTTGGTGGTTCATCAACAATATCTTTAACAACAATATCAGGATTTTATTCAACAGATGTTTTTTATTCAACTTCTTTTAATACTTAAGATAATGACAAATCTTATTCATCTTCATCTTCTTCTACTTTAAAAACTTAATTTCCAGATTATTTTATATCTTAAATTTTTGATATTTTATTTCTTAATTCTTTAATTTCTCTATTTAAATTTGATATTAAAGTAGCAGCACTTTTCTTCATAGTTTTATCAAGTTCATTCTATTTAGTCAATTTTTAAACTATAATAATTAAACTTTATTCATCATCTTTTTAAGTTTTCAATTAATTTTCTAAATTCTATATGACTTTCTTGTAATCTAATATCTTTTCATTTAATTGATCTTATTATTATTCAAATTCTACTTATAATTCCAATTAATTTTTATAACCCATTATTTATATTTATTACTTATCAGACTCTAACATATTAATTGTTTTTCTAAATACTGTTATATAACATTTAAAAATAGCTAACATTAATTATCCTCTTTCTGTACATTAAAATGAAACCTATCTAATTAATTCATTTAAACAAATAAATAAAATATCACTAGCTTATTATAATTTAGATTTATGATCAATACTTGTATTTTAAGATATATTTTCTATTTGATTTTATAACCATTTTTTTAGATTTATAGCATCATTTCTACCAGTAGGCTCATTCGAAAAGAAATGTGTACTTGTATGTTTCATCTCTTTAACTATCCCAAATAATATTCACATAAGTAAATATTTTTTTCTTTATTGATAATTTTCTTTCAGTGTTTTGAGTACTTTAAATATCTTCAAAATACCCCTTTTCTATACGATTTACTAATTTTGATTTTAAATTTAACATTATATATTTTTCCTATTTCCACTTATTTCCTATAAGTCTTAAGCTACCCAATTTACATTAAAGTCAGAATATTTCTCTAAAATTTATAGTACATCATCAAAAGTGTTTTCAATATTTTATGTTTTATAGTGATACTTTTAATTTTACATCATATATTCTTGATTTTGTTTTCTCTCTTTTTGTTTAAGTATATATTCATTTAATCGCATTTCTGCTATTTGTTACTTTTCCTTTATTTGTTATTACAAAGTCTTATGTCTGAATGAATCAGCTAAATGAGAAATGTCTCTCTAAAAACTTGAAATTGATTATTTTTTCCTAGATCCATTTGAGGTTAGAGAAGCTTTATAATCTAATAAATTTTTTAAGAATCAAGATGTAGTCAGATTAATTTAATACTGGAGAACAACTATTCATTATTAATTAGTTATTATTAAAATCTATAGAAAATAAAACTTTTTTAATAAACATTTTATTTTCTAACAAAAATATCTTATTAATCAATTTTAAACAACTTTAGAATTCTTAAAGATTCAATTTAATTTATATCAAATATGCTATTATTTAAGTATAATAAAAAAATTAAATTTTAGATTATCATAATGATACTTTCTTTAATGTATTTAGTTTAATTATCTTATTATTTTGATCATTTGAAAATAAAAATAGAATCATAAATTTAAGATTAATATTAAAATAAATATTATTTTTTAAATATTCATATTTTTAACTCAAAACTTTCTAAACAAAGAGGACAGTAATAATTTCCTTATGGTAATTAGTCATTCAAAATAAAATAGAATTCACATCCTTACCCTTCACAAACCTAAATCTTCTTTCCTCTATTTTTTTATAATATGTTTTTTAATTCAACAATCTAATTTTCATGAAGTTAATATAACAATATTTATTAAACATTAGTATATGCTGGATTAAATTTCATTTTGCAATTCATTTTGCAAATATTCTAAAATTTACAAGTAGAAGCTATCTTTATTTATTCAAACAAACAATTTTCTACTTCTTAAGTTAGAGTAACATGAGGACAATATTAATTTAGAAGAGAACCACTTTAAGTAAATTGTTAAGAAAATAATCCTTAGCCAAGACTTTCATTACTTAGTAATAAATTTCCACTTTCAAGTAAATCTCCCGTATCTCCACATTTGCTTTGAATTTTATTTGGATTTAGTCTAGGACCTGGTTGTACATTTATTTCTGATTGACTTGTCTAAACTAATTTTTGTGATCTATTAACTTGCAATTCATGAATACAATTAATTTAGATTTTAACTTGATTAGAATATCAAAGTGATCTTTTTTTTTTAATTTCTCAAATGAGCTGGGTGTGAGTCCATTAAAATTGCTTTAAATATATCTTTAAATATTAATAATTATATTTCTCTATTATGAATATCGTACTAGCAGTAATTTTTATACAAGCATCAAATCAATCTCAGAATAAAAATATCAATGAAAAAAAACAAAAATTTGAATTTATTTATATTAAAAATAATAATTTTATAAAATTCACTACATTCTAATCAATCTAAACCTCTTTTATTTATTAATTAACTAACATATTCAAATTTTGTTTTTTTAATTCCTATTTTTTTACAATTTTATGAATAAGTATTAGAACATACTTAAACAAAATATCTAAATTTTATTATTTGTTAATTACAAAATTCTTTACTTAATTATTAATCTCTCAATAATTCTTAAAAATTACTATTACTTATAATATATGGAGAAAAAATATATTTATTTTTAAAGATTCAATTTTTATTTATATTTTGAAATCCCTATGAAAATTATATCTACATTTCTATATAAAATGGTATACTATTTATATTTATAAATATACTACATTATTAATTCTCATCTATAGAAACTTATTTTTAATTATAATGTTTGTATTAGAATAATTTCGTATTTATTTTATAATTTCTACAACTTTATGAATAAATTCAAATATTTTATTAGAGTTGAGGGTTTCTCATATACAATTTTAGAATAACCAATTTTTCCATCACTTTTTATTCAGATTTTGATCATTATAAATGACAATTTAAATTAAAGAAAACTATCATTTTTTATAAAAAATACAATAATGTATTCCTAATCACTTATTGATATGATGAGAGTTTTATAAATTAAGATTTTCTAATTATTTTTAAATTTGTAATTTTATTCATCATTAGAATCTCATAGATAATGGTAGTTGAGATTTTCCAAACTCTATTGTTTTTGTAAATTATACAATGATTAAATTAGAAATTAATTTCATAATTAGAATAACATTTAAGCAATATGTGATCTTTTATATTAATATTAAATATATTAAATTTTTAGAAAAAATTACTTAAAAAAAAAATTAAATTAAAACCCATAAAAATAAAATTAATCATATTATATTTATAGCAAAAACTATTTATTAAAAAACTTAATCATTCAAGATTCAGAGTTAAACCTATCCAAGTTTAAACCTATTTAATAGGTTGCGGGCAAGGCTCCTATTCCGGAAGCTGAGCTCGTTTTAAAATTAAACAAACGAAATCATTATATATATATATATTTCTACTCAATTTATTCAAGTATGGATTATTGTTGTTAACAAATTGAATTATTTTTAATTCTTTTATTAATAAATCATATACCAATAACAATATAGAAATATTATTTACTTTTAGGCATAGTTAAAATGTGATTATAACAAGTTTGAGAGACTAATTATGGACATTTTATATCTTTAAAAATGATTAATTATTTTTAATAATGGTAATACGTTGATGTTATTAGTATTTTAATACTTTAATCTAAATTAAAATCTTATTTATTAAAAATATGGGAGTTTGTTAGTCTCGTTCTGATAAAAAAAAATCTCAAAGATAAAAATAACTTCAAATAGTTAGTGAACAAACAGTCTAAGAGAGACCTAAAAGCAAAACTAATGGTCTTCGTCATAAAACTATGCCTTCAATACATTGTATTTCAAAAGATAAATTAATTTCTTGCAAAAGCATTAATATTTCAAAAATAAAAAAGAGGGTTTGTGGAGAATCATTGGCTAGGTTTTATACAGTTCTTAATTCATAATTTGTATATCAAAGTATGATTATAAAATATCATTAGATAATGATAATATGAGATTAGTACAACATAATGTTACTGGTGTAGTAAGAGTAGCTAGAAATATTTAGAAACCTGATGAATTAGATTAAAATTTTGATATCTTTGTTGCCAATCTATAAGAACAAACTTATGTAATTTATTTTATTTATATCTAGAGTTCTCCTCATTTAGCAAACATCATAGAGTTGTACTAAGATTCCAAGAGTTATTATGCAATTTAAGAATATTGTAGTGGGGGATTGTTATTAGATAAATGTGGATAAGTCAAAGAAGAAGAGGCGATCTACATAATATCTTAAATTTTGGATATACTATAGGAAATACATAAATAAGGAAATTGTCATGGTAGTCTATCTATATCAAGCTTTGCTTTATATGATTAAACAAATAATCATTATGTAAAATTGATCGATATTATTCCAATATTTTAAGTTAAAGAAAAGTCAAAAATTAATGAAATGTAAAAAAATGATCGCCAAGCTGTTGGCCTTATTTTATTTTAATTAATAACCAATAAATAAATTACTTCTTAAACAGTTGAAATGATCATTAAAATACCAAAAGATTTACCTACAAAGACTGAATGGTATCATTTAGTATTATTATTGCTTGAATCAAAAAGTTTCATCATATATGAGTAGGTATTGTTGAATAAATAATATAAAGAAATAGTTTAAAAATAGGAAGCAAGATATACTGAGACTATAATCAATAAATCAGTTAAAAAAACATCATATATTCAATAAAAAATCTTAATTATTATGAATTCTATTTTTTTTAAGGAAAGATAATCATAATTGGAGATACTATTTAAGAAGAATGATGATAATAGAAATGGAACTCTGTCAAAGTAAGAACTTCAAATTGCCTTGGGAATTGAAGATGATATAGATGATCTTTTTGAGAATATTGATTGTGATGGAAATGGAGAAATTGATCTTGATGAATTTATTCTTCATTCTTGTGATAGATAAGCATTAATTACAGATTTTAATTTAGATGCTACTTTCAAAGAAATATCAAAAAGAGGTTATATTATAGCTTCAAACTTCAGTACATTAAAAAATTGTGATGAAGAGAAAATAGAAGATGATATCATTAAATTCTGTAATTGTAAAAGGGTATATAAATCTTATTTAGTTTAGATGAGTTTGGAATATTTTAAAAAATTGATGATGGATTTGTTGTGAAATATCTATTGACTTATGTAGTATTTTATGATGAAAGTTTTACAATTATTAAATAATTATAAATGTTATTTTGTTCAGCTTTGCTTCTTTTTAATCTTCAAAGAATAAACTAATTTAATAGAAATAATTAAAGAAGTATATCAAAATTATAATCATTTATAATTTTTTATTTCAATTTAATTTTATCTTTATTGAAAAATATAAGGATATACTTAAATGGCCTTAATTAATTTACTCTGTTTGTGACACCAAAATTTGATTCCATTAAATATACATAAGTTTTTAAAAAGGTTATCAATAAACTATCTTAGAGAAATGACTATCATTTTTTGAATGATTTAAAATAATAAAGAAGGGATAAAACTTTAATTTTAAGTAAAAGAAGTAAATATATAAGAAAATTTAATCACTTTAGATGATTTAATAATTATTTCAATCAGTTCTCATCAATATTGCAATCTTTGATTAAAAGTTATGTTTCCAATAAATATGTAATATTTTCAGATAAGTTAAGATATATATAATTTACAAAGATTTTCATGAATAGATAATAATTATTATTTACAAATATATTAAATTTGAATCTATTAATTGATAATGTTATCATAGACATAAATTTATATCAACTTTAATAAAAATATATTAAGAAATTGAACTATCAGATGTGGTGATCAAATTGATTCTTGATAATCTTAATACATTAACAGAAATTCAGAATCTTAATCAAATTTCGAACTATACATTCTCTTAACTTATTCATTAGATATTTTCAGAAATCTATGTAAATTCTCAAAATTCTTAGTACATTTTCTACTTGCAATCTTGGAACTATTCAAATATCAGAAGAAATAAATACTAATTGTCATAATGGAGCAATTAACTATTATAATTAATTTTAGTTTAATTGTTAACATATAAATACAAATATATTTTTTTAAATTTGCTTTGAATTTTGTTATATTTAACTTTAATTTTAAATTATAAGGAAGTTTTCACATTTTATTTGTAAATCGTGCAATAAATGTGGAATATTAAAATCATAAAAAATTTAAACCCTTTACACAATGTTTAAACATGATATTTTATGATTGTATATATAATAATAATTCAGATTATTTCAATATTATTCTCTGAGTTCATTTATTTGTGACCTAATCTTCAATAAAGTTGATTCACAATATTATCTAACTTACTCTCCATGATTGTGTGAATGAGGTTCATTGTATTCTCCCTATTGAGGATATTATTATTATTCTCACATAATTAAATTATAAATCGCTATTATAATAGCTTATAATTCCAATTCCAAAATATCCGATTATTACTCCTCCAACCATATGGGGCTAGCTCACTATACCCCTCTTGATGAATCTCCATAATTAATACATTTATTTTAATAAAATTAATTATATATATATATAAATTATAATTAATTCTTCTTAATAATATTGTTTTTACCTATATCAAAAATTCATTATGTATTAAAATATTGAATTCTATTTTTATTGATAACTAACTAATATTAACATTTTAGACAATATTTCCAATAAATAGCTTTGATAATCATTAAATAAATTAGTAAAGATAAAATTAATATTATAATAATGTATATTCTATTCAAATAAATATAGTTGGAATATTCATAAGAATAAAACTACAGATAAATAATTAATTAATTAGAATGATATTTTCACCTACATAATATTCTCCATATTGTTCCTCTTTATGATGGAGATACCATTTTAAAGATTATATGAATTTTCTTGCTTATACGATTAGTTACATATAAGATGGATTGTATTTCAAACACAATTAGTTAATTGAGAGATTTCTGAATATTTTTATTTTCCTTTTAAAATTAATTGTTAAATTAGTGTTAATTAAGATTTTTGATATATATATTATAAGTTAAGGAATCAAATATTGGATTAGTCTAAGTTTTAAATATGATAATATATTAAAAACAATAATGAAATCATAATATTTGTTCAACTAGATATTCAACAAAAATACGAGCATTTTAAAGTAATTTTGAACGTGAGATAATTTATGCTATTAAGTCGCTTTTTTCTTCATGAAGCTTATCACTCATTATTTTTTATTATTCACATAAATTTTCATAAGAATCCTGTTAAACACTTAAATGTTTATAGTTTCTTAAAATAAATTAAAAAAATACTATCCTAAGACTTCCCATTTATATCGAAGATATTTGTAATATCTATTCTTTACCATAGCTATAGTTTTTCCTGGAAAGTGTTTATGAATTTTTTAAAACTTAGGTCCGACATTTAGAACTAACTGTAGAATTAACTTATCTTCCTCTATTGTGAATTTTTAACCTAATTATTTATTATTATTAGGATCAGAACATCTCCTTTTTTTTGTGTGATAGTCATATTTGTTTTTTTTTTTAATTTTCTTTGGCTATTGTTTATTAATTATTTATGGATCCTCTGATAAATAACAATGCATAAATTAAATTATTTATTATATAATATTGAATTAAATATCATTCCATTCCAAATTATCCATCTATATCAACCTGTATTACTGTTTTTGAATGTTATTCTATATCTTCTTTAGTTTCATAAATTGGTAGTTCTAATCTATTAAAACAAGTATGTGCTTTTGGATAAAGATTAGCTTTTGTAAAGGGTACACTTTCTATACAAAATTTAGAGCAGTTTCCTCTATTACTTTCTAATTTTCTAAATGTATTCTAGTTGATCCAGTACAAATTTATAAAAATTTGGTAAGATTAAATTAATCCATTTATTCTAAAATTTCCCAAAACCATTAAATCGTTTAATGAGTTCTGTAATAAGCACCTTTATTATCAGTATTATCTCTCCAATCATTAATATCAATAAATGGTGTTCCATAAAGAATCATTTCTAATTCTAAAGGTTCAAGTAAGCTAAGGAATTATTTTGGAATTATCTAATCATTAAACTTTAATTGAATACACTAATCAAGTTGATAAAAATGCAGTCAAAAAGGGCTTAACTGATTTATATGAATAATATTCAATGCTAAATTAAGTTATATATTTACCATAAATTAACGTATTCTTGACAATTATCCATATCTAACTAAATATTTTATCCTCCTTATTTCAATTCATAGTAATCTCTTTTACCTTTTCTATAAACAACAAAATATTCTGAAATGTCATCTGCTTCAAATTTATTATTTACTAAAAAATCCCAGGATTAATATAACTAAATTTTAAAATCAATACTTATAGATCATAATAATAAATATCTTCCAAAAAAATAGGTTAACCTATTATGTGTTTAATTATTGATCTATGAAAATAAACATTTAAAGGTATCCTCTCAAAAATGCATTTACCCACAACTATTCCTAATAATTTAAAACAATCTATAATATGTTCATCTGTATCTGCTTCACAATTTATTTTATAAGATACATCCTCACAATCAGCTAATAAAAAAATACCTGATTCTGGATGTATAATTTCTTTCATTATTAAATAAGCCCATTTTCTTAATAATCCTCCTGCATCCAATACTTTATCACCATCAATATGAACTTTGACTTCTTTGTGCCAATTAATTTCCTTATACATATTTAATGTAGTCATTAAAAAACTCTCTTTGTTTACAGATAAAGTTTCTGCTTCTTATTACCATGATATTCTTTTTTTTCTAATTATAATCGAAACCATGTTTATTTGATTGGAAATTCCGAATTCTTAATTTGAACCCAGGGCAAAACCAGCATTTCAGAAAAATTTCCAGCTGGCATTGCAGGATATAACTTAGTTAAAATAATTTTTTATTCACTCTCTGATTCCATTTATAATTAATTTTTGAGCCTGGCAATAATTCTTTGCACCAATAATACTTTTATTTTCTATTTTGAAAATCCTCCTATATAAAATAAGGCTTAAAATAATAAAAATAATCTTAATACATAGGTTCTTGGATTTGGATTAGGATTTAGATTTGCATGATGATTAGGCTAAATATCAACATCATCAACTTAAATATTTCTTAATTAAGGAGCTCCATTTTAAAATAGTCTAAATCTACAATTCTAAACGTGTTATTAATACTATTTTTATTTTAAATAATTACCTAAACAGTAATTGATTGTGCATAAAAAACCATTTCACATTTTGGGCATTATTAATTTTATTATAACAAAGTATAGTTTCTTTTTAAACAATTTCCCATATGAACTTATTAATTTTTATTTAATATAATCAATAATTATTCTAGTCACTTTATTTTGAATTAATTAATTTCTAAATTCAATCGTTGTTTTATATCATTCTTTTATCAATTAATTAATTCATATTAATTAATTGATATATTTACCTATACCCTAATTTTATCCTTTTTAATAAATCATATTATAGAACTAGCTGAATAATTTTCAAAATCAAACCCCAAAAATAAATTCAAGTTCCTGAACAAAAACGAATATACTCTACTTAATACTTAAAATAAGTAAACTAATTTTTAAGTATTCATTAGATAATGAATCCAAATATAGAGTATCAAGCCCTATATGATATATAATAGAATTTAATAACAATAGTATAAAGAATCAATTTAATTGTTATAAAAAAATAAATAGATAATCAAAGGCAGTAGATTTTTTCATCAAACAAAATTAACGACTGAACAAAAATATCTGCTTTTAAGAGTACAATATAGAGAATTAAGAGTAGAAATCCTATTAAAAATTAATCATCTATTACAGGTTATAATAAAATAGTGAAATGTATTTAAAATAATTATTAATCTTATGAAACTTGGAGACAATCTTCTATAAAATAAACAATCAATATTCAAGTATTCTAAGGTAGATTCAATAAATAGAGATTAATAAAAAATAAATGTATGATTAAATAAAATATCTACCTAAACGATTGAACCTAAATTGAATAAAATTTACTTAATCTAATTTAATATAAAGAAACCTTAAAGAAATTTAATAATTATATTCAAAATTATTTGAACCTTTAAAGATCATCAATCAAATATAATAATAAATAAAAATACTTAAAACAATAATTTTATTATAAATTTTACTATAATAAACTAATTCTTTTCCTCATAATATAATATTATTAATAAATAGTAATCGTAATTTTTATAAATATATTTACTCTTCTTTATACTTATTGTTTTATAATTAAAAAATGCAATAGTAATAGTAACGGAAACTAAAAATGTATATTATATCTAAGTTTGTGTTAAAAATTTATAAATTTATTATTTTAATTTAATTTTAAATCGAACTAATAATCAAATAATCAATTTATTTCTAACACTCTAACTATTATGAAAATTTACCGTTTAAAATCAAACAGTAGTTTACTATCTTCAATTAAAATATTATAATATAAATAAAATTACATCTTAGATCTGCTAAAATGAATTATTTTAAAAATAATAATCCACATAATAATAGAATTAATGGATGAAAAGTTTAATAACTGTAAATTAATATTAAGATATAATTTGATAAGATTCAAATTAGTGTTACTTATATTCCATTCATTTGTATTAATGGAGAATCTATTTAATAATAATTATTAAAGATAAGTTTCAAGCTATTAAATACAATTGTAAAATAAGTATATCAAAAATTAGCATTCTAAAACTATTTTAAAAATTTAAATCACATAGCAAATACATTAAAGATTATGATAATGATTATTAAAATTAATTTAAATACTAATAATTGTTAAAAATCTGTTAAGATTGTCAAAAAAATAAATACTCTGAATTTATATAAACTCCTTTTTCAGCCTATTTTAAAAATGCATTATACTTTAAATTAAATGCAAAGTTAAACAATAATCAACTTATACTGTATGCAATATTAATAATAAATCATTTTCAATTAGCCAAATTGAATCTAATTGGATAATAATAAACTAATTTAACCAATTTTTTTTATATTTTTAATAATAAATGGGTTCATTTCTTTCTAGTTTTACCACATAATAACCAAAAAAGGAATAAAAATAAATCATTTAGAGTAATAACAAGGAATAAATTCAACCAATATCATCATTTATTCATTAGAAACCTACTTAATCTAAAGGAGAGTAGACATTATAAAATGGGAACATCTCATTTAATGAATAATAATTATAAGGATAACCTTAAAAAATGATAAAAGGAGATATATTTACAAATTAGCTTCAATCCTAAGAAGCAATAATAATAGATTAATCTGGTAAATTGATAAGGTAAGTAAGTGAATGTAAGTAAAATAAATTTTGTTATGAATGCAAATAAATAATAGAAGAAACCCTTATATAAATAGTTTGTTAGCATGAATTTCATTAGAATTGTTTTATATACAATGTTGAAAAATAATTATAATAAAAGGAAAAATTCATAATTAAATGTAAATGTGGAACAAAATTGAACCCAAACATATTGAGATAAATAGTAGATGTTCAAATTAGATCTAAAATACTTTTTTAAATTTTTTCTCTTTAAGTATTAATATTATTATAGAATTCCAATATTAGAAAATATTGCGATGTATAATAGATTTAATAAATGATAGAGTTAAATACAAACAAAGAAGACTATGATTTTTAATATAATGAAAAAAAATAAGAATTATCAAAAAATATAACTGAATACATATTAGATCAAAGTGGTATTTTACATTTGAGTTAATAATAACTATTTATTGTAAGTATATGCTTATATTGTGGTAAAGAAATTAATTCAAGTTTGTTAAAATTAAATTGTGGACATATATATCATTAAGAGTGTTTTATTAATTGGTTATAATATTAAATTTAAGATAAAAAGAGTCCAATTATTAAATGTAGATGTGGAACTAAAATTAATCCTAATATCATTAGAAGAATACCTGAAAGTTAAATTAGATTGAAATTGCTGAACTATTTATTTTCAGTATAATTATCTAAAATATTGCCATATTTAAGAAAAATTGAAGACTTTGATTCAATATATGATCTATATTACTAAAATTAATATTAAGTAGATCAAGATTACGATAGTTCATCTGGATTTTTATATTTCAGCAATTATTCAACACCAGGAGGAGATTGATTTATAATAAAGATTATATTATATATGCTAATTTTATAATTTTAATTATTTATATATATATGATATCTAGATTCATTAATTTTAATATTTAATAAGCAATTAATAAAAATGGGGATTAGTTTTTGTAAAATTGATAATTCTTCAAATATACACACAATCGAAATAGAAAATTCAAACTCTCAACGAATTAGTGCTGTATAAAAACCAAATAGTTAACTTGGAAAAATAAATTTATAAGAAATTTCTTCTGTAGATTCTGTTCAAACCTCATCAAAGTCAGAGAGATAGTGTTTAAAATGCAAAAACGTAATTTCTTTTACTTTTGTTGAAACTTAATGTAAAAAAAATTGTTAATTTCATTAAATTTGTATGGAAAATCACCTAAAAAATTTAATCGAATCTGGAAAACCAATGATAAAATGTGCATGTGGCACAAAAATCAATACAAATTTTCTAAGATAATCATCAATTCCTGGGAAAATGAATTTGCTTACAAGACTTTTTGAACAACAACTAGATTATATATTATAATCTTCATCATAAATAAGAAGGGATGAAGAGGTTCAAAATTATGTAAAAGAAAATAGATTATCAAAAGAATTATATGACTATTTTTTAATTGACTAAAATTTATTAATCTATGAGGAAACCCCTTAATGATTAATTTATTTTATATGAAGAATTTATTTATCATCCATTATTATATATAAGTATGATATTACTTAATTATTTATGAATATAATTTTGGATATATACATTTCAAATTACTTGAATTCATTATTATAATGATTTGTATATTATTTTTCCTTTAATTTTAAATATTCTAATATTCAAAGTCAATTAAATAACTGAAAATATATATTTGGAATCATAAAAGAGAAAGAATTACCTCCAATTACAATATTATTATTAATTTTATACTAATAATTCTGCATGATTTTTTAATCCTAATTTTAATGTCATAAAACAATTGAATTTATATTTCAATTATACTAAATATAAAAATTAAATTTTAGATCTTCATTAAATTATATTTAATCTTTTCTAATATATTTTATTCAGATATTAATATTAAAGAATAATTATTTAAAAAAAAAACAGAACTAATGTAATATTTTTGTTCAATTTAAGATACATAAAAGTAAACTTAATATCTTACTCATTTAATTATAGATTAAATATTTTAATTGTTTGATTTTTAGAGCCATTCAATAATTTAATTATCAATTATTTCAGCCTATAGAATAAAATAAACAAATTCTTTTCTTCACTTTATTAATATTGATTTAAATAAATCATTTTGATTATGTTATTAATTTTGTCAAAATAAATTTAATTTGATATTCATAAGTAATTCTGATTTAGTTATTTTGCAAGCATATAGTCATATATTCGAAGTATTTTTAATGATAAAAACATAAAATTTTAGAAACTCTTTTCTCTAATTTAATCATAAAAATAGAAATAAATAATTAATATGAAAATTGGTATTGTATTAATTAATACAAAAGACTAATTTCAGAATCCTTTAACATCGATCACATAGGATCAGACATATGCTTGGTCATCATTATAACAATAAATAAGTGGATTTAATTTATTTATATTAATATTCCTTTATAATTTTATGGGTGTTATAAATGGTGGTGATATTTTTATATTTATATTTATACACATAAATGGTTTGACTTCAATAATTTAAATCAAATGAGTAATTTGAATGCTGCAAGTTTATATGAAAATCTATAACAACCTATAAGTCAATACTATGACAAGAGTTCAAATTTGACAAGAGAAGAATATTTTTATAAACTATCAATATCGACTACATTATATTTGGGAAATTTATCTATTTACACAACTGAAGAATAAATATTTGAATTATTCAATAGAGTAGGTGCAGGTGTTAGAAGATTAATTATGGGTAGAAATAAAGAAACTGGAAAGGCTATTGGATTTTGCTTTATTGAATATTTCAATCATGAAGATGCTAAAGAAGCTCATGAATATTTAGATCTCCTAAAATTGGATGAAAGAGCAATAAGAGTGGATTGGGATATTGGATATTCTGAAGGAAGGGAATATGGAAGAGGAACAGGAGGTAATTAGGTTAGAGATTCTTACAGGAAAGTAGCAGATCCAGAAAGACCTAATGTTTAATCAAATAGAGGTAGAGGAAGGAGTTATAATAATAATGGAGGAAGAAGAAAATAAGCAGATGATGATGAGAGTGATAATTCAGGAGGTGGATATAAGAAAAGAGGAGGAAATAGATCAAATAATAATTATTGAAGAGTGAAAATTTTCATATGACATTATTAATATTTTAGTTCATAGATTTATCAAAAAAAAACATAAAACTCATTTAGAACCAAAAAAATCTTTTAATCTATCATAAAATCTATCAATAGTAGTATTCTATGGACAATTACATTCTCTTTTTGGTTTATAAGGTTTTGAACAAACAAAACAGAATTCATATTTACATTTACAAGTCATATGATTGCAACCTCCATCCTTGAAAATTTATATTTTACACTTTGGACATGATACTAAACCTTTTTCTTATTTTGTTCTAGTCTTCTTTTAATATTAGTCGCATGTCATACCTTAATGAACTTTATCACAACCTAAAAAGATTATTGATTTAATTACCGTTTGCACAAAATTATAATTTACAAGTAATACAGGTAGGAAATTCAAGATAAAATGAAATATAATATTATTCTGGACAACCTTTACCTGGACATCTGACTAATCTTTCATTTGAAGCATTATTATCTAAATTTTTGACCCTTAAATTAATATATAATAATTACCTTAGATCATTAATTTTCTAACTACAATCAGGAGCACAATACTAAATAATATGAAAATCTATTGACTTATGACATTGAGGACAAACTAAGTCATTCTCTTTAAACTTTCCAATATCCATCTAACTGTAAATTTATTCTTGAATACATTGTTTACAAAATCTATGATCACATTCTAGAGTTATAGCACTAGATTCCACATCATAAGATTCAAAGCAAATTAAACAATCAAAATTAATTTTCTTTAAATTTTAATTTTTTTAAAGCTCCTCTTATTATTAAATACTCTATGCTATTTTTTAATCATTTTCAATTGAATCTTGAATTTATTTTTCATTCTCTTCGTTAATATTTGGATCTTATTCCACTTTAAATGGATATTCTTCTAAATCAGATAGATCATTATTATCATCTTAATCTAATTCAAATCTATTTAAATATTGATATGTACTAATTTCGTAAATTATTAAATTATTAATCTCCTAAAATCAATTTAGAAAGCTATTCTGTAATAATAACTTATGAACAGGTTTCTGATTCTTTGCAACATGAATACGTCTCAATCGATTCAATATAAAAAGGCTAATCAATCAAATAATTTTTGTAACATTCGAAATGAACATTGTGTCCGCATGGTAAAATTTTAAAATTATTCTCTATTAAAAATTCTTAACAATAGCAACAATAATTTGATCCATCATATTCAATTTAGAGGTTACTTTTCTTTTAGCATAATACTTCTATTAATTCATATAACCTTTTAGTATTCTCCATTATATTTTAAGGAGAATTTATAAATTGAACAAGTTCCTAATCAGCTGAAATGTTTTAAATATTCATTGGTATTGATTAAATAAATAAAAATAATAATTTAAGTAATTGAATTATTTCTAATATATACATAAACTAAATAATGATGAAACATCAGTGTTTGTTTAAAATTAATAGAGAAGACATAAAGAATATTATAATTCTATTAGAAAAGAATTTATAATTTAAGAAATAATTTTATTAATGGTTAAACGTCTAATTATCAAATTAATTATAGAAGTAGGTTCAACAGTAGCTAAATCTTTCATGAAAGCATATACATAAACTGCAAAATGTATGAATATCTTAGATGTTTAGAATAGGGAAGTAAATCAGCAAATCCTTTTAGTGAATTTTTAAATCAAACAATGCAAGCAGCTAATTTAACTCATAAACCTATGACAAGAGATGAAGCATTTAAAATATTATAATTAACACCAGAGAAAACTAATGCAGAAGAAATAATAAAAGTATATATATAATAATTAAATGATTTTAGATTTATTGGAGATAGTTTCATAAGAATGATCCAATAAAGGGAGGATCATTTTATATTCAATCGATGCTACACAATGCCAAATGTGAGTTAATGAAAGATTTTTCAGATATAAATGAGAAGGATATTTTGGAGAAGATTAAGAAGGAAGAACAAAATTAGAAAGTAAAGGAGGAAGATGTAAAGTAGGAGGAATAGAAAGAAAATTGATTTTATATATACTATGTTGTTAAAATTGAATTGAATAAATTAAATTATGCTTTAGAGATTGTCTACAGTGTTAAGAAAACCAATATTCTGGCATGGTACACATCATCACGATAGCAATGATGCTACAAAAAGATTATTTGACACTGTCTCTAGTACAGTTAAAGGCATCTAATAAATAAACTATGTTGTGGAGCACAATCCAAAACTAACAGCAGAAGAGAAGTCAAAAATGAAGCAATTCCTTATTTATAGATATGATCCAGCTGTAAATTGAAATGTTTAGATTATAGGATGAGAATGATTTCCCTAAGTATGTGAGCTATTATGTTGACTTAAAGAAGATACCTCCTATGTACTTGGATGCATTGTTATACATTAAAGACAATTATGATTCTTCATTATCTTTACGTAGATCCTGTAGAGAAGGTATTTGTGGATCTTGCTCTATGAATTGTAATGGTCTTCATAAATTGGCTTGTATTCATGCCATTGACACTGACTTGACATAGCCAGCCTATATCACTCCATTAGGACATATGTTTGTTGTCAAAGATTTGGTAGTTGATATGACCAATTTCTACACTCAATATAAGACTATTGATCCTTATTTAAAGAGAAAGACTCCAAAAGTAATGAATTAATTATATTTAAAATAAGGAAGGAAATAAGGAATATATTTAATCTGTAGAAGATAGAAAGTTACTTGATGGTCTTTATGAGTGTGTGTTATGTGCATGCTGTTCAACATCTTGTCCTTCTTATTGGTGGCATCCAGATAGATATCTTGGTCCAGCTGTATTGATGTAGGCTTATAGATGGATTGTAGATTCTAGAGATGAATACACTGATGAAAGATTAGAAAAATTAGGTAATTTCAAAAATATCATTAAATTTAGCCGAGGATGTAAAGGTTGAAGACTGTTAAAATATAGGAATGTGTTCATTTACATGTCCAAAAGGATTAGATCCATAGAGATCAATGAATCATTTAATGAAATTAATAGAAGAATATAAGGAAAGAAAGATTGCTTCTGCAACATTATGAAATATTATCATACAATTAAATTAGATGATATATAAAATAACAATAATAATCATTATTATTATTGCTATTAGTTAAATCTGAGAAAGCTAGCTCTACATTTTGGACAAGTTGAATTGATTAATAACCATGCTTAAATGCATTACAAATGAAAATGATGTTTTGGATCACAAGGTAGTATAAGAAGTTTTTCATCAGTAATATAGTCATGCATACATATACCGCATTCTTAATCTCCTTATATATTCTAAAAGTGATAAAGTAAAAGGCATGTCTTCTTCAGTTCCTTAATAGATTACTGATTTTCATAGTTTTTTTTTGTTTCTTTAAATTTATACCACAATTTAAGAGGTATCAAGAAAGGTAAACCAATTATAATTAATAAACTTAAGATGTACACATCAAAATATTAATAGATTGTCAAGAGTAAGAAAGCTAATTGGAAAGTATTTACATGTCTATAGCATGTATAATAAGATTCAGGATGTTCTGGATTAAACATCTACAATCTAATAGCCCAAACTACTAATATCTGAGTAATCCAAAATATTATGATACTCATCATTCTCAATGATTTATATTTGGATACTAATTCGTTTCTAATCTATACTGCCAATATTTTCGTCTTCCTATCTATCTCTTCTTAACTTAAATATAAATATGGATCTAGATCTTCACATATCTAATATTGACAATTTTATAATTCAATTTTATAGTTCTACTCTCCTTTTATTTAAATCATATGGTTTAGTTTTTCAGCTATTTACATTACAATTTACTAAAATTGGTAACTTCATTACTATTTTATTTAAGAGAATCCCCAAATAAGTATGTTACACAAAGGCAATTATAGAATGAAATAGTACTGCTAACATCCAATTAGTTAATTCGCATCTTTCGCAGTTGATCGTAAGTGTAAATATCGTAGTCATCATGAATTTGAATATAGAATATGCTCTACACATATGCATTACATATCGAGTATGTTATAATCCTTTATAAAATATTTTGGTATATCTCCGATTTAATAACATAATTAATTGAAAAAGTCATCATATTAATTTGGATTCTAAAATATCCCATGTTTCCAACATTAATATTTAATGGATGAATACATTGTAGACGATAGAATCAATGAATAAGACCGAAATTACCTATTATCTCAAGTAGATTCAATACACACTATATATATCACAAGAGAACATATTTAATCAATTAAATCACAATTAAACTCTGAAGATTATGTGACTATTCATATTGCCTTACAAAAATTATTAAGACTTATCTTTTTAGAATTTCATATAGAGAATTTTCCTCTTGATTTAGATGAAGCAGGGAATCAATATCATTTCACTTAATTCATCATTCAAAATAATATCATTTAATCATTAATACATTTAATTTAAGTTCAATATTCAATATAAAGCACTATAGATTCTACTTAAATCCTAATATGTTTACTTTGTGGAACATCTCAATAAGTAGAACTAATATTGTAATAAGGTTTGATATCAAGTCTCTCCCTTATGCTTTAATCAAATATTGATTTAATTGCATTTACTGGACTTGTGGCAGTATTATAGGCTGCTAAAATTAGACATTCAAAACCTTTCTGTAAATAATTCCTCAATAATTAATGTGAAGAATATATATTTAAAAGATACTAAAAAGAACCTGAATTTTGTTTAAAAACTCTTTATTCATTGTGTACTAAAAAGCCATCAATGAAATTTGAATTAATCAAATCTAGTTTACTCTTTATAATTGATAAAATTCATAAAGAAAATAAGATAGGAATTATTACAAAATGCATTTGTATAGTCACTGGAAAATGGATACCCTTACCTCCATTAAAAGAAAATCATTTAAAACGAATCTAATTACTTTTAGATACTAATGTGATGGCAAGATTTGTTTAATTAATGAAAATAAATGAATCTGAATATGAATTATTATAAGTCATTTTAACAAATTTGATATTTGTTTTATCAGGAACTGATCAATAATTCTAATTTGTTTTGAAACAAGGAATAATGAGGTAAGTCTAAAAATTGTTAGATTGCAAAGATAATGCTACATTTCATAGATGTCTTGCCTTTTTGGTTTAAATTACTAATAAATCATTAGGAGTATCCTATCTTTTTGAATAGAAAACTATTATATAAATAATAATTCGAATTTATAGTGTTGAACAAAAGGAATTTGCTTTATTGAAGATTGTTTCAATCTTTGAAAATTTGATACTTTTAGGAGATATTGAATAAGTACAAAGTTTAATTGATTAATAACTTATAAAAATTATTATAAAGAATTTGAGATTGAATTTAAATTAAGATAATGTATAAGTAAATTGTAAGACTGTTGAATTATTATAATCAATATTCACCAAAGTCAGAAATATAAATAAGGAGAAATATGAAAAATGGAAGGAAGAATTTATAAAATTTGAAGGTATATAGGCATTAACATCATTAAAATCATAAACAGAATAAATATTTTCTATAAATGAATTTTTAAATACTTGATATTCTAATCCATATATTAATATAATAATCATCCAACTTTCTTAGTAATTTGCTCATTTAATAATTCATGATAAGGTTTTTATGTGATCTTCTCAATCTCAGGTATCATATGCTATTAAAACTCATTGAAATGTATCTATCCATCATTTGAATTATCAATCAATTTGAAAAACTCTGCATACTCTTCTTAATCCAAAGGAATTACAATCTTCCATTTAAGTATATACACTTACTCGAGTTCTCAACATTTATTTAAATTCATCCCTACTAACAGATCCAGAGCCATCCTAATCAATAGTCATAAAAATTTAAAATAAATCTATTTTATTAATCTACATAAATTAAATAAAATGATTTGCCACCAAATTTAAGATTTCTAAATATAGATATTAATACATTTTGAAGTTTTCTTTGTAGATCTTTACTCCTTCATAGCTAACATCTTTTAATTATATGCTTTATTTAATACAATCCCAATATCATTAGTAGATATACGACCATCTCCTTCTAAATCAAAATGATCTAAAATTAAATCATACTATTCATTATTTAATTGTATATCACATTTAACCAAAAATTATTTTAATTCAATTCTCTCTACATGACCACTATTATCTTCATCAATCTACCTTCTTAAATCTAATATTGATAATCCTTCTTTATTGGCATATTCTAATAAACCATCTATACATTCACGTACTGTATCAGGCAATTCACCATCTTCATTTAATTATTCTACCTAAACTCTAGTTATTTTAATTGGTCCTTAATTTGGCCAAGTTTCAAATACCATATCTAAATCAATAAAATTAAAATCCTAAGTTTATTCATATATTGTTTATAAAAGAACATCTGTTTATTCCTCATCTAATGAAGTTTATAATAATGCTGTTTTGAATTATTATCTATTTACTAAACTACCTGGTAATTGAGCAGATATTGATTATTATGAATTTCCTTATTATTTCTTAGGTTTAAGATATCCAATCAAATCATCTTTTTTTTCATTAAGTTTTTATCTTATTTGTTCATGCATATGAATTTTATCCTCTCCAACTAATATTGTATATTTACCAATAGCTCTAATTAATGTTTACAAAATGCTTTCATTATCTTTTGTTAAATTAATATTATATGTAATTTCTTTTTCACCATAAGGTTCAATTAAATATCTTGATATTAATACACTTTCATTTTGATTTAAATTAAATGGTTTATTTTATAAAATCTATATCATTTCTCCTAAAGATGTTTCATTTGTATCTTTCTATCGAAATAGATATAATTCTAATTCTGCATTCCTTATATTCTATGCCCTTAATTTATATCTTAATTAAGTAAGCAACTCTTCAATATCATCTTATCTAATAGAACTCAACTTTCTTTACACTTTTCTTCTATAGCTTTATTTCTCTTATTAAGCAGATTACTAATTTAATTATTATATCTCATTTTATTTATGCATATCAGGTGTAAGTTCTTATGATTTTCTTCTTTAATTCTAAACATCTTCTTAAGATTACACTGTAAAAATGGCATCTCTTCTACCACTTTAAATTTATTATGATTAAAGATTTCTATTACTGTTAAAAAACAATTATTAATATTTATCTTACAATTCAATAAGTTCTTATTTTTGTTTTTCATATTTCTCTTTAAAACTTTCTTTTTCTTTAGTCACTGTATTTAATTTATCTTAGAAGGTACTTGTTACTTCTTTTAATTATCTTTCTAATTCATGAACTTTTCTATCTTTTATCATATTATCATTTTTTAATTGATTATTTTCTACGACCTTTTTTTCTAATTCCAATTTCATTTATGTAACATCTTAACCTCTTCTAAATAATGGATCATTCAATTAAGCTTTATTAAATTATTCTTCTAAAGAAGATAATTACTTTTTAATTTAAGTCTTCTCTTTAATACTTTTCTAATAATTCTATTCTAATTCTAAATTCAAGAAGTTCAACTTTTCAATTTCTTCTTTAGCTTTCTTCAATTCTTAATATTATTTATTTCTTTATTAAACACATTTCTGCAACTGTTCTTATAAATTTAGTATTCGATCTTCAATATTTTATTCTGTTTTAGTCCTAGAAAATTTAAGATATTAATTACGGATTATTTGTTTTAAGTATTTATTAATGAAGAAGTTATTTGAGGCGCAATGATTCATCTGAATAATTTTTTAATTCTGCTTCTAATTCTTAAATTTTTGTCAATTTGGCACTTCTCTTAACTCTTATCATTTCTTCTTTAAAATCATCTAGTTCTTCTCTTAATTCCTTATTTTATTTCTTCAATTATAAAATAATAGTAGATTATGGAACTTCATTTATTAGTTTCTTATTATTATATTAAGGTATTGGATTTGTAACAAAAGATTAGTACTCTTCTTTCACAGGCTAAATAAATTTATAAAGTACATCACTACATTTTAGCATGGCAGTTTCCTAACCTTTTAATTATGCTTTTAACTGATGATTCTCCAATCTTAAATTATTACACATTTGTTTTGTTTTATTAAGTTCCTCATACAATCTTTCCTTATCTTAAACCATGGTTATAGGAATAGTTTTCTTGAATTCTCTTGAATTTGGTGGATCTCTTGTTTTACTTTAATATAAATATATTCTAATACCTGGCAAGGAATTGCTCATTCGAATCCTAATGAGCCTTGGTTACATAGAATTTCGGTCTTTGAATATAGATAATCAATATACTTATAATTTTGAACATTTTGACGAAATTCAATAGCAGACTTAAACTATATATGTGAGATATTTACATGTGCTTGTTCCCTGTGTTAAATCTGAGGAGTACTTGTATAGGGTCTCATTAATTATTTTATTGAATTATATAAATCACTATTATTCTTCTTTGTTCTTTTTTTGATAGGAATCCAATAATTGTTGCCTAATTAATAAAGCTCTAATATCTTCCTTAGTTCATTCAAATATTTTAATCAGCATATCTTTATCAATATTCCAAATGCTTAATCTTCCATCAGAACTACCTTTAATTTGATCTTTACTTTAATTTAGATAATCTACCTTAGTAATGATAACTGACTGTAATGGTTTAAGGATTAAGTTATTATTTTGTAACATGATCATTATCGTATTACCCTTTATGCTTAATCAATTTTTTGTATGAAATTTTTCCTATTATTAACCTTATTTAATTACTTTTGTGTAAATATAGATTTGGTTTCCTCTTTTTTATTAAAAATTTGCAAATAGAATTCTTATTGAATATAAAATTTTTTATTCAATTCTATCAAACTTAATGACTTTGAATTTTAGAGTTTCAATAAAAATTTTATATTTTAATTATTCTGCAATAGCCCTAATAGAGTTTTAAGCAGATATTGCATGTACTAATGACAAATTATAATGTATCAATATTTTTAATCACTAATTTTCAGTTTATATAATCACATCCTCTTCAAAAGTATCATACAGAATTGTTTTTAAACTGTTCAAATCCTTTGTGTTTACTTATACTTTAAATTACTTCATTATTTCATCATAATTCTTATGATTTTGTAACTTCTTTTTCTTAACTATAGTATATGATAACCTTAAATTTCAATGCCTTTACTAAATCATATACTTTTTTACTCTAATTCTTAATCTAATTAATATATTTCAAAATATAACAAGTAAAAAATTTAAGATATAAAATATATATAGGCATATATATATTAATTAATTTTTTTTACAATTCATGATTTTTAATAGTATATCTCAACTGTGTTTATTGAATATCAAATATAAATGTAATATATTAATATTCATTATCTTTATTTCCACTAATGAACCCTGTTACCAGATAAACTAAATTTTAATTCTATTTATATTAGCAGAATCAACATATTGATATTATTCACATATAAATGAATTGATATGCTAAATTCTTGAATAATTTATAATCTATGTGGTCAGGAACAAAAAGGGCATGATTGTATCATATGATATCAATTAAAAAAATAAGATATCATTAGCGTTTTAAAATTTGTCTGATCATATTATCTACTGATACATGCTAATAGATGATAAATATTAATCAGCTTATGATTTAATAATATAGATTTTCCATATACTTATTCTTAAATAAAAAAATATCAATTATTACAATAATAGGAAATTTAAGTTATATTTATGTACAGTTAAATTTCATTCATTTATTGACAACAAATGAATAAAAAAAAGATGTTTACTATTATGTAAGCTTAAAAGTAATTTATTTAATTCAATTCATTTTAGTTAGACCCTTATTATTTCGCAATTTATTTTTACTAATTAAAATATGTATAAGAAAAAAGAATGTTAAAGAAATCAAAATATCTAATATGGCCTATATATCAAATGATTGATTTATAGTTATTACATTCAGTTTTTTTTTTAATTACTTTTAATATTTAAAAATTTTTAGAGTTTTTTAACAACTCCAGATAATTTTATTCGTCAATATAGGTTTAATAAAAAAGAAATTTTAAGATATAGGTACAAACTTCATTGGAAAATATTAGTTTATTAAATGAAAAGATTAAAAAAAATGAAATATTATTCAATCTTAAATTATGAAGTTTAAGGTATATTAGTACTATTCATTTTGACTCCATAATCACATTAAATGATTTATATTAATAAATTTGTTTCATAATAGTTTTAAATTAAGAGTTCTCACGTTTCTTATTTATATCATAAAATTAATGTATACTTTATAGTGATTAAAGATGGAAATGTAATATATATGTGTAAATTAAATGTTTTTAGTCTAATATTAATATGAAATCAATTTATTCATTGTTATAGAGGCGAGTACTTTAAAGAAATGGTAGGATTTTATATTATAAAATGAAATGAAAATAAAGATATTTATTTTTTTAATTTAAAATGTCTTTAGATAGCAGCTTTGACAATTTAGAATAATTTATGTTTCCGTCCTTTGAAGAAATTCAAAATGAAGATTAAAAGGAAGGCCAGTACGTTCTAGACCCAATTGTTTAAGAGTAAGAATAAAATCCATTGGTTCAAAATCCACTTAACAATGGTAAAACTTATCGATAATTGTTTGAAATTGTGTAAAGATTAAATGATATAAATTGGGTGGAACCATATTCTAAAATTACTCCTATAAAGTACTTTACTCCAATAACCTTTTGGTTTATTATTAGTTCTCAATACTTTTAAAAAGATGTAGATCCTAAAAGCATTAAGTAATCAAATTATTTTTAATTTATAGAATAGAAGAAGAATTTTAAGTTGATTAAGATAAAGAGTCTCGTCCTTATACGTATTTCGATGATTGGTTCATATTGGAAATGAGAAACATAGTAATCTTTAATCTAAGATAGATGGTTAAAAGAATTATAACCCAAAAATGATTTGGAATCATTACAAACTAAAATAGAGGAGCAATTACTTGAGACCCGATAACAATTGCGATGTCAAATAGATACAATTTAAATTGAAAAGCCCATTCTAGAAATAAAAAATTAACCTGATTTTATTTTGAAAGATCTAGTTGGATTAACTGAAATTGAAAATCAATATCTATCACATCTTGAAAGTCAATAAAAGTATATTGAATTTATATATTATTAGAATATTTGATGAATAAATAATTAATTAATCAAAACAATCTAATTTAGCTGGAACTGCTAGAAAATTATAAAATCTCTATAATAATTGTTAAATTTGTAATCAAGGTTCAAGATCTCTAGAATCTTTATTAACATGTTAAAAATGTCAAATAAAAGTTCATTAAAAATGTTATGGTTTAGAAAATATTATAAATAATTGGATTTGTGATTTATGTTTGAATTTTGGTAGTAAAGGAAAATTTTTGAAATGTCCTCTTTGTCCAAAATTAGGAGGAGCAATGCGTTAGACAACATTTTCAATGAAAGATTCAATATTTGAATAATTAAATCCTAATTATCATAATTATGCAATGAATAATAAAGTTGATAGATAAAGTAAGAAATATATTATTAATATAATTTAGAACCTCCTCCTGATGGAGAGGAAGGATATAATTTTATGATTTTATAGTATTCTTTAGATAATATGATTGGAGAATCTCCTAAATCTGAAAAAATATGGGCTCATGTTTCATGTATGCTTTGGTTAGATTTTGATTTACAAAAAATTGATAAAAAAAAGTTTAATTGTTTATGTAGTATTTGTAAAATGAAAAAAAATGGAGCTTGTATTTATTGTGCTAAATAAAAATGTGGTATTGCATTTCATCCTGAATGTGCAAGAAGATCTTAAATATTTATGGAAACTGATGAAATATTCTGTTTCAAACATTAACCTTTAAAAATAAAAAGAATATTTGAAGATTAACATAATTTATGGAAAGAAGAAATCTATTATTTTTTCAAATAATATGAAAAATTAGAATAATATTTAGCTAATAAACCTAAAAATAATGATTTGGAATTCTAAAAAATTTAAATAAAAGTTTAATAAGAAGAAATAGAAGCTGATATTAAATTAGAAAATGAGTAATTATTGTTAAAAATAACTGAAATAATGGAATAAGATGAAAAATTCATTATTACAATAATAAAAAACTAAGTTACAGATATTTAATATCCTTATAAAAGATTATCCATTTATGATTTGGAAGAAAAAGATAGAATTTGGTAGTAATTAGCTAATGAGAAATATTCTTCATAATAAATATATGTTCTTTATTAAAGAGCCATTAGAATGAGAAAGAAGAAGAAATTATCAAATACATTATCTCAATTATAATAGATGACAAATGTATAAGAATTACCTAATAGAAAGAGAATTTCAATTTATTCAAGACCTAAGATCTTTAAAAAACATCATAAATTATAATAAAAGTTAAATGGATCAAATAATATTTCACTAAAAATTAAAATTCCAAAAGAAGCATTTAATTTATAATATTGTATTTGTAAATAAGGAAATGACAATTAAGAAATGATGTGTATATATTATTAAATTATATTAGAATGTGAAATATGTTCAGAATGGTATCATTTAAGTTGTTTAGGATTTATAGGGAGTATAGAAGAGGCATAAAAACTATTATTTTATTGTTTTAAATGTGAATATAAACTTAATAAAGAATAAAGTAAATATATTAGGAGATATAATTAATATTTTTGTGATTCAACTTTTAGAGATTTGAAATTAAAGATTGGCATGTCTCCACATGAATTAAGAGCACATGAGAAAAAGAACTATAAATAGTTGTCTAAATGAATCATATTTAGAAATATATATATATACATAATTTCTATATTATTATGTTAAATAAACAAAATAAATCAATTTGCACTTAGGATGATATTATTAATAGGAATGAATACTAATTTTATGAAATAACCCACTGCTCCCATAACTACAAATCCAATTGCACATGATGTTGCAATTTTTATGTATTCTATTATTTTATATCAATAACTTACCTCTTTTATCTGGTTTAGTGCATTTTCTAATAAATCTATAACTTTCTTATCCAAAACTTTAAACATCTGTAAGAATTCCATTTATTCCATTCAATGTCTCTTAACTCATTATTTTTTAATTAAAATTATTATACGTGTATTAATTAATTAAATATATCAATCTCTTATTTTTTATCTGACAAATTCAAGTTAGTATTTTGAATAACATTAAAATGAAAGAAATTCTTCATAATTAGACTAAACTTTATATATATAAATATTACTTCCAATGGAGTATTGGATAAATGAACAACTCCAGGAGGAGTTTCATAATTGATTTCTAATTCATAAAAACCAACTGCATATTAAATAGCTGGTAGTATATCTTATAATGCAAAACCAAAAGTAATTGATACAAATTATCCAAATATTAAGTTGAATTAGTTATCTCCTAAAAAGTATTAATAAAATATATACGATTTAATAAAAACATAGATGTTCTAGACATAATTTCAAGCATATCAATTTCAAAGACATTCAATTAAAATGAAATTATCAAATACATAAATGAGGCAACAATAGTTCTAGGCATATATTAAAGAGTTTGAATATCCAATAATGTGCAATCAATAAGTTGACATAACTTTCTAAATACTTTTTATTAAGATTTAAATACATTAATATGATTCTTCATTTGCTTTTCGAAAAAAGAGATTGATACCATGATTATTTGCATAAATATCCCATTAATCTGTAAACCAATTAATCCAATATGTATAAGATGGTGGATTCACTTACCATTTAAGTGTCTAAATATAAAAATAATAAATCATTACAAATAATATATCTAATTCCATATTTAAGATTTCACTTTATTTATAACCATTATTAGCAGCCTTTTAAAATTGCATAAGACAAATAGGATTAACTTCTTCTACTTTGTTGGCAATTAATAAACTTGCTAATCCAACTAATTATATATTTTATTTATTTGCTTGTTTCTTAGACAAGTATGAATCTAAATAAAATATTGATAAATGAAATGTTTATCTTTTTAATCTATTACCCATTGCTGTTTCCATCATCCAATCAATTACTATAGCTCTTATTAACCATGTGATTTCACTTTATTTAGTTAAATAATATGGATCAGCCAAATATAATCTTTCTTGATTAATTAAAGGATCAGGTTCTGTTTTAATTCTTTCATCAAGATTAACATTGTGTACAACTATATCATTTTCATCACATGTTAAATCTAATTCTTTTGGATTGGAATGTGCTTATGTTGAACCTAAAAATCTCGATTCTTTTCTATCTATAGATGATGATCTTGATTTTTTATTTGGACTTTTTACAATCAATTAAATATCAGCTGAGGCACATCTTTATGAACTCTTTCTATAATGAGAATCATTATTTTTCAAATTTTCTTTGAATTCATTCAATAAATGGTTATATTCTTATGAACATCTACACATATCTTCTATAACACCATTAAATTATAATTTATAATTATTCTGTGAATGTGAAGCTTTGGCTATTGATAATATTTTTTATGTTAATTTGTCATTGGAAGCTCCTTTATTAAAAATAAATACTATCTTTTATACGACTTCCACTATTGGAATTATTGAGAAGAACTGCATTAGGAAAACTAATCTGTCTCACTTTTTTTGATGGTTTATTGATTCTATTAAATGAATTCTCTTTGTTTTGCTTCTTATAATTTCTAAACTCTTATAGTAATTAATGAAAAGTGACTGATATATCACGACCTTCTATTGGTCTAGAAGTAGTAGAAGGTTATATATTTTATATGCATTTCAATTTCTCATAAGGTTTACAAAGTCTTTCAGTGTTTCTTTCTTTTGAGTTTTTGATTAATTGAGTAATTTACTTTAAAATTTAAGGTTGGATAGGTTTAACATTTTATTTCGGTGATCTTGATTGGGTAAGACACTTAGAAGGACTAACTATTATTATAACATACTTACTTTAATGTCTCAATTTAAACTTGTCGCTTATGCATATAATGTTATATTAATTCAAATTTAATTTATTAAAAATGTTATTAAATAAAAACAAATTCTGAGGATTAAACTTTATTATAATATTAAATGAAATAAAATAAAATCAATCAATTTTTCCACTTCATTTTGATTAAATATTTAAGTCTCACCTATGCAACATCATAAACTATATATTCATTATGCCACAATCCTGATTACTTTTCTACATCTGAAGGTTCTGGTTTACCAATAGGAACTTTCACATCAGGTAATCCAGGCATTTCTACATAAGATTTTTCAGGAGGGTATCTTCTAGCTTTACCCCAAGTACAATGTTTTCCTTTAGGAAGATTACTAGCATTATAATCAGAATTTAATTTAATATTAGGATTTCCTAATGCAACATCACATAGTAAAATTAAACCAGTATTTGTTGTTGGATCTGGACAACAATAATCTGCTGATTTTTCAACTACATCTGCTAAATAAACACCCTAAAATTAATATTAAAAGTGATTACTTTTCCAAATCTATATCCAGTTGCTGGAGCTTCAGGGGGAGCAATTCTTAAACCTTGACCCAAGATACCTACAAAGTTAGTTAAACGTGATCCATGCCATAAAAGCATTCTATTACCAAGATTTTTTTTAAATCTCTTATCATCTTATTCTTTTGTTAATTCAAATACATCTTCAACTTCTAATTTATAATATCCTTATGTATTTTGTATAAATGTTTTAATTAATTTCACTTTCTCATTATTATGATCTAAATATTTTAAATCTATATTAAGTTTTTTATAATTTTCATCTATCATATTGGAATCATCTTTGCTTTCATCTAAAATTTTAGTTGCAACTTAAATATGTTAAATTGCTTCTAACATTTCAAGTTTAGCCTTTACTTTTTCTTTTGTATCAATTAAAGGAGCTTTATTAAATCCAAAATCATGTGGAATTTAACTATAAAATTCACTAGTTAGTTTTTATAACTCTGAATGATTTGGATTCTTTTTATCCAATTCATCTTAAATAGATTTTAATACATCAAATCCTTTTTTAATTGTAGATACTGCTAATTTACCTAATGGCATTTTCTTTGCATCATAACCAATTCTACTTTAAAAATATATTCTTACTCTCTCATTTAATTATTTATCATTTTCATATCAAAAATCAATCTTATTAACTCTTTTACTCTCTAATGTAACTTACTTTTATTAAATGCTTCTTTCTCTCTCTATTCTCTCAATTTCTCTAATTTTTCTAAAGCCTTTGGATCATTTTCACCTGAATAATCCTTCTCTAAAATACGATAATCTCCTTTAACACTCTTTTCATGAATCTTCTTTTCGTAAGTACTAATTGCTTATGATAAATCGCCTTAAAATGGTTATTCAGCCTATTATCCAATTTAACCAACTCTTCCCCATCTAGTGAATACAGAAAATGCATCTAAATTTATTCATATTTATATATACTTTCATTTTTCTTTTTTAATAGTTAAACAAAATAAAACTTGTTATTATTATTATTTCCTATAATATTTGTTTAATTCATTGCACACTCATAAATCTTACCACCTTATTCATATACAACATAATTATCCCTAAATGGAACATATTAGTCAACAGGAGCAGATCCAGTAAATGTAATTTTCTACAATTCTGTTTTCTCTTATTAAACTTTTTTATTTGGTGGAGGTGATGGTGATTTCTTTTATGCTTTTTTCTTATCTTAAACATCTCTCTTTGTAGGAGTAGTTGTAACTACTTTTTTGGATACAGATGATTATTTAGCATCACTCTTTTTTATTGATTTTGGAGGAGGTGCAGGACTTACTGACTTTGTCTTCTAACTTTTTCTTGTAGTAGATACACTTTTTGTTGTCTATTTTGCTATTACCTTACTAAATTTGATTAAATCTATATTACGCATTTTTTTATGCTGCTTTTGCATCTTTCTTTCCTTTTGCTGTTGTTACAGGAATAGCCTTTTTAGATTTTGATTATGCTCTTTTTGGAGGCATTTTGGTGAATATCTTTAAATTATATTTCAATATCTAAAGACCTTAGCTTCAATATAAATGCTCATATCAGAAAATAGCCAGAATTGTATATTAATAATTCTAGACAATCAATGATGATTATTTAAATTTCAAATTTCTATTCTTACATTGTTCATGTCTTTATAATTAGTTCTTTGAATTATTTCACTATTTGCATTATCAATAAATTCTATTTACATTCATCAATTTTTAAAAAAGTATTTCAATTTTTGGCAAATATATTACTCTACCTTTTTTTAGATTTTTTAAAGACAAAAAAGAGAGTCTCCTTAGCTAATTACATTAATTAGACTAGTCTGAATACATATAAACATGAAAGTGAGTTTATCAATAATAGTTAATCCTAAAGATGGAAAATTTCTTTAAAATATTTTTAGAAATTTTGATCAATTCCAAATATCATCTTAGCTATCGAGTAATTTATCATTTAGTAAGTTAACATTCCCTGTTCCTATTAGATCATAAAATAATTTTAAGAAAATAATATTATGTGAAAATATTTGTGAAAGTAAAACATTTAAAAATAATCTCATTTTTGTAATTAAATGAGAAAACAGAAAAATTTTCAAGCAAAAGTTATTTAAGTATTAAATTTATTTATTTTTTCATCTTATTTTACATATATATCTAAGTTTTTCTATTTCTATTTACTGTCCTTATTCATAAATCTTCATTAAGTTAATAATCCATAAAAGAGTTTAAGAAGATAATAACAAAACAAAATTATCCTAATCTCATTAATTTTTTGAATAAAAATGAATGGAAAATTGAGTTATAAACAATATATATAAGGGAAGCTTGATTTACTGGAGTTCATGATTGCTGAAAAATAGGCAAATGTTAAAAGATAGGAAGCTTAAAGAAATGAGTTGAATAGTTTAGGTATTTTTCAATATTGAATTTTGAGTGAGATAAGTGAAAGAAGAATTATAAGCTTTATAAGAGCCTCATTCATATGTTGGAGATGTTGTTAAATAAATGGGAAAAGATAAAGTATTGGTAAAAGTGAATCCAGAAGGAAAATATGTTGTGACTTTAGATAAGAATATCAAAATTGAAGATTGCAAACCTAATACTAGAGTAGCTTTAAAGAGTGATTCTTATGTTTTACATAAAATATTGCCAACCAAAGTTGATCCTCTTGTATCATTAATGAAAGTTGAGAAAGTGCCAGATTCCACTTATGATATGATAGGTGGTCTAGATTAATAAGTAAAGGAAGTGAAAGAAGTTATTGAATTACCTATCAAACATCCAGAAATTTTTGAAAGTTTAGGTATAGCATAACCAAAAGGAGTTTTACTTTATGGTCCTCCAGGAACAGGTAAAACTTTATTAGCAAGAGCAATAGCACATCATACAGTATGATATATATCATTATATAAAATAGGATTGTACATTTATAAGAGTAAGTGGCTCAGAATTAGTTTAAAAGTATATTGGAGAAGGTGCTAGAATGGTAAGAGAATTGTTTGTAATGGCACGATAACATTCTCCATGTTTGATATTTATAGATGAAGTTGATTCTATAGGAGGTGCAAGAATGGAAGGTGAAAGAGGAGGTGATTCAGAAGTATAGAGAACAATGTTGGAATTATTAAATTAAGTAAAAGAGTTTAATAAATTTAATAGTTAGATGGTTTTGAGTCTACATAAACAATTAAAATTATCATGGCTACAAATAGAATAGATATTTTAGATCCTGCTTTATTAAGACCTGGAAGAATAGATAGAAAAGTAGAATTTCCTAATCCAGGAGTTGATGCTAGATTGGAAATATTGAAAATTCATTCTAAAAAAATGAATCTAATGAGAGGAATTGATTTAAGAAAGATAGCTGAAGTTATGCCAGGTGCTTCTGGTGCTGAATCAAAAGCAGTTTGTACAGAAGCAGGTATGTTTGCATTGAGAGAAAGAAGAATTCATGTAACATAAGAAGATTTTGAAATGTCTGTAGCCAAAGTAATGAAAAAAGACATAGAAAAAAATATGGCCATCAATAAAATGCTTAAATGAATGCATATATTATTATTTCATTAAATGTATTTTTTATTCATTCATAATGAAAGTATTATTTATTTGTAATTAATGAGTAACAGAGAATACGACTATTTGTTTAAACTTGTTATTATTGGAAATAGTGGAGTTGGTAAGTCCTCTCTACTTTTTAGATACACTGAAGAAACATTTAGTGAAAATTATATCTCCACTATTGGAGTTGACTTTAAGTTAATTCAAATTTTAAAATAGATTTAAAACATTTAAAATCGATGGCAAAGGCTTAAAACTATAGATTTGGGATACTGCTGGTTAAGAGAGATTTAGAACTATTACAAATACATATTATAAAGGAGCTGATGCGTACAATAATATTTTCTAAGCAATAGTATTGTCCTTGTATATGACACTACATGTTTGTAATCATTTGAGGAAATTGAAAAATTTTGGACAGATGAGATATACAAACATGCTGGAAAGAATACAACAATTCTTTTAATTGGAAATAAAAGTGATTTACCAAACAAAGCTGTTACTACAACAAAGGCTTAAGAATATGCAAAAGAAAAACTTATGTTATTTTATGAAACTAGTGCTAAAACATCACATGGAGTATCACAAGCATTTGAAGAATTGTCAAGATTGCTAATAATAAAAAGAGACATGAATTTAGAAGAAAAAAAAATAAAAAGAAAATTAAAAAAAGTATAAATTCATTCAATTTAAAGGATTCATAGTCTGCTGATATTAATAAATAACATACTTCTGATACTCCAAATGAACCATAAGAGAATATTAATTTATGGTTGAGACCTAATAGAAAATTAGAAGATGGAAAATAATAATAAAAATGTAATTGTTGATATTTGTTTATAATATATAAGAAGCTTAAATTATGTACATTAATTCAATTATAAAATGATAATTAATAGAGTTAAGAAATGTTATTAAATTTATATTTATATTTATATTAAATGCAAAATTCAATGAGTATCAAAATACAATTCTTACTTCCTAATTAATAACATATTGCTACAAAATCATTTGATAAGTCTATTTCAATATGCTAAATTTTTGAAGACATACATTTAGAATATGATTTGTATTATTAAATCTAACTTTTTAGTTTTGATGAAGAGTTATTTCATTTAGAATGGTCTGTATATTCAAGTGCTACAAATCGTTATATAGGTTATGAAACCATAACTTTATAAGAAATTTTACCAGATTATTAAGAGGATACATTTGTTTTTTTAGATTGTAATTTTTATTTCGCAATTTAGCAAATATAACTGGTCTTAAATTATCACATTGGTTTTAAAGAGCATCTAATTATGATAATTCAATTGAAAATTTCACTGATGAATAAATACATTAATTATAAAATACCGTATTTGAAGGTATAATTAATTCTATTTAGGTTGTGTTTCGGAAACTTGCGAAGATTATTATAAATCTATTAATGAATATTTAAGTGCCTTAGAAATAAATTTATTAAATGAATAATCTATATTAGGAATAGGTATATTATATTTAATATAATTAATGGTGGATGTTTGATGAATTTAAAGTGTTGTAAATCTGCTCTACAAATTTATAATTTATTGATCTAAATAAATCCAACAAATTCTTTAGCTCATTTGAATAAAGGTTATTATTATTTGATAGTTAAATAGGAAAAGCCCTAAATAAAATTGGTGAGCATACTAAAGCGCTTGATTGCTTGAATACAGCAATTAGTTTAAACCATTAATTATAAAGCGCCTATGATGAAGAAAGATGTAATTAAAAAAAATTACAATGTTAGCTATTGCTCAATAATAATTGGCAAGATAATAATAATAAAAAGAATAATAATAAAATTAACAGTAATAATGAGAAATGTCATTTTCTAAAATATAATTATTTAGGATTATATAATTCAAATTCTTCTTTTTCCACCACGTTTTGATTGTCTAAATTTAGAATTCTTTCCTCTTTTGATTTCTTCTACACAATTTTCATCTTAATTATTTTATTTTTTTCTTTAATTGTTATTTTTATTATTTTTTTATTTTTATGTATTTGTAATTTTTTTAACTTTAGAATCATCAGCCATATTTGCTTCATTTTATTAATTTCTCTCATAAATCCTTTTCTTATAATTTTATTTAGCTTCATCAAATTTCATCAATTAAATATTTTTTTCTATATCTTCAATATCTTTTTGTTCTTAATTAAAGTACAGATTTGGTTTTGAATTGTTTTTATTTTTAATTTCAGACTTTAAGTCTTCCTCTTTTTATTACCAATACATTTTATCTTCATCTGTTAATTTATTCCATTATTCAATTATTTTTTCAGTCTTCTCTAAATTTTATTTTGAATTAGCAGTATTTATATTTTGGAACTAATATTGAAAAAATAAATTAAAACCAATACACAATTGATCAGTTTTCATTAATTTTAATGAGTACTTTAATAGCTCTGCACCTTCCATTTAAAAATACTATTCTAATTTAAATATTGAACAATTTCCTTTCTTAATTCAAATAAAACAAATTCACTTCAATTTTTAAATTACTTCTTTATTGAATATA